CTTAGATTATTAAAGAAGAGATTAGATGTTTAGTATATACTTTCTATATTTAAAATTCAGCAAGTAAAACCTACTTGTGACGTCTACCTTTTAACTATAAATAACCATGAAATAAGGTAAACAAACTAAAATTATTATCAGTTTCACATTTCCCTTTCTTACTTAGTAAAATCAACTGACTTGAGAGTTAGTCAAAGATGAAGCCCAATTGCTCCATATCCTTTTGGACCCCATTAGTCGAACACTGTTCCTTCAGCATGTCCAGCCAGAGCGTATAAGAGTAATCCTCGTGCAAGCCCCCATAGCTGAAGGTGAGTAAAAGTCATTTAAATAAATGTATAATTATTTAAAAATAATATAAATTATACTAACCGTTTTGGCAAATGCTCAGGATCGATGTGTTTGTGCAAGGAGCTCATATCGCTACCATGAATGTATAGTTTCTCTCGCATGGCGGCATTTAAGAAGGGCTTAAAAATCTTGAATGCCGCATTAAAAACCCAATTCTGGTTCACTATATGAAGGGCGGAGGTGCGAATGGGCATGGAGGTCTAAAAGAGAAAGTATACGAATTAATTAAACCAAGATAAAATATTCACAAAAGAAAAACAGACTCACCACCAGCAGGGCTATCATTTTCTGAGCCACACTGGGACTTAGGTGTAGTATGTGCTCTAGTCCCAAGTCCTTCAGATCAAAGATACCCACTCCACCCACTATTTGGGAGATGGGTTCCAAGCTGCCCAGTTCCTGCAGGACAATGGTGGCCCGGAATATATCGTCCACTATCACGCGGTTGGGTCGCCAAAGTCCAAAGCGGTATATGAGTATGCGATGACCGTGTTGATCTCGGTATGGCGTCACCGACAGGATGTCCGACTCTCCAACATGGCGTAGATCCAGAGGACGAACCTTTTCGTAGTAGCTTTTGTTGTGCTCCCGAAACTTGTAGTAACTGCAGAGCTGGAAATTAAATTCTATAATCAGTAAGACTTTGAGTAGTTAAAGTTAAAATAAGTTTAAAAATTCGGCTTTAAATCTAAAAGATTATGTAAAAGTGCACTATATATATTGTTATATATGCCAAAAAGTATACAAAAACTTTTTGTAAAATTTAACTAGTGGTATAATCATTAATTTTATCATTAATTTTATTATTTTTCAACCCCAACTCACCAATCTGTAGCTGTTCTCAATTTTCCAGTAGCGGGCTCTCAGGAACTTCTTCAGATACTTGTCATCGCTGCGGTGTGGCTGGCATTCGTTACGTTCTGTGAAATTTTGTTACGGACTTGATAACTAAGCTTCACTAGCTTAAGGACAAAGGATAACCCACCCAAAATGTAGCTGCGGAACTGCTCGATGACCGCTGCCTCGGAGCTGGTGCTCTCGCCCTGCTGCTCTGCCAGCCGGAGTATCTGTTCCGGTACCTCCTCCTCGGAAATATTCAGCTTATGCTCGATGGCGGGCATTGTGCGGGAGCGGGGACGGCTGCTGGTTGTCTGAATAACAACAAAGAGAGGGCGTAGTAAGCGTTAATTATTATGCGGCCATAAAAAAAAGTACGCGATGTTTTCGGCTAAGCCATTTTCACACGGGTTCCCCAGTATACCCCACATAGAGCACAGGTGAGTGAATCCACAGTGGCAGATAGCACCTGCTCCGATACGGCGATACACTACACTCGACTCGACCTCACACGCGTCTCATTGTTAACCACATTTTCAAGATTTTGACATTGCAATTCCAGTCTGAGAATTTGCCTGCCGCATTTATTGATGGGCGATTTTCTTGTTACCATTTGATGGGTTGCGATCCGCTCGACTTCAAGTGTGTAACTGAGCCCCCGAACGGAATCAGGCCAAATGTTCCCAGTCCCATGTATGCGACCATTAAATATTAAGTAGAAACCGAACAACAATGGACCCGACAAAGCTATAGCGATAGCGTAAGGGAGACAGCTAATCGGGCGATAACAGTATGTCACATAGAACAAGTTGTTTGTATTATTATTTTTAGTTTACTGGTTCAAATCACTTTACTTACAATTCTTGGCAGGTAAGGTTACAATATTTCAATACTAAAATGATTATTATTAAGTCGCGTTCTTCGTAATTCTTCATATACTTTCTTCCTACCCGGCAATCCAATATTTTGTTGTCCAGTGCTGTTGCCTAGCTTCCGTGCCACCCTTGGCCCCATCCCAAATCCCTGATCCCCGAGAAATCAGACTCGCCCTCGTCTGAACCCCGCAAACAAATATATTGCGTACTGTGTGGGTATTGGACCCGGGACCCTCCTGATAAGCGGGGCACATCACAAATCGCAATGGCTAATCAGGTCGCTTGGGGTCTAGTGCAATGCGGCGGCGGCTTGGACGCGAATTTCACAGATAACGATGATGCCACCGCGATCTCAAAGTGCAGCACCCACAGTACCAAACACACAGCGAGCTCATGGAGTGATGTGCAAAGTGCCGGGGCCAATATTTGATTATATTCAACAAATTCCGACTAATTACACAGTTCGCCAGAGAGCTGTTCTGCTGGGAATCCATTGGATTGCAGTGGTAAAAACTCCAATGTGTCGGAACTTCTTCGGTTCAAAAGTTAATGAGCAATACCCCCTAACAATGGGCGTCATTAATTGTCCCCCCAGACAATTGGAGGTAATCAAAGAAATTAGTAGGCTCCATTGGTGTGCAATTATTTTTTCACACCGCCCAGAGTCGCCCGACACCTGGGTTTAACACCCCATTAGTTCGGGGTCTCCGCTTGCATTACCTGGTATTATTCTGATATTGCCGGCTATCACGCACTGGAGCTAGCTTTACGGGAAACTCAAACCCGAAGTTCTACAAAGATCGCGCTCGCAGCTGGCACAAGTGTCGGTGCAGAAGGTTGTGCTGAAACTGAGCTACAGATCGCTTAGAACAAATTATTTTAAGCTCAGAACTCTTAATGGAAAAAGTTGAGAAAAAAACGCAGCAGTAATAACTACAAACCAGTATGGGGAATGAGTAACCCGACTGGAGCAGGCAATATTGTGAAAGCGAAGCTATGAATACCCTCGCAGAGTGACAATCAAGACTTGTAGGACCTATAGTTTATTTCAGAATTCATTTTTATTATTGTAAATTGTAAATAAAAGTGTATAAAAGTAATGTAATAACTTCATTTAGTTTAATAAAAGATAACGAAATCAATTTTTCTTGTATTTTTTAGCACCAATCCGAATTGTTTTATAAAATAAAACTTTAAGTGGTCAATTAAATTTTTAGTGAATTATTAGTGAATTATTACATCTAATATTTAATTCCCAGATTTATCAATTTTAAACTTTAAATAAAGTTTCCATTTTATGTGAAATTTGCCATATACCGAAAACCTTTACCCGCTCGACGAAATTCCCCACTTAATCAAGGGTACAAACTGCAGTCCCTCGTTCACAGTCAGTGTGAGATCTCAGCTAATTCTCCAGCAAGATGCGGGAGAATACACACTTTGTAAACAAGATCTGATGGATAAGTTCAATGAGCTCCGGTGACGTCACAACTTGAAGGGTTCCACCTCGTCTCCACGCACAGACCTCAAGGGGATCGGTCCAGCACACAAACCAGATCTCTTGTATCCAGAATATAGTACTTGATGCGAGACTGGAATCCGATTCTGCAAGGAAACCGCCATCGGAGGCGGAGAGGGAGGACCGACTTGCCCCTTTTCTCGTTGGGCAAGGTCAAGCAAAAGCAGCAGAAAGAAAACCAGTTTCGCTCATTTCCATGCTCTTGGCTCTGACCGTCGAAGCAATTGGCTTGGCAATTTTCATATCACCAGCTGCTTAATTGAAAAACAATCTGCATAACATATAGGTTTAGAACTAAACATAGTAGCAATCTATAATCTTTATTAAAATGTAAATAATTGTCAGAAGCTGGTGAAGTCATTTATTTTACTTTGAAAAGATGCAACAGTTGTAAAGAAAATATCAGATATTCTGTATGCATAAACATTTCTGGTTAAAGGTGATAGTACAGAGGCTTTATACATGTCTTAACTTTTAACGCCTTTGAGTTTTGAATAAATTAACATTTAAAATATAGCGTCAATTTTTTACAAAGTTACTCAATTCCTATTTTTGAACATGCCAACATTGTATTTCCGAAAAATTGCACCGTTCATAATTCATATAAAATCCGGTAATTTTGAGGTTCCAGAGTACAACTTATATTATTGAAAAGGTTTCATTTTGTTTATATATATCCCATTTTTTATTATAGTGGTATGCCTATCATTTATTAAATTGTTAATAATTATTAAATTTTGTATGGAAAATTAAACAGTAAAATACAAAATTTAAAAAAATTGTCTCTGCAATCATATCTCTGTACATATCTACACACTCGCTTATGTATCTTCAAAAAAGAAAAATATATACTATATATGTATGTATATTTTGTTTTATAATGCCATTAAAGAATGCAAACATAATTGAGCAAACGCCGCAAGTGGGTTAAATATATAAATATATGTATAAATAAAAATCATTCCTAATTTTACATGTTCTCTAGATAAACTTGTGTAAAAATGAGGATAAAAAAGTTTCCAGTATGACCATAGCCAATGTTTAAATAAAAAACCGTTATATCGACCAGCCTTGCCAGACCATGCGTTCATGAGGGTTTTCAGAGTTTTAGTGTGTCCAGATGCCGCATAAGCAGAAAATTACACGCATTTCCTTTGGGATTTGGCGCCTTTTCTGGGATTTTTCGCAATATCAGCAGAAAAACCAAAGAATTACTGAAAAAGAAAGATCACAGGTGCTCCATCAATTAATTTAAAACTTAAAGTAGCAATAATATATATTACTTTTATTATCAATAAATAATTGCTTTAAAATTCAGTGTGACCAAAGAAAAAATATCAAAAAATATCAAAAAAATATCGCGGTTTCGATATTTGGCTAAAAAATGTCACGATATATGTCATTTTTCAGAAAAAATACAACAGCCCTACAGTGCGTTTTTCGAGTCGAACAGTTGAAGTTTGTAGTTTGTAAATGTTCATAATATAAATATAATATATTATAGCCCAGTGCGAGTGGCAATCACGCAAGAAGTGCAGTAGAACGCAAAAGGAGGACGCACAGACAACGTGAAAATCGTGGTGCGTCGTCTGTTACATCCCCTACATTTGTGCATCGTTGTTGGGCGGCAGCAGCGACTTAGCACCGCAAAAACTGTGCAACTTTTAGGCCAGGTAAGGAAAACCCAGACGGCATCGCAAATTGTTAGTTGAGGGAAAAACGGAAGAAAACCATCCCACCGTTTTCTAGGAGACGCTCGATTTTCTGCAAACGTAGTTTTTTTTTTCGCTTGCAAATTAAAAATGGCGGTGCCGGTATAGAGAGCACATTTATAGCTGCTATTCGCTGAAAGAAAAACCGCCCGTGTTCTGCCAGCCAGGTCAACCACAATTAAGCCTTTGATCTTGTTAATTTTGAGTGGGAAAATCCACAGAAACAGGGCCTTGATTGGGTTTCCGCGAGGAGCCGGCAAAGTCTTGCACATCAACACACACAGATACACACGTGCACAGACAGACGCCGAAATGCCGCCAACATCGGAACAGTTTTTTAAAAGACGCGCCGAGCGGTTAATGGAGTACAGTTACAGCTGCGGAAATGTAGTTGTTTAAACAAATCAAATAGTTTAAAGATTCCACCAACTGCATCCGGCATTTTCCCCTAACGTAATCATTAGAGAGGTAGTCTCATCAGGGGGGAGGCCAGGTGCAGAACCAAAGAGCGCGCGCGCGTAGTTTTTGTTAGCTTGAAGTACAGTATGTATCGGCTAAGGTTGTCTTTTAAATATATAGGTTTTTGTGAATTTATTATAAATATGATAGATAATAAAATTATCTTGCGAAAATTTTAAATTTCTAATTTTTAAATATCTTTCAAAGTTTACATACAATTTTAGTCAAATAAAAAAAATCTTTAAGTACAAAAAGAGTAATTATCTATTAAGAATATTACGCAACATAGCTTATTAAATGATATTAAATATTTTACAAAATATATTAGAATGTGATGTGCTAATATCTACTGTAGTTGAGTGTAGAAGACGGACAAAACTAATAGAACAATTTAAAATGCCCAAGGCTGTATTCAAAGCTTTAGTTTTACTGCGTACAGTCTGCCTCGCTGACCAACTAATTAATTTTTTTTATCTTTACAGAAGAGGCAACCAAGACAAAACAACAGCAGAATCATGGAGAACGGCATGTCCATCGAGCAGATGTACCAGAAGAAGTCGCAGCTGGAGCACATTCTGCTGCGACCGGACTCCTACATCGGATCCGTAGAGTTCACCAAGGAGCTGATGTGGGTCTTCGACTCTGAACTGAAGCGAATGGTCCAAAAGGAGATCTCATTTGTGCCTGGCCTGTACAAGATCTTCGACGAGATTCTGGTAAATGCGGCCGACAACAAGCAGCGCGACAAGTCAATGAATACCATCAAGATTGACATTGATCCGGAGCGCAATGTTGTGTCCATTTGGAACAACGGTCAGGGCATTCCGGTGACCATGCACAAGGAGCAGAAGATGTACGTTCCTACAATGATCTTTGGCCACTTGCTGACTTCCTCAAACTACAACGACGATGAAAAGAAGGTGACTGGCGGCAGAAACGGCTATGGTGCAAAGCTGTGCAACATATTTTCCACTAGCTTCACCGTGGAAACTGCCACGAAGCAATACAAGAAAAGCTTCAAACAAACCTGGGCCGATAACATGGGCAAGGCCTCCGAAGTTAAGGTATATTCAAATACATAAATACATCTCCAAGGATGCTTTAATCCCTTTTAACACCTTACAGATCAAGGAGTTTAGTGGCACTGACTTCACCCGCATCACGTTCAGCCCCGATCTGGCCAAATTCAAGATGGAACGCCTCGACGATGATATTGTGGCTCTTATGTCGCGTCGTGCCTACGATGTGGCCGCTTCCTCGAAGGGTGTTTCCGTCTTCCTTAACGGCAACAAGCTTACGGTGAAGAACTTTAAGGACTACATTGATCTGCACGTAAAGAACGCAGATGATGACGGGCCAGTCATTAAGGTCGTCCACGAGGTGGCTAACGAGCGGTGGGAAGTGGCCTGTTGTCCCTCGGACCGCGGCTTCCAGCAGGTCTCGTTCGTAAACTCCATATGCACGTACAAGGGCGGTCGGCATGTTGACCATGTAGTTGACAATGTCATCAAGCAGCTCATTGAGGTTCTGAAAAAGAAGAACAAGGGTGAGTTCAGTGCTTCCTCCAGAGACGTGGACTTCGAATGATTATGATTTTCTTTTGCACTTACAGGTGGCATCAACATAAAACCCTTCCAGGTGCGCAACCATCTGTGGGTCTTCGTCAATTGCTTAATTGAGAACCCAACGTTCGACTCTCAGACCAAGGAGAACATGACCCTGCAGGCCAAGAGCTTTGGCTCCAAGTGCACTCTGTCCGAAAAGTTCATTGCCAACATGTCCAAATCGGGCATTGTTGAGTCGGTGCTGGCTTGGGCCAAGTTCAAGGCTCAGAACGACATTGCCAAGACGGGCGGTCGGAAATCGAGCAAGATCAAGGGCATTCCCAAGCTGGAGGATGCCAACGAGGCGGGTGGCAAGAACTCGATCAACTGCACACTCATCCTGACCGAGGGAGACTCGGCCAAATCGTTGGCTGTGTCCGGTCTGGGTGTCATTGGCCGGAACTATTACGGTGTGTTCCCGCTTCGGGGAAAGCTGCTAAACGTACGCGAGGCCAATTTCAAGCAGCTATCGGAAAACGCAGAAATTAACAATCTGTGCAAGATCATCGGCCTGCAATACAAAAAGAAGTATCTGACCGAGGACGATCTGAAGACATTACGATACGGCAAAGTGATGATCATGACTGATCAGGATCAGGATGGTTCCCACATTAAGGGCCTACTTATCAATTTTGTTCACACCAATTGGCCGGAGCTGCTGCGCCTCCCGTTCCTCGAGGAGTTCATAACGCCGATTGTGAAGGCCACCAAGAAAAACGAAGAGCTGTCGTTTTACTCGCTGCCCGAGTTCGAGGAGTGGAAGAACGATACGGCCAATCATCACACGTACAATATCAAGTACTATAAGGGTCTGGGTACCTCCACGTCCAAGGAGGCGAAGGAGTATTTCCAGGACATGGAGCGCCATCGCATCCTCTTCAAGTACGACGGCTCCGTGGACGACGAGAGCATTATGATGGCCTTCTCCAGGAAGCATATCGAATCGAGAAAGGTGTGGCTCACCAACCACATGGACGAGGTGAAGCGACGCAAGGAGCTGGGCCTGCCGGAACGCTATCTTTACACCAAGGGCACCAAGCACATCAGCTACGCGGATTTTATCAACCTGGAGCTGGTGCTGTTCTCCAATGCCGACAACGAACGCTCCATTCCCAGCCTGGTCGATGGCCTGAAGCCGGGCCAGCGTAAGGTTATGTTTACCTGCTTCAAGAGGAACGATAAGCGAGAGGTTAAAGTGGCGCAACTTTCCGGTTCGGTGGCCGAGATGTCGGCCTATCATCACGGCGAGGTCTCCCTCCAAATGACCATTGTGAATCTGGCCCAGAACTTTGTGGGATCCAACAACATAAACCTTCTGGAGCCCCGGGGTCAGTTCGGTACCCGTTTGACCGGCGGCAAGGATTCGGCCAGCGCTCGTTACATTTTCACGCTGATGTCGCCGCTAACGCGACTCATCTTCCATCCCCTGGACGATCCGCTGCTGGCCTATCAAACCGATGATGGCCAGCGGATAGAGCCGCTCTGGTACTTGCCCATCATTCCTATGGTGCTGGTCAATGGTGCCGAGGGCATTGGCACCGGTTGGTCCACCAAGATAGCCAATCACAATCCCCGCGAGATAATGCGCAATCTTAAGCGGATGATCAACGGGGAGGAGCCCCAGGCAATGCATCCTTGGTACAAAAACTTCAAGGGATGCACGGAATACATTTCGGATGGCCGATATGTGGTCAGTGGCAATATACAGATCTTGCCGGGCGAGCGCATTGAGATCACCGAGCTACCTGTGGGCGTTTGGACGCAGACCTACAAGGAGAATGTACTGGAGCCGCTGGCAAATGGCACCGAGAAGGTCAAGGCCGTGATCAACGAGTACAGGGAGTATCACACGGACACCACCGTACGCTTTGTGGTCAGCTTCTCGCCCGGCGAGTTTGTGCGCATCCGCAACGAGGATGGCGGGTTCTTCCGCGTGTTCAAGCTCTCCACAACGATATCAACCAACCAGATGCATGCCTTCGATAAGAATAATTGCCTGCGTCGCTTCCCCAATGCCTTGGATATACTCAACGAGTTCTATAAGCTGCGACTGGAGTACTATGCCCGGCGCAAGGACTACTTGGTGGGACAGCTAACGGCCCAGGCCGATCGGCTTAGCGATCAGGCACGCTTCATCCTTGAGAAGTGCGAGAAGAAGCTGGTGGTGGAGAATAAACAGCGGAAGGCTATGTGCGATGAGCTGGTGAAGCGTGGCTATCGTGCCGATCCCGTCAAGGAGTGGCAGCGCCGCATCAAGCAGGAGGATGCCGAAGCCGAAAACGAGGAGGAGGACGACGATGAAGCGGATGCAGAGGCAGCTCCCAGTGCCAGCTCCAAGGTCAAGAAGGAGAAGGAGGTGGATCCGGATAAGGCATTCAAGAAGCTAACTGACGTCAAGAAGTTCGACTATCTCCTGGGCATGTCCATGTGGATGCTGACTGAGGAGAAGAAGAACGAGCTGCTCAAACAGCGAGATGCCAAGCTCGCCGAGCTGGATAATCTGATAAAGAAGACACCGGAATTGCTCTGGCTGGACGATTTAGATGCCCTCGAGCAGAAGATGAACGAGGTCGAGGAGAAGGAGCGACTGGAGGAGCTGGGCATAAATACAAAGACGTCCAAGGCACTCAAGGGCCAGAAGGGCGCCACAACCGCCAAGGGCAGAAAGGTAAAGGGAATGGCGGGACAGGGCGGTGGCGACATTTTCCCCGATCCCGAGGGCGAGCAGGTTGAGTTTAAGGTCACCGATGAAATGCTAAAGAAAATGGCTCTGGCGGCCAAGGTGGCCAAGGCTGCCAAGGAACCCAAGGAGCCCAAGGTGAAGAAAGAGCCGAAGGGCAAAGCCGTTAAGTCCGAGGCCGATGAGTTGGACGACTTTGATGCTATGGTCGAGAGCGGCGCGAAGGCCTCGCCCAAGGCCAAGAAGGCTGCTGCTGTCAAAAAGGAGCCGGGAGTGAAGAAGCCGCGACAAAAGAAGGAGAACGGCGACGGGCTGAAGCAGGGTAAACTGGATTTCAGCAAGGCTAAGGTAAGGAAGCGCTCTCTCTCTCTTGGAAGCTTCATTAAATATTTAAAATATATTTCTCTTTCAGTCAAAGAATACATCGATTTCCGATGATGATGATGTGGTGGAGGTTTCCAGCAAATCGGTAGAACGCCCTGGACGTCGGGCAGCCAGCAAGAAAATCGACTACAGCTCCCTCTTCTCCGAAGATGAAGAGGGAGCCGGTAATGGTGATGATGCCAGCCCGGCTGAAGACGACGATGAAGACTCACCGGTCAAGCGTCCAGTTAAGCGGACACGCGACGAGGAGAGCAGTGGAGGAGGCAAAAAGAAGGCGCCGCCAAAGAAGCGCCGCGCCGTGATCGAAAGTGACGATGACGAGGACGCGGCTATTGATCTTGATGATGATGATGATTCCGATTTCGAGTGTTGAGCCACTCGAACTATTGTTCTTTTTTGCCTAAAGTATTTTTGAAAATTCACAATCATATTCGGCGGAGGCTCTAAAGTTTAGAGTCTAAACTCTGCAACGAATCTTTATGATTTCCCATTATGCCCCTTAATGTTCAGCAGTCAATGTTTCTTTTATTTTACTTCCAATGTATACTTTTCCCGTTTTAATTTTACTTTAATTTATTCCTAAAGGAATCAACAACTTCGCTACATTCTCTCCCTGTGGCTGATCTCTGTATCCCAGGCCAGAACAGTGAGTTAATCCACCAACTGGAATAAATACATACATAAGCATAATATCGATGTATTTCCTTACCATGTTTTATAAACATAGTTCTTAGTCCTCTCATAAATGTTTTTTATGTAAATAAATCCATTTTAACCGAATTAAAAAGAGTTTCCATTGGAAAACCGATGCAAATTAAAGTTGCTATTAGCTTTAATAATAATTCATATAAAAAGGGTTATACTTTCAATAATATTAAAGGTTTTAATATAAATATTAAAATGCTGCTTAGTAATTTCGTTTGCCTTTTATTTGCAAGTTCAGAAACATATATAATTCCCTCGCCAAAGAACTCTACATTCTATAATTTGGAACGTATAATAATACATTAGAAATTCAACTCTTTGGCTGGGCTTTTATCCACCTCGGCTTAGACATCGATCTTCTCCAGGAACAACTTGAACGTGTTCTTTATGTTGTCGTTGGCAAACTGTGGACTTCTGATGGCCTCCGACAAGGCGAATCGGCAGCTCTTGATGTTGTAGTCGGATTTGAAGGGCTCCTCGCAGCGGAGAAGGCACAGCTGCTTGAGAACGTAGTTGGTCACACGGGTCTCCTGCTTGGTCTTTATGGCGTAATCAAAGGTTAGCTGGTACAGAGAGACGGCCAGCTCCAAGGCGGCCTTCGATGACTGAGACAGATGTGCGCACTTCAGGGTGGTGAAGACGAGCAGCAGCAGATGGTTGTCATCATTGAATTGCTAATTGAGAGTACCAAATGGAGTTAGTTTATCAAGTTATTAAGCTCAAATGATGTTTAATTACATTCAAGATTCCCTGCAGGTCCCGAAGCTTGTTGTCAGAGTCCAGAGAGTCGAAGTGCTCCAGGGAGCAGGGCTTCTGGCTGAGGCAGAACGTCTCGGGGGTAAAGATTGGGTTCATCGTTTTGTTGCTCACCGAAAGAGGGTCGCTGGCAACCGAGTTGGTTGTCTCGTTGAAAAGCTAAAAAAAAAGAACATTATTTTCATAAATTCTTGGGATAAATAATTTACAATTAATTAATTATAAATAATTTACTTTAACTTACAATTAGTAAATTATTTAATTATCTATTTTTATTAATTATTTTTTTTTATTCTCCCTCACCTTTGTAACGTAGGGATTGGTGGTCACATAGGCAGTCTCCTCGGCAATGTTGACATATTCCTCGTCTTCCTCGTCGGCCTCCTCCGTGGTATCGTTAGCGTGCTCATGCTCATCGTACTCCTCGCCCTCATCCTCATCATACTCATCCTCCTGATCACCATCATCATCGTCGGCGTTCTCATCGCCAGACTCATCGTCCCCAGCTTCGTCCTCGGAAGCATCTTCCTCGAATGGTTGCAGGGCAGCGGCATTATCCAGCTTGGCCATTTCAGCTTTGATCTGTTCGCAGCCTTCCTGGCCAAAGCAATTGCCATCGATATTGAATATGCGTAGCTTGGGCTTGTTTTGCATGGCCGACACTAAAACCAGGCCGCCATCGCTGTTTATTTCGTTGAAACCCAAATCGACGACCTCCAGTTTGTCATTTGAGTTCTCCAAGGCCTCGCCGAAGTGGTATGCGCCATTGGTACGGATCAGGCAGTCGCCAAAGTTTAGTTCCCGAAGTCTGCACAGAAATATAAGCAAATATACATAAAAACCAATATAAATAATTAGTTTATAAGCATCTTAACCGACTAGACTCACAAGGGAAGAGACGGCAGGATCTCTGCTATTTGGCCGGCACCTTTGGCTCTCAGGGTGTTGTCATTCATGTTCAGCACTCGGAGGTGCGGATTCTCCTTGAAGGACTCGGCCAGGGCTTGGACCCCCTCAAAGTATATCGAGTTTTGCATCAGGACAATCTCTTCAAATGTCTGCAGCGTCTTGAAAGCCTTGGCCAGTGCCTTGGCACCCACATTCTCCAACCGATTGCGTCCGCCAACGAAAACGCGCAACTGGAGCGGCGATCCCGCCTTCTTGGCATTGGCATGCAGGTCGATGAGAGCTTTGGAGAGCATGGTGCCGCCCTCGGGGCCGAGTCCACAGTTGTAGAGCAGCAGCTCCTGCAGGGAGTAGCAGACGGGCGAGCGTAGGAACTCCTCCAGGCCCCGCATTCCGTTCGGTCCCAAAGCATTGTCGCTGAGATCAAGAACCGTCAGTTTGGCACCCGCCGTAATAAGACCCGCACCAAGATGCTGCAGCGCCACTGGAATCTCGGTCTTGAGGCGGCGCGTAAACAGATTCTTCCACAGGGCCTTCCGGAACTCTGGGTGGCGCTTCAGCGCCTCGCCAATGGCCTGGGCAGCCTCCACGCCGAGCGTGTTGCCATCCAGGTTAAGGTAGTGCACCGTAGACTGGTTGTTGAGCGCGTCCACCACTTCCTGGGCTACTCAGGGGGATTAAGTTAATCCTTCTAGGGAATAAATGTAGCGTCACTCTACTCACCATCGGCCGCCGTGTCCCAGGTGCGGGCCTTGTCCTGGAATGTGATGCCCCGCTCCTCGTCAAGCTGGGCCGCCATGTTGACAAAGCTGAAGTTGGATATGGACATGGTGGTTCTGGTTGTGGTTAACGTTAGCTTGCTTTCTTTTTTTCTGTACTTTAAAACCGGCGTTCTGTTCAGAAAAGGCGGCAGGCAGGATTCTAGCGTGACTGTATTCTACGAATACCTTCACTCAGCCAGAGATGTCTGGTCACTCACAACTTATTAGGGTTGGCCACACTGGCAGCCAGCTGATCGACGCACGTTTAACAACACTGACCCCGAAGCAATTGCAGAAAAATCGGAAAACAATGCAAAACAGGGAACTGCGGTGAAGCGCCTGCTGGAAATGAGCTGCAGATTTGGAAACCAGTAAAAGCGCCATGTTCAGGAAACTGCTCAGGATGTGGGTACTGCTGCGACCTACCCACTGGCTAATCTTGATTGCCCTGTGCGTGCTTACCTGCGCTGGATACTGGTTGCTCTGGTCGGAGATTCGCTTTGAACACGGTGAGTGATGAGTGCCATCCTGGCGAGAGGTGCTCTAAACCCTAATCTTCTATTGCAGCCTTTAAGCCACTGTCCAAGCTGACCACCAGTGGCAGCCCACAGGCGGATGCACATGCCCCGCCCGCGGACGACTTCGACTACGATGCCGATCTGGTGGTGCTGTATAACCGCGTGCCAAAGACGGGATCCACCAGCTTCGTGAACATTGCCTACGACCTGTGCAAGCTAAACAAATTCCATGTGCTGCACATCAATGTGACTGCCAACATGCACGTCCTGTCGCTACCAAACCAGATACAGTTCGTGCGCAACGTGTCCCGGTGGCACGAGATGAGACCAGCCCTCTTCCACGGCCACATGGCCTTCTTGGACTTTTCCAAGTAAGAAACTGATAGTCTTAAATCTTGTTTGAGCCACTGCTAAGTTTTCGTTCACTCTTTGCAGGTTCCAAATCGCCCACAAGCCCATCTACATAAACTTAGTGCGTAAGCCTCTGGACAGACTTGTCTCCTACTATTACTTCCTTCGCTTCGGCGACAACTACAGACCGAATTTAGTGCGCAAGAAGGCGGGCAATAAAATAGTAAGTGTTGAATCAAAATTCAAAGTTCATCAGGAAAATGAATGGCTTTTTGCAGACCTTTGACGAATGCGTGGTGCAGAAACAACCCGACTGTGATCCCAAGAACATGTGGCTGCAAATACCCTTCTTCTGCGGCCACGCTGCAGAGTGCTGGGAGCCCGGCAGCACCTGGGCCTTGGAGCAGGCCAAGCGCAATCTGGTCAACGAGTACTTTCTAGTCGGCGTCACCGAGCAAATGTATGAGTTTGTGGATCTGCTGGAGAGGTCACTTCCAAGGTGAGAGAAGGCAGTACTTGAAATCATTTAATCCATAACTCATATCAAAGAGCAACATTTAATAATAATATATTAATATATAACCACATTCTTATCTATTTCTATTTGTAGAATTTTCCATGGCTTTCGCGAGCACTATCAAAACTCAAACAAATCTCATCTACGTGTGACGTCGTCCAAGCTGCCGCCCAGCGAGCTAACAATTCAAGCAATTCAAAAGACAAAAATCTGGCAAATGGAAAACGATCTCTACGAATTTGCACTGGCCCAGTTCGAGTTCAACAAGAAAAAGCTAATGCAGCCGGACAACAAGCATCTGCAGAAATTTATGTATGAAAAAATACGGCCAAAATGATTGCAGAGGCGACGCCGGCGGAGTCGAGGACCTAGACTCAGGTCCTCGACTCGTGAACAGGCTCTTATGTTTGTATTGTAAATACGCGCATCCCCCCCATGAGATTTGATCCTGTACTTAAAGAGCAACCTAACACTTAAGCGACACTAAAGACTTTAGCAGTGAATATCGTTGGCATATTTCATAATCATAATAAGACCTTCTCTAGTTGAATGTAAGTAAGCAATATCTAGCAACAATTGTCTGCACAATATCTCTTGGTTTAGTCAAATGTACGTTTTATACTCGACAATACAGATAATGAATATGGAGTAAGTAGTTCGATGTAGCCATAAGTTTATTCACACTCACTGATAGTTGACCCTAGAGACCTAAGACCACACTCAATAATTGTAACTGTCATAATAGGGTAGGCTTAAGCGATCAAATGAATTTGACATTCAAATTAAATGCATGTAAATAGTGGATAATTGATTGTCTATTCCATATCAACAGCTGTCGCTGGGATTGCGTGTTCGCAAATTGATTAATGCCATTCATAGCCGGGTTACTGTTTAGTTTCAGCACGCTGTACTTTGACTAAGCTAATTGCAATAATCGGGACGGACTTTAAAGGCTGACGTAGCTCCTCCATGGGCGAAGGTGACTGACTGACTGGGTAACCGTCAGACGAAGCGACACGGAGAATGGGCGCAAGCAAGTGCAAGAAAATGAAATTGAAATACATTTGGAAACGGCGGTAAGCAGCGAAATACTTAATTAATTGCTCGCGCTTGAAACTAAAAGCAAATGAGTTTGCATTACCCATCGCCCCGTCAGTTGATCGCGGACACGCAAGTCGAACGTAGAGCTACTATTTACTGCCAGGAAATCGTGTGATAATCGCAGTATTAACCATCCGGATAGCCTATATAGTTGTGTGTGTGTGTATAACGAGAGTCTTAGCAGGAGGCTTAGGGTCCAAATCCTACTTCCACGGAGAGAGGTTTATAACAAGTTTTTTACTCGGTCACACACAGGCGATTAGACTCTAAACTAGTTGTGTTTACGGAGCGTTCAAAAGTTCAAGTTTAATTACGGCCAAGTCGGCGTTTACTTATGTAAAAAGTATCAGAAGATTCTTTGCGGTGTACACTGTACGAAATCTTTAGTATTTACTTGTTTCAAGTATAAAAATCACATTTCTCAGTGCGACTGGTATACTTTTAATAAAAAATAATATTTTGGTGTCTTAAAACTTGAGAGAAATAGTTCAAGTTTTGGAATATAAGTGGAATATTAAGTTTATAGTGAAAAATATATATAGAAAATACCGCCCATTTCTAGTTTAACGTTCCTTCTGCTGATTAAAATTATACATTTTACAAAATAAAAAATAAAACTTTTTTTTTTATATTAATTAAAATATTTAAAGCTGAGTTGAGAATCGCTCTCTGTGTACTTACTCTAATAACAAATTTAATAATGTTAATTGCTATACACTGATGATTAACTAGGCTACACCGTAAGAAATTGGTACTAATACTTGTTAACAATATTACAAAAATTGTGAGAGAAGCATTAATTTTATGCTGAATACCCAATTTCTTGGCTTGTGTTTTAAAGAAGCCACGAATCGAAAGATCCCACCGACGCTTCGCAACGTGCTCTTTAACGCTCTTTGACCAGACTCTGGTCGGTTATAATGACCTATTAAAACGCGCTGACCTTATATACACTATAACTTTCTTATATATATATGTGTGTAATGAGGGTCTGTACATAGAAGGGGCGGGTATAAAACGATTTGACGTGCAGCTTTATATTTCCAGTCTGAACAATTGCTCCAAACTCGCCAGATCAGAGTCGGAAGGGAGCTGCCAAGGGAATTTTACAAAATTTACGCCCATTTTGGACTAGCTGAACCTTCATTAAACTAAGGTGAGTTTTAATCTAAGCAAATCTTTGTTATTATAGTACTACTTAAAAACACTAGTTAAGCAGATGGAACTACATTTAAAATGTCATAAAAATAAATTTAAAATAGAATGTAGCGCTTACTTCAAGACTTTGAACTGATGAAGCTTAAGTTCTTTTCTGGAAATATATTACTCCCTCTTAACAAACATAATTTAAATCATTTGAATGCCTTGAAATGGTTTACTATCTAGAAAAGTCCATAATTCTAAAATGAATTATCTGTTAGTAATCGTTGCAACACTTGGTGCAATTAAGTAATTAAACAAGATTTCTGAATCATTGCTTTAATGTTTTATGTACAGGGTTCTACTTAGTTGTTAATTGGCACTGTAACCTGTTTCTATTTCTTGCTGAAGCTAAGAATTTAAGACTTAAAGTGCTTACTTTGTATTTTAAAAAATTATGATGAAAAAAAAGCAAAAAAGCAATCAACAAATCAACTAGAAATTAAAGCTCTATTTTTAGACTTATAGGAATAATATTTAACTCCCTTAAAAGCATAAAGTTATTTCCTATAAAAGCTACTAGATACTTTTTTTTTCTAGAAACCATTGTGTTTATTATATCAATTTGAGTTTTTAAAAGTACCTAAAACAATGCTCATCACTGTCCGAGTTTCTTTTTCGCTGTGCCTTTTCCTCATTATTTTTGCGTGCCTTGTTCGTTTGGTCGATCGGTCGAGAATTCGATGTAAAGTTCAGTAACTCGCCGACATTGACCCATTTACCGTGTGCGGATCCGATGCTCCCGGCGTGAACGAGCACTTTTCAGAAAATATCATTTGATTTGCATTTGGCATTTGCATTTATGCAATACTTGTCGCGCTCGCGGGGCATTTAGTATCGGCTTTCAATTTGCATTAACATCGTGACAATGTTGACCGCCTCCGCAGCAGCCATGCCCTGTCTGCCAAAGCAGCCGGGCAACTCATCCTCCTCCGCTCCACCGATACGATGCCATGCGGGTGAGAAGAAGCGAATAATTGCTAGAGTGATGTTTTGTATATGTATCCTATAAGGGTATTACATGTATTTTTAGTCAGACGTTTGTAACGCAGCGTCAACAGCCGATTTGACCTAGCCATGCCCGTTTTTTTCTAGCGAACATGACTAGATCTTCTCGTATCTTGAGGATGATACAAAATATACTTCTTTTACTCCTTCACTCCTTCTGCCTTAAATTATAATTCCCTGCAAGTATATAAAAAGATCGAAAAATAATTAGGAACTTAAATGAAAGCTTAAATAGCATAGTTGTTTTCTTCATCTAATATTCATATACCATTAATTAAAGTAATATTTTGCTTAAATTTGGAAATAACAGAGGTATTTAAACTTTGACTTTCTGAAGTTTTCTTTCCCTTATTATTTGAAAGTAATATTTTCACCAAAGGCTTTCAACAACGCCTGATTGTATAAACAAACAAGAAAGAAAGCTAACTTTGGCCAGCCAAAGTTTGTATACTCTTGCAGGTAACAATTAAAATATATCATAACTAAGCCAAAAATGCATTAATTTCGATTCGGAAAGCAGTTTTGTGTTAGTTTTTATTAATTTAAAAAAAACTGCATACCAAATTTAAAATTTTAAGAAATCAAAATTTTTGGCCACTTTTGCTAATTTTAATGATGTAACCCCTTATCAAATTTCGCAAAAATGGCCAAAAAATCGATTTCTTCCGGACATGTCTAGAAAGATTCCCCTGTTGATGCTGATCAAGAATATATATGGTTTATGGGGTCGGAAATGATTCCTTGACTTGGAAAAATGTTATTTTGTATTATAAAATCTGATTTTTTGTATTAAAAAACTTCTTGTTTTTTTTTTAATTAAAAATATCATAACTCGGCCAAAAAAGCATTAATTTTAAATCGGAAAACTGTTCTGTGCAAGATTTTCTACAGTTAATAAATCTGCATACTTCATTTAAAAAATTCAAAAATTCAATTTTTTATCAAAATCAAAATTTTTAATGATGTAACCCCTTATAAAATTTTTCAAAAATGGCAAAAAAATCGATTTCTTCCGGACATGTCTAGAAAGATTCGCATGTTAATGCTGATCAAGAATATATATACTTTATAGGGTCGGAAACGTCTCCTTCACTGCGTTGCAAACTTCTGACTGAAATTATAATACCCTGCAAGGGTATAAAAATACAATTATTATTTTTTTAATTGTTTAATAAACCTGTTTTCTTATTGTATTGTCACAGGTCAAGTTAAGTACTCTGTCCGATCGATCAATGTCTTTGTTTTTTGTAGGAAATAACAGTAATAATTTTAAGAGGCCTTAAACGCAGTTTAGATAGATATTTATGTGCCTAATTATTTCCCTTGCCATGTTTAACATTTTTTTAAGTTTTCTTACTTTGAATTTACAAGTACATATGTTTCTTGTACTTTTTTATGACTGCACAAAGTAAGGTCAAAGCACTTTATATGTACGTTGGGATCGCCCTTGCCTTTGTCGCCAGTTTTTCGAAATCCAGTTTCTCAAGTAGGTTTTTTGCAAAAAAATCGAAGGGCGTAGGTTGACATTGCAAAGGGGTTTAACCCCAGAATGACTAGCACAATTCAGGCTTTCCCTGCTGAAAATAAAAGCCCATTTTCTACAGTCAAAAAGGGCTATTTTCCGAGGTTTCGTAGACCGCAGCTTTTGTGTGCGTCCAGTTCAAGTTCGTTATTAAAAATAGACCAACTCGCAGGCCCCAAAATCTGGCCAAAAGGAAAACGAGAGTATAACGAAGCGTAAAACCATGAATGGCCGAAGTCTGTGCACGTGCGATCGTGCGATTGAACCGATTTGTCCAAAACCGGACGCCGAACCACAACACAATACTTCACAGGTTGCTGAGCTTTGGGACGTGCTAATTTGACCAAATATTCGATTCATACAAATGGGGATACAACAATAGGACTTGATTTTAAATGTTAAATACTGCAATAAGTACATTCCATATATTTGTGCCTGTTTTAACGAGGTATTTAGGGATTCATCCAGTTTTTTGTATATTTAAAGTAATTAAACCCAAATTTTACCTTATACTGTCCATGCATTCTCTCAGTTGATCTAAACATGACTATATAAAACGCCAAAATATCATAGTTTCTTGGTTTCTACCAAGTTTATTCTCATACCAGTTGGGAATTACAAAATTCGTTTTGATTTTCTGGCAAACTCTTCTAAAAAATAAGCACCAAAAATCGTATCCCTTTGACTGACAGCCCTAGTGACTTGACCCCAAGTGTATGTTTGCCAAACAGGTGTAAGCACTAATTGGCGTAGAGCGTGGAGCGGGCCAGCATTGAAACCGGATGGCACAGTGCGCGGAGTTTCAGGGTCGTTATAGGAAATGCCTAAGCCAAGGGATTTTCAAGCGCCCTGTGATCTGGGTAATTACACTCCAAGAAAACCCGAATAAATTAGCTAAGGCAGCTGAGAAAACTTTGAAGTTGAAAGCGAAACTGAAACCGGCTTGAGGTGTCATCATTACCCAATGATGATGCACCCAGATTGAAGCTCTCTCTGTCTCTTGACCCTCTCATCGCTCTGACCAACACACACGTGAATGTCATGCTCAAGCTCAGATTTTTGTAATGTTGTAAAGATAAACTCTATAAAAAATTAAAACAAAATAAATAAATGAATATATTATGCCATTGAAAAGCTATTACTTTGTTAGAAATAAAAAAAAAATTAAGTTAATCATTTGGTCCGATTTTTTAGCTTAACTTCAAAAATATATTGGTAACATGAAATGCGTACATACATTAAATATAATCCATCAACTTAGGGATTCCCTCTGTTCAAGATCCAAAAAGCTAATTGAAAACTTAAATTATTTTAGCTTAAAAGACTTTGAAAACTTGTGATCTTTTTTAATTACCAAGTGACTTGACTTTAAGCCCCAAGTAAGTCGATAAATCCGCTGTTTTGGCAACACTGCGCTTTAAGCGCGTCTCCGTCGCCCACTCTCTTGGCGCTCTCTTGCCAAATCCAGTTTTGATTCTTGGCCTGGCATAAAATCTCCTCAGCTCGCTCTTGGCCGCAACAGTTTCATCTGGGCTTTCGGCTCTGTTGCACGCGTCTCCCTGCTTCTCCTCCGGTCGTCTTCGCCCTCGCGGATTACTGTTAGCCAAAATCCAAAACAAGTTTCGGTTTGTGCGGTGCCCTCCTTGTGTAGTACTTCGATTAGATTTCGGATTTTCCCAGCCAGCAGCAGCAGCTCGGTCAAAACATTATCTATTCAAAGGTGTCACAGGGTGTGTGTCATTTATGAATGCGAAAATATGCGAGATCTTTAGCATATCACCTGGCCGATCTAATCGAAGTTTGTAGAAATTTTCAATGTCATGCTTTTGACGCTGATTTCCAAATCTTTTGTTTTTGAGATCATCCGAACAGCGCAACAAGTTGGAAAATGTATGGCGCTAATTTTTCGAGTTCATCAAGCAGCCAGATTTTACTCAATTGGACTTTACCAGACTAAGTTGCTAGTTTTGAAATTGAAAACTCGTTCAACTACATTTTCGTTCAAGTAGAACGTGTCAAGAGTCTGGAGAATCCAGCTCAAGGTTTCCCCCTTTCGTCACCTGACATGACAGCTCAATAGCATCTCTTCTCTGCAAGAATTGCATTAGTCGCGATCCGTTGTCTTCGATGGTCAGCGATTTTGCGATGCTGCAAAATCTATGGCTTTGCCTTCCGCTATGATTTTGCGAATGTCAAGGTGAAGGTTGGCCAGGTGATAAATAAAGCGATCGAAACTCAATGCAGTCCCCCTCTGCGCCGGTTTCGATTCACTGTCGTCTGCCTCATTAATAAATTGAAATTTTCCACCCATTTACCTCTGAATAGAGTGCCAAAGGCCTGAGATCGCAAATATTACAAAAAAATAAATTGAAACTTACACGAGAATAATTTTAGTTTGAGGAGAGTCAACATCAATTGCAAAATGAGTAAGTAATTGTGAAGTGCAGTAACTGAGCTTACTTAGGTCCAAGTGCGTCCCGCATCTCGCGAGCTCAAAGTACAGAAGCCACCTATCGCTAATTGAATATTAATGACTGCCCTTTCAGGAGTTCCCACCATGTTGTCGGACTTAGATCAGCTGCCCACGCTCCAGGTGGGCGACTACACGCTCCAGTTTGACCTGGGTGAACCGTCGGCCCAAGGCAAGGAGGTGGCCATCAAGGAGCTACGGGAAACTCCCGAGCGGCAGAAGGAGGCAGCCAAGGAGTTGGCTCGGCTCTTAGAGGGTAAGCAATGATCTCTAATTAAGTCTTAAGTTTTTTACAAGGGGAAATTATAGAATTAAGTAATAACATAATTACTAAATGAGAATTTAACATTAATAAGCTTCAGACTCTGATTTAATTTTGTGAAATTACAAAGCCGCAATATTCCAGGAATCCCCACTTTAAATTTTTAATCACTTGTGACCTTTCAAGATTAAGCAATTATCTGTGATCAAGGCATTCTATATATATATATATATATATATAATTATAACTTATGCCTCAAGTGCATTCATTTTCATTGTCACAAGTTCAGTTATTCAGCAATAATTCTATAATATATATTTTAACAGTAGTTTCTACTTTTAGCTAGAAAAATAATTGCCTCTTAGTAACTTACAAAAAAGCATTTTAAAGTTTTTATAAGTCTTAACTGCATTCCTATATGATTAAAAGTACTTTTGAGTAGAGTTTTACTATTTAAAAACTATTTTTCTTTGAAAATAACTAGTTATGGGATGTAACTCTGTATAAATCTTAAGGCTCTAATTAAATATCGGAAATCTATTTGTAGACTCTTTCTATAAACTATAATTTTAAAGAACTACATGGACATTTCGTGTCAGTAATCACCGGGGTTAGGCTACAGTGGCACGCCTTTGGTAGAAATTATTATGCAATCGCGTTCTCTGTAATCAATTTCCTTGATAATTGCCTCTAAATGTTAATTGTCTATGGTAAACACAGTGTTAATAACTCTAAATATATATTTGTTTTCAGCCGAGACCGATTTGCTGTATCCCAAGGGAAACGAGGAGTGGCTGATTCGATACCTGCGTCCCTGCAAGTATTATCCAGAGAGCGCCCGCGACTTGGTAAGATTTTATTAATTGGTGCTTGAAACAAATAATGACTTAAAATTTCACTTTTAAAACAGATCAAGCGCTACTACGCCTTCAAGGTGAAGCATTCGGATGTGTACAACAACCTCAAGCCGTCCGGAGAGTCCAACATCTTCAAGCACAATATACTCACAGTCTTTCCCAATAGAGATCAGTGTGGGCGTCGTATTTTGGTTTTGGAGCTTGGCAGTAAGTGCAAATAAACAAAACAAAAATGCATATTTTATTCTCTTTTTAAGAATTTGTAAAAGATAATCAATTTAGAGGTTTACGCCGATGGTTAAAGGCATCGGCGGCGGCGTAGAGGTCAAAATGACTCGGCGGCGGCGGCGTAGTAGTCAGAAAGAACCGGCGGCGGCGGCGCGTCAAATAAGGCAAAAAGGCCATTTTAATGAGTTATTTATTTTTTTTTAAGTTTTATAAAGAACAATGACACTGAAGGCCGCGCTGAAGCTGCGCCGATGCCGCACCAGCGGCGCGCCGCGGCGCGCCGTTATTTTCATAATTTGGCGGCGGCGCGTCAAATAAGGCAAAAATCGGCGGCGGCGGCGGCGTGGCGCGGCGGCGTATATGTCTAAATCAATTTATGAAAGAGAAGTGACTAAATCCCTAAAGAATAAAGAGACTTAATTGAAAATTTATGGGAGAAGTATATGACCCTTTACTAATCCTTTTCTATTTCCATTTTCAGAGCGCTGGAAGCACAAGCAGGTCACCCTGGACGAGGTGTTCAAGGGTGCTGTGCTCTTTCTAGAGGCTGCTATGCTGGAACCGGAGACACAGATCTGCGGAGCCGTGGTGATCTTCGATATGGACGGCCTTAGCTTGCAGCAAACCTGGCAATTTACGCCTCCCTTCGCCAAGCGCATAGTGGACTGGCTGCAGGACTCTGTACCCCTGAGAATTAAGGCCATTCACATTGTGAACCAGCCAAAGCTCTTCAACGTGGTGTTTGCTCTATTCAAGCCCTTCCTCAGGGAGAAGCTGCGCGCCAGGATCATCTTCCATGGCACCGATCGTGAGTCCCTGCACAAGTACATGTCGCCCAAGTGCCTGCCCGCCGCCTATGGCGGTATCCTTGAGTCCAACCGAATCGACAGTGATCAATGGTACCAGCTACTGCTCAAGTGCGATGCCGAGTTTGATGCCATTAATTCATATGGTTACAAGAAGAAGTGATTCCGTATTCGCTGTAAACAGTGTGTAGATTCCGGCGGAAGCAAGTGATAATCAACTACCCAATAGTTTTTTATAACTCACCTTATAGTTAAGCACTCGATCTGTTATACGCTTGTCCTGTTAGTGAATAGCGCCTAAAGTTTGCCTTAGTCTTAATCAGGGTCGAAGCCTCGATCGAATCCAGCAAAAGTGTTATACCCACATATATTATATTTAGTCCGGGGTAAGCGTATTTATATCATGTTACTATTGTACTTTTTAAACCAAATTTGTTGAAATATAAAACCTCACATTTGTGCAAAAAAGCAGTCTCTTTATCCTGTTTTAAAGATGGTTTGTTTTTCGATATTTTTTCAATTTATTTTAATATCCATAAATCTGTGTAATAATCCATTTATAAACATTGGGTAAGTAGCAGTCAAAAAATGTCTTTCTTAGAATCATTGGTGATGTTTGAGTAAAATTGCACAGAATATTATATTGTTTATATATACTGAAACAATATTTGGTCTTAATTCCTAAGGCACATCGAAAGGCAAATAAGTTTACCATTTGTAGCTTACAATCAAAGCATTTTTAGTGTGTTAAAAGTAACCCGAGTGTGATATATAATTTAAGCAACCAATATAATTCATTTATAACAGTTTTTCGGACACTTGTCTTACTGTTATACAGTGCAAGAGTCTTTAGTACACAATATATTTCGTTCTGTATTATAACAAAAGCATATATCATGTTATTTTGGTACAGTCAACTTGTTGAATATAATACTATTTCCATTTATAAATTAATATTTATATAAATTTAAAGACAAAAACGTTTTCTGTCCTAATATTCGCTGCTTTTAAAGAATATTTTCTTTTGCTAGTTACTTAAAAAAGTAAATCATACAAAAATAACCTTTAAAATATGTGTATATAATTAATTAATCATTTTTTAACTTTTTGGTCTCTGTCTCTTTTTCGCTTTAGAATGGAATGCATTTGCTGGGAGTAGGGTCAAGGTCAGGACCTTGATAAGTGGTTAAATTAAGCGTAGATTCCCTGTCAGCTGCAGTCTGTCTGCTCACAGCCGATAATTGGTGGCTGGCGCCTTAGCTGCATTGCGCTTTTTTCCCGGACTCCGCATGGCGGCATCGCTGTCATTATCCGCATCCCCGTCCTGGCCCCCACCACCACCGCCTCCTGTGCAACAGATGCGTCGCTGCACAAGGCGTATGGGGCGGGTGAGGTCGATAGTGTCGCCTTGCTGCCGCAGCTCCGCCTCGGCCACGCACTCCATGTGACGCCACTGGCGCAGGCCCAGGATAAAGGCATCCGTGACATTGGTGGCCGCCTTCGAGGACGTCTCGATGTGGGAGGCGATCTTTTGGTCGGCGCACCACTGCTGCACGCGCTCGTAGCTCACCTGGCGCTTCTGTGGAGGTATGTCATTCTGGAAAATAAGATATCAGTTATCGATCATTTGAGGATTACAGGTCTAATCCTAGTTGTTCCATTTAACGTCGTTATTTATTGATAATGAATGTTTACAGAAGAATAAATCATAACTTTAGGGAAATAAAAATCAATGTTAATTATAATTATTCTCACCTTATTGCCCACCACAATGAAGGGAAATTTTTCGGGATCCACATCCGCATAGTTGAGGAACTCATTTCGCCACAAATCCAATCCATTCAAGCTGTCCCTATCGTCCAGAGCATAACACAGCAGGCAAATGTCCGATCCACGGTAGAAGGGTGTCCGAAGAGCCCGGAATCGCTCCTGACCGGCAGTGTCCCATATCTAGATTTCGGAGAAGAGTCAAACAGTCGCAGCAATTAATTTTGATTGAATTGATTTGATTCAATTAGAGCTCTATTAAAATAGACATTCAATACAGAACTCAACTCGCCAATTCCCATGGTTAAGAGAGTGGCAAACAGGGCAAGTATCCAAAATTAAGGCGCCTGCCCACCTGACTCACTTACATCAGCACCCTTACCTTTGTGGGACAGACAAATATTTGGTTCTAGAGGTAGTCAGAGCCTAAAGCTGATAACAAAGTGGCAGTGATAAGCAAATAACCCAAACAAGAGAGCTAAAAAAAAGGGCATTCCACCATAAAAAAAAAAAATTAAAAACAAATATTAGATCTAAGATTTAGATTGTAAAAATTCAAAGAGGTAGCTGAGCTTCAAAGCGTTATATAACATTTTAGTCCTCCATTAATATTAATCATTTGTTAATTAAATGAGAAAATTACCCTTTAAATTACTGTAAAAAACGCATACTTCATGCTAATATTTATTTATATATTTTTTAAAGCATAAAACGGTATTAGCAGTCACCCAATAATAGCGTTTGCTTTCATAATATAAATATGTATATGGGTCTGCCCATAGTAACCTGTATTGTTTATTATTTGCTTGGTAATCCCCCGTTTCGGAAATTCTTCTCCAGCCCAACGAACCTCAGAGATTAGGGAAAATGACCCCGCCATTTAAATAGGTAAATCGGTATGTGTTCTATGGAATAATGTTAAATTCCCCTGGGATTAGTCACCTATCAAGACACATTCCTACACTTTCTAGTGCTCCTAGCATCGGCTCCTGGTTCAGTTAGAATCATTATTCCAAATCGCCGCCACCTCGACTGCACTCACTTTGCTTACTCACTGAGACGGCTACATATTCATGAGCCCGTCGTCGATATTCCGAGCTTGGCGAACTGTGAACAATATTTTGTTTTCGTTTCGATAATTTAGAAGACAGGCGACATCAGCATAAATGAAAAACAATTACGAAAACACACACGGGATTGAGAACAGAAAATGAGGCGGCGGATGAAACAAAGTTATCCCCTGACCGACTAGTGGAACTATCATTATTGTTATTATTTCAGTTTTTGTTTTTTGCAATGCCGAGCTGTACGTTAATTGAGTAGAAAATTGTTGTCTGTCCGTGAGTGAGTGTGAGTGGGCATGGGGGCAGATGGAAGAGATACAGACCATATAATAAAGGTACAGTGGTATAGCAGAAAAAAGTCTAGATTTTAAAACCTAATAATAATATAGAGAACCTTAGTAATTATACAAATAAAGACGTTATTAACTTCAGAAATGAAATCTGGTTGTAACCTTTGAAATCGTCGAGCTGCCCTTAGACAAAAATCTAACATTTTTAAACATTTATGTAATGTCTATTATTAGAAATGTATCACAAATAATATTTTCTTAAAATACTGGTTTCCTCTAGTCTTTTTTAAAAGTATCTAGAAGATATTTTCTTCAAATAGGAAACAATAAATAATATGGCTTGATTTCGACCTTGATTTTTGGGGGGTTTTAACATCCGCCTGACCACTGTACCACCTGATGATAGGGAAAGAAAAACAAAGCCAGATCGTTGTTCACTTTTTAAGTATTTACATCAACCAAATGCCGGTGCATTCTGATGGTTTTGCAAAAAAAAACTAGAGGGGTTGATCAGACGGAGGAGGACGAAGGAATCACGCTTGGCTAATCATTATCTTGCCCAACTGTTGCAGTGGCTTTGTTACTTTTCAGAAGTTTCTTTTGCTTTCGTAATATTTATCAAGTTTTATAAAGCTCATGTAAGACCTGCAGTGTGTAGCGCTCGCCCTCGACGACTATATCCTTGTTCATGAACTCAACGCCGATGGTGTGGAAATTGTTCTCCTCGTAGCGGTTCGAAACGAAGCGGGTGAGTAGGGCAGACTTTCCAACGCCCCCATCGCCCAGTATGACGACCTTCAGCAACTTGGATTTCTGTGGGCGCATATTTGTCATGTTGTTTGTGTTTTGTTTACTCTTCCAGTTAAGACGGGGACAGCAAACGATGTGGTGTGTCGGTTTCTTTAGTTTTCCCTTAACTGCGCAGCTGAAAATTGCTTCAGCCCTTTCCCCCGGCTTCAGATTAGTTTTAATTTCACCCACGACTCGACGACGATTGATTACTGGCGATTTTATAATTACAATCGGCGTGCACTTTACACAAAAAACCGCAATTAATTGAGCGATTTTGAATGCAAAATATGCCCTCAACCGAAATCCGCGCCGGGGAGCAAGTCCAATTGGATGGGCTGTCAGCTGACAACTATCAAAAAGCTTCTTATTGGATAGTGTTGCCAACATTGGGTTAGAAAAATAATATAAATAGTTTTAGATTTTTTAATATTTTATAAAATAAATGTAAGAAAAAAAAAGTTTAACCTAATTTTACATGAAAAACAATATTTAAATGGCTGCTTTTTGCAAAATATAACAACAGTAAGAGTGTTGATTAGGTCTGATTAGAGTGACCAATTGCAATTTACATCGGTACGTGTATATACATATGTAAAAATAATGTATACAATTTGTAAGGTGTAAAATATTAAAAAAAATTAAATTAAGAAAAATAATAAAATTATAAAAAAAACTTTAATTACTTACTAAATAAAATAACTAAATAACTATTTACATTAAAATAAACAATACTTTAGTTTAAAATATAAATTATATTTATCAATAAAAACTTTATAAAACATTTTTTTTAGATATTATTTCCGAAATGTTAAGATTCCCAGGCAATAAAATTTAAAAAAAAATGTTCGCAAGAAATACATTTTTTAAATGTAAAAAAATCTTTATTTATATTTAATTTAACTTAATCAGCCTGTAGAAATATTAACCCTTGATAACAGCAATTGGTCGCAGTTTGATACACTTCTTGCTTATGCCCGCCGCATGACAGGTGTCCACCACATCGGTGACATCCTTGTAGGACTCCGGAGCCTCCTCCATGACCAGCTTGGGCGAAGCTACGCGAATGGCTATGCCAATCTGATCCAGCTTTTCAAGTACTTCCTTATAGTCGATATTACGGCGGGATTTGGCACGAGATAAAGCGCGACCCTAGAAAAAAGAAACAAAATATAAAATATTTTTACCAATAAAAATTTACTTAAATAAATTGATTTCGCAATCTCCCTTAATGTATATATATTAATAAGAACTGAAGAGTGACTCACCGCTCCGTGGCAAGTGCTGCCAAAGGTCTCCTTCATGCCCTGCTCCGTTCCGGTTAGAACGTAGCTGCAAGTGCCCATGGTTCCGCCCACCAGGACGGGTTGTCCCGTGAGCTGATAGTCCACTGGGATGAGAGGGTGATGCGGGGGAAAGGCTCGGGTGGAGCCCTTGCGGTGAACGAGCAGCTTCCGCTCCTTTCCATCGACCATGTGATTCTCCACCTTGGCAATGTTGTGCGAGACATCGTAGATGACGTGCATGTCGAGATCATCCGGCGTGGTGTTGAACATCTTGGCGAAGGCCTGGCGCGTGAGGAAGGTCATCGAGCTGCGATTCACCCAGGCGAAGTTAGCCGCCGCCGCCATGGCCTTGAGGTAATCCTGACCCTCCACAGAGTTGATTCTGGCGCAGGCCAGCTGCCGGTCATTGGTCTCGATCTTGTCCCGCTTCATGGCCTTCTCCATCTGCACCAGAGCGTCGGTGGCCACTTGGTGACCAAAGCCACGGCTTCCGGAGTGAATCATTACCACTACTTGGCCCTTTTCCTCGATGCCCATCTTGGATGCGCTCCACTTGTCGTAGATCTCGTCCACCACCTGGATCTCGGCGTAATGGTTGCCAGCGCCCAGAGTTCCCAGCTGGGGCAGACCGCGCTTCTTGGCTCGCATGCTCACCTTGGCGGGATCGGCGTTAAGCATCCGTCCGTACTCCTCGCAATGCTCCTTGTCCTCCGCCCAGACGTAGCCCTCCCGCAGCGACCAGTCCATGCCCATCTCGAGGGCCTCCTCCAGATCGCGGGCGTTCATCGGAATGATGCCCTTAGATCCCACGCCCACGGGTATATGATCGAACAGGGACTGGGCCAGTTGCTCCTTCACCGGCTGCACATCTTTCTCGTACAGATTGGTGCGCAGCAGACGGACGCCGCAGTTAATGTCGAAGCCAACGCCCCCGGGACTCACCACGGACAACGGGTCGTCCATGTCGAAGGCAGCCATGTTTCCGATGGCAAATCCATAACCGGAGTGGATGTCGGGCAGCCCAATAGAACGGCCCACGATTCCAGGCAGCGCTGCCACATTAGCGATCTGCTTCACTCCCGGCAGGAAGCCTCCAACGGCTCCCGGACGACAGGAGTTCTTCAGCTCCTCCAGCATGAGACGCTCCAGGCGGCTGTTCACATAGAAGCATCCCTCCACGTTCATGTTCGGCTGGAAGCCTTTCTTGATGCGCCAGCAGTGATCGCTCACCTTTTCCAGGTACTTGAGCTCATCGTTGTACGAGCGCACGACCATCCTGAGGACTTCAGTTGACTTTTCTTGCTTCTTTGTCACGAAATGCTATTTATTTGCTCGCTATTTCATCAGTTTTTGCATTTGACCATATGTTTTTTTACATTTTACTTGGCAATTAGAGATGGTGCCGGGCCGGCAACTTCGATAGCTTATCGAACTATTGCGATAGTAACGTTTGCAATCGGTTTGATAACTCCCATCCCTATTTGGCTCGCAAAAAAGAGTAAATATAAATAATAAACATGTTTCGGAGTTCATCAAATTTCTCCAGGAGCAGTCCCCAACCCAGGCATTACATAGGTGAGGCTCAGCCGGGCACCACTGAAAATATCAGAATCGATTTGCTTACACATAAAAAAAGACGAGCAAGAGTGAATAGAGCCCGCTTCATCCTTGGCAAGATAGCCAAGAACGAAGCTGAGGGCATAGCCGATCCTCGGGATGCTGAAGACAAGGCCAAATTCCTTGCGGAGATCGCGGAATATGAGGCGTATAAGGCGAACCCGAAAGCGTTCAAGCCCCCCCAGCCAAAAAGAAATCGGTCTCACGATGTAAACGAAAGCGCACCTAAGAGGACAAAGGACTCTCATGGTGAGCCGAGAGCAACAACCTACGTCAATCGGGCAAAGAAGTTCAGCGAGGTGGCCAGAGACAGTCTGGCCATGGCTCTGGTGGATGAACTTAACGACGACGGTCGTCTGCTTTCGGAAAAGTGGGAGGACATCGAGTCCAAGTTGACCGACATGGTCACCGACAGGTTGGTTAACGCGCCGAACAGCCCCATTCCGTCCTTCGACTCGTCAGATGTGGTCGGTGGGCATCGGGTAATCAGATGCGACGATGGGTTTTCAAGGAGCTTCCTTGAAAAGTGTGTGGCTAGGATCAGCCACAATTGGTCTGGCCTTAAAATAAGGTTAGTCCACGCCAGTGAGATTCCGAGGAGACCCAGAGCGCGCATCTGGTTGCCAAACGGGCAAAGTGATCACAAGAGAGTGATCACATGTCTGCGAGCTCAGAACCCGGATGTCTATACAGAGGACTGGGCCATACTGAAGGCGGAGAAGGAGATGAAGTCGAGCCAGCCGTTCCTCCTCCTGATAAACAAACGCTGCCTGCCGCAGCTAAAAGCTCTTGATTACAAGGTTCGGTACGGCATAAGGAAGGCCAAGATCAAGATCTTCCTAGCCGAGCCGGACGAGATTTTGGAAGAAGTCGATGACGACGACTTCGACGACCAGTTCCCCGACACAACTACTGAAGGCGATTTTTGTACAAAAGGAGAAGAAGGGATGTGGATTAAAGAGGAGCCCGACTCTAATTGGAGTCACTAGAAAGAATGACATCACTTATCTACCTATCATTTTACATAGTTTTAGCTACTAAGTTCATTCAATGCTTTGCAAAAGTTACAAGTAAAACAAAAAACATATAAAGTTGTATATATTGTTAAAGTTCATTAATTTCAAAATATAATCTACTTATTTGTCAAGGATTCTTAAAATACTCATGATAGTATTTATAATAGTTTTGTAGGTAACCAGGAGGTCCATATATTTTGAATTCGCTGTTAATTAGATCACTTATGAGGAAGCTCAGGTTCGGGCACTGCTGGGCGAGATCCTCTGGGGAGAACGGCAACGGGCCAAGGATTGTGATGTGGATGAGTCTCAGGGATGGCACACTGTTGAGTATTCTAGGCTGCAGATAAGAGTCTCCAGTCTGATTATTAACATGCAGCAGAGCGAGGGCTTTCAACTTATCGGCCGATTCCAAGAGCTGTGCTATCTGGTAGTCCCGCACATCGCAGTGACGCATGTCCAAAAAGAACAGCGAAGGAGCCACACTTTGAACGGTGGCCAATATATCGGGTGACCATTTGGCATGGTCCAGTTTCAGAGCGCGCAAACGTCGGCTCTCGGAGGCACCTTGGCACAGCGGCTTTAAATATCGCAGAGTGTCTTGGTCCTTGGTTGAGTAGCCGACATTGATGTGAAGGCTGTGCAGGTGGCGACCCAAGGCTATCATCAGATCTTCGTGAAAATATGGAGGCAGTCTCATGCTGAACTCTAGCTCTTTAAACCGATGGAGTTGTCTTTCAATGGCCTCATCGAAGCGATTGTGAATTTTTCTGTATAAAGGCAGCAGTTCATCCAGTTTAAAGTTGAGAAATATGAGATCCAGGCAGTCATCATGCAGTTGTAGCAAGTCCATTTTTAACTAAAATATAAGACAGATTAATAATTTATTTTAAAGTAATATTTTGCTTACTTTTAAACAGACCCAACCTTTTAGATCGAGCAACGTTTTAAATTTCTTGTGCATACGTTTGATTTATTTTCGTTTGGCCATTTAGATAATGAAATCGGTCTGATAATATAAACTGCAGTTCATATAGAATATTTAGCATTTATTCTTTCTTTTTATACTTATATTAAGCGTAAGATTTAAACGAAAGTCCACATGATTTATTTTGTAAAGTTAGCATCTTGGTATGTAGATTTTGTTTGTACTTCCAATGTTTTAAGAAAGTCAAATATATCAGCTTTTCATTATAACTTTATTTTTATTTAGTAATTCAATAACATTTCTTAATATTACAAATTCATTTTTATATTAAGGGATTAAATAGGGATTCCTCTTGCTATTGACGAAACCAAAACCTTTTCTTATTCTAGCCCTAAATAATTTAATCCCTGATTTTAAACTTGGCAAGTAGTATACATTTCTTAAGATTTCTTCTTATATTTCATCTTATTTCTTAATATTTCAAAATTAAAGCGGCGTCAGCTCAGCCAGTGTCTCAACTATGGAGCTGTCTCGGAAACGTCCGATCCTCAAGGCATAAGAAATGGCGTGGGCCACGTAGCTCTGTTCGTGCACTCCGTGGAACAGGTAGGACATGGCACCTTCGGCATGGATTGTCACATCCGATCCGCCATGTAGGTTTTCATCCGTATTGATGGCGGCCTGCTGGGTATACTCCCAGTCGTGGATATCGCTTTCTGCAGGATTCTTTCGCTTTTGAGTGCTAGGATCCACTTGGAATCCTTCGTAGCTGGTGCCATAGGTGAGTGTGGTATAGGATGTCTGTTCAGTCTTTGATGTTCCCGCCAGTCCCAATATGCTGGAGCCCCGATCCGGGTGCCCATTGATGGTCAGGCTGTGTGAATGATCGGCGGTCACGATGACCAGTGTTTCGTCCAAGCGGTCCGTTGACTTCAGGAACGAAAGGGTGGACTCCACCGCTGTACTGAGTTCGAGAACTTCGTGAAGGGCCTTGCGAGCCTTTCCCCGATGATGGGCCTGATCGATTAAGCCGGCTTCGACGACAAGCAGAAATCCCTTGTCACTGTTTCCCAGCACCTCGAGAGCCTTGAGGGTCATATTCGAAAGTGACGGCATTCCGGACTCACCTCGATCACGCTCGTGATCGTACATAAGATGTCCGTTGGCAAAGATGCCCAGAAGGTAGTCGACCTCCTCACCTTTGAGATTCCATAGCTCCCGATTGTTTTGGATGACGGCATGTGCCTCTCCCGCCTCTTCCTTCTTCCGTCTCCAGTCCTTGATAAGATCTCGGCCATCTGCTGACTTGCTCGCCCAAGTGTCCAAGGGATCGGCCTCCGAGTGGCTGACATTCGACACAAGCATTTGACGGCCCCCGCCCATGATCACATTGATGTTCTGACCCGTGGGCAGTTCGACTAGCTGACGGGCAATGTCTATGCAACCCTGATCCCGGGCCTCTGGCGTCATTCCTGTCTCACATTCCCAGCGACGATCCGGCACATGGGCATAGAGAGCGGCGGGAGTGGCATGCGTTACCCTGGTGGTTGTCACGAAGCCCGTTCGCATTCCGTCCATCTGAGCCCATCGCAGGATCGTCTGCACGTGGTGGTCCTGCTGCAAGGAGGCGGTGCAGTTGCCCAGAGGCACACTGGAGTCCACGCCACCCGTCTCGTAGTTAACCTTCACACCGCCAAATAGAGCTGTAGCCGTCGAGAAGGAATCCGAAACTTGTTTGTCCGCGCAGTACGTCTTAAGTAGTCCCATATGGGGGAAGTGCTCCCAGCTGAGCAAACCCTCCTCCTTGAATCCATAGATTCGGGCTGCAGTCACCGTATTAGGACCCATTCCGTCGCCAACAAAAAGGACAACATTTTTGGCCCGGCGCCGATTAAAGTCCCTAGAAACTGCTTTCTTAAGCTCCTTGATTCCTAGGTCGTACCACTCATGCTGCTCCTTGGGTAACTCCACCGGCCAATAGGTCACCGTGTCCATGTCGCCCACATCTTCAGCCATTTCATAGTGCACCACAAAGCCAATACACATGGCTGTTATCAAGAGGCAAGAAAATACGAGCGACATGATGAAGAATCTGGACCTAAACCATTTTGATGGGGGCTCCGCATTGCTGCCGTCGAATTTGGTTTCTTCGGTTCCGCTGGAGCTTCCGGTTTCCACATTATTCCTGGCACTGAGGTCCACTTCATTTAGTTGCACTTCGGTCATTTCCACATCGCTCAGTTTCCGGATCTTTCTGTTTTTGATCGGTGTTTCAGTCATGTCTCCTTCTCACGTCTAGATCGGCTGCCTAATCTTTATACAGACTGAAAATGCGAGATATATTGCAGATTGTTAACTAATCATTGTTTACCACAGATAAAACAGCAATTTATAGACAGATAAACGAAACTGGCAATGAAATTCTCAGTATTTTCAGTGGGTTTTAAATTATAAGACTGAGGCAGCAGTTACGAATTTTGTAAGGGGAACATTTAATTACAGTCCATCTTCCATACCTTAAACTTAGCACTTGCATTATATATATTAATTAATTGTTTAATTTTATGGAGACAAGTTAATGATATTTTTAATATTTGGTAACGGGAAATAAAATAAAAATTATATTTACAAAAGTGAGGTTCTTATTTAAATCGTTGTAGGAAAAATCCAAAAAAAGTTTTTAATTATTTGAAAAAAGGCAGTGGCCCAGTTTTTAATAAAATGGCATTTAAATAAATTTATGAAAAGTACATATGGGAAAATATCTATATAAGAGAAAATGTATAGTAAATATATAACACAAGATTAACCCAGAAGTTCTAATAATTTTTCTTTTCTTTATATTTAAACAAAAAAATTTATTATTTATGCACTTTCCAAAGTTGACTTTTCTTATTTGCTTTATTCGCTTTTTGGAAAATTTTAAAAGGATTTATATAGCCACTGTCTACTGTAGTTGTGAACTAGTGAATCTGTGGTTCCCCAACCAGTGTTGCTAAGTTTTCGGTACAGGACGTAGCTAAACATATCTGTAAGACAAATCAAATAAAAATAGACAGAAAATATGTATGGTAAAATCTTAAAATAAAACAATAATAAGGTGAATTACAAAAATATAATTTAGAAGTTCATCAAGGATTTATCTTAATTTTGTTTTGAAATTAATATTTAATTGTGGAAAAATAGCTAAGCTTGCTTCACTGTCCCCCATCCGATAGCTTCCACCATTCCGGCTATCGATAACCAGTCAGCTGTTCGCTCTCTCGCGCTTGCTCTCCGCTCTCCAACAACTCTCAAACAAATAATGCCTAAAATAACGAATAACCCTTAAATTAACACACCTTTTTGTGGCCACTAGGCTTCAAAATGTTTTCAAAACTGCACAAGGCTGGAAATATGCAATTCTAATGCAAACTGGCCCCAACAACAGCTGGAGAAACATCGATGTATCGATGTCACATCGACCTTACTTCCAGCTCTAGATTGGGGGGTATTGTTTATGGCCGCTCCACCGCCGCTCCAAAACCGAAGTGATTCATATAAAACTCGTCTCCGAATCGCGGCGAAGAGCGCGATTACTGGCCAACGGCTCGAATTAGTCTCGATCACACAAGCGAACGTCCAACTCCGCGAATCCGTACGCGAGCCACGAGTGAAAAGTGTTTGCGTGGACCACGGTTTTCTTTCCCGTCTTCAATCAAAATCAATTAGCTGCGCGTGTGCCTGGGCCGAAAACTGAACTGAACCAGAACTAGCCCACTACCGTGAGCATTCCAATTTGAGAGCAGCCGAAGCACACGCACACATCGGCCCGCCGAGGGAAAAGCAACGCCATGGACGACTTGGGTAAGTCCGCTTTTTTTCGGAGGAAAACTTCCTCAAAACATTCCGCAGCCACCGTACACACACAGAGACACGGCGAACTTAAGCTCCAACTTCAAGGTCGGTCGTTAATTGGAGTTAATTAGCATGCTGCGAAGGTGTGTAGAGTTGGCCGCCAGGTGGCGACACCTCTGGGCCGGAAATCTCTCGGATGAATAATATTCGGTACAGTGAAACGCGAGTAGAAGCAACTATGGCGCTGAGCTTCTACACAAAAATACTTAATACTAAAACAATTAAAATGGTTTTTATATAGCAGAAATAAGAATGCGTAAAAGAAAATTGCTAATTTAAATATAAATATAGAAATATTAGTAGAATGGTTATGTACTTTATATTCTGTATATTTGTTTTCTAAAAATAATACTGTTTAATAATTCCCCTAATTTCCCAATTCTTATCTCAGACGAAGGAACATTAATCATTATATAAAATAGTATTTACGTGCCGCTTTATTCTTGATGATGCATACCAAGTGACATCTTATCGCTACCCGTAAATACTACTAAATTGTGTATATTTGTATGTTAATTGGGAGGTGGCCCCTTCCGCACCTCATCTCACACACCATTTAATACGATTTGCATTCCTTGCACTTTATGATTTATCCGCATTCCTGGAAACCGAATGTATAACTTCGAGGCCACCACTTCCCGCATGTGAGATCATTCACTATTGCGGCATGAGGGCGTGGCTTCGGTTAGCTGCCAAGCTCACCGAACCCTTGGACGTTCAGTGAATGATCTCGGAGAGCCATCGAGCCGGCTTTATTTGCTTTCTTTTGCTGCCACACAGCACACTTTTAGTCATCATCAGCGAAATAAAAGTGTATCTGCCATCTCTTGGCTTCGTTCTCTTTATGACACAATTCTTTGCTGTTTACAGTCCCGTGGAGTGTCTTCTGATAAAGCCACAAATGCAGCCAACTATCTCCATACATACGTATGCTTGTTTGTATATAAGTGGATTTGGGTAATCTTGTTTTTTTTTTCTGGTCAGACATTCTTGAGAAATGAGTAAAGGCCAGGTCGGTCACAAACACCCTCGACAAATTCCAGCTGACCGGCACTCCACCTCAGCACAGTGGTCTGAGACCTATTTGAGAACTGATTCTATTAGATTACTTCCCTTCCTATCTTGTATTCATAAAATGCCAACGACAAATAAACTCTACATTAATGACAGGTGTAGTTTAGGTAGAAGCTTTCTAAAGATTTCGTTCCTATATGTTCAGATTTCTTGTCTACTTGTTAAGGTTGCATGAAAAAGCATATAAAGAAAATATTAAGAAAATTTAGTTAAAAAAGCTAACATAAACAGGAAGTTCAAATCCCTGTCGTACTTTTCGAGAAGAACATACCATGTCTTTTTGTTTGCAGCATAATTCAGAGCGTGGTCCAAATAAGTATATACTCTCTGATATTTATTTATATTTTTTTTGTTTTTAATTTAATAAATTATTTAAACGCTTATTGTGTATAGATTAATATAGAGCAGTGCGCTCTTAAAAAAAACCCAACAAACCAAAAAACCTCATTTCCATTGTCTGCATCTCGATTTTCTTGTCTCAGCTTCAAGCTAAGGAAATTCGACTCTTAACAAGATCGTTTATACAGGAAGTTGGGGCTTCAGCTCCATCTTGATCTCCTGCTTCAATTGCATCAATTTTGCGGCTATTAGCGAGTGCGCGCCCACTTCATCGGTGGCTGCCCACTCGACACGCAACCACTTTTGTTCGTGTTGCGTGTGCGCACTGTAACAGCGGTTGACTCGGCAGTGTTCCCCCGATGAAAGGAAATGTGAAGATCTGCCGAGATCGGTTGAAGGTACTGCTTCAACTGAAGACTGCGATCAGAAATACGCACAGTGGGCCATTACGATTTCTATAGTTTTAGTTTAAATAAACAAATCTCTTAGGGATCGCAAAGAATGTTTAACTCTTTATCAATTTTGAATATGATATAAAAATTAATCATCCATCAATCTAGACATCTAGAACCTAACCTTGTTTTTTAGTTTTAGAGCCATAAACTAATTTAAGCAGATAGATATACTTAGGTAAAACAGATAAAAGAGATATTTATGGAAAATTAATTAATATTATAAATGATTCTTGTATCTAATCTATATTTTAGGGACTTAATTTGGAACTGTAGTTTAAAAACTTACTTCATTAAAGCCATTTAAAGTTAAAGGTAAACTTATTACTTTTTTTAAGACTCACGCTAATTATATTATCTCTTCGAGGCGTCGTTATCGGCCAGATTTAAGCACACTGCTCTCACTCAAACAAAAACAAAACAGAGAAAACGGGCGAAAATATTCCTCGACAGTTTCCTTTTCCCACTTGCGGTCGAGATGCTTCAGTCAGCCGCAGAGAAATGCGAAATGAAAAGCCACTCCACAAGCAAGACAAAAAGCTACTTTTGTTGCGATTATTTTGCTCTCTATTTGTCTTGCAATCTCTTTGCTCTCTTAGCACTCTGAAAACAAAGCCCAGCCAAAATGAATACAAAAAATAACAGAAATATAAGGATTATAAATAAGGCTGTTAAAATTATTAAGTAAAAAATATTGTCATACATTAAATCCAAATAAATGTAGAACAAGTAAAGGTAACAGCTTCCAGAAAATATTTTTTTTCTAAGTTGTAGTTTTTTCTTTTAATATAGGGTTATGTATGATTTCACTAAGAAGATATTGTTTTCACAAATAGGAATCTCTTTTACAAGTTTAACTTAAATTTGGCTAAAAAAGGTATTATAAACATTGACATTTTAGCACATCATTAATAAAGTTTCTTTAATTTGTTTTTAAGCTTTTATTTTATGAGAATAATCTATGTTTAAATAAATATATCAATTTAATCAAGTTAAATTAATCTCTTTTATCAATTTAAAGAGAGAATTTTTAAAATCTATCAAACATTTTGTTAAGTGCACTTTGTTTACCTACTCTCTCAAACATTGGAGCTCTCAAGCTTTCCCTCTCTGCGCTCTTGGGGCGCGAGATCCAGAGAGCCGGAGAGCGAGCGTTGTCTTCTAATGGAGCCCAAGCACTGGGTCCCCAATTGGATTTCAGTCGATTGGGTCTGTTTCTGTTTCGGAGACGCGGACGCAACGCGCGCATTTCTCAGTCTCTCCGATTTCCGAGTCTCGGGTCTCTGTGCTCCGTTCTCCTGCTAAAACAATAACAAAATATGTGACAAGGCAACAAACAGACTGTCAAAGTGCAGGCAAAAGTGTGGAGATAACTCGCAGGAAAAAATAAAAAACAAAAATAGGTGCGAAATCGAGGCGGGAAAAGCTGATGAAAAATCTGTGGAACTGTGCTGGTGACAATACATACTTGTGCAGGTTGAAGCGTGGGAAACTGCTTACTTCGCGCGCAGGAAAACTCACCTCAAAAAAGTTGACAAACAGCTGAAAGATAGCAAGGAGCTCAGAAGCCCAGATAAAAACGATAAAAGTGGAATGCCAGTGGCTGCTAAGTAAACCCCCATTCATAGTGGAATTTTGTCAAGATTAATGGATCCGTGTCACTCGCCTTAAGATTCTGCTAATTCTTGGCAAATCTCCGCGCCAAGATGTTTGAAAAACATTTCGATTTCATTAGCATTTCCCACTAATTATGGAACTAATTATCAACGGACGAGACATTCAAATAGATGAGGTATTTGCCCCGATCTGGCGGAGCAAAGAAATTCGGTTAGCCCCATTCATTTTCGAGCGGATTAAAGTCGTGGGCGGCTGTGATGGAAATGTTGTTTTGGTCTCTGTTCGTTTTTCCGTTTTCTGGAGGGGAAATGCTCGCAATAGAATAACAATAACAATAACAACATGGTACAAAAGCAATTAAATTGTGCCCACTTAATCTATTAAAATTATGACATTTTTCACATATTTCAAGCACTCGAAACCAAGTGCATTCGCAGAGAGGGGAACTTCCGTTCTCTACTCGTAAAAGTATCTCGGGTTACGACAGCAAATGGAAATGCTGGAAAATGATGTAAACTCGCCGGACAAAGTGCTCACAAATAAATATTTTTCTGTATGAGAAGCGCTTTCGTTTTCGGTTTTTATTTTCTATTTTTCGAATATCTTTGTATCTTTCTGATACGCTTGGTTTGCGGCCAAACAGCTCCTCTCTTTGTGTCTCTCCCGAAGCGATCTGCAACCACAAATTATATAGCAATCACTGATCTCCAGAAGATTGGCGGTTTCTTCCACCGCAAACTCGAAGCTTATTTTAGTCTCAGCTACTTAGCACCTTCTGGCTTGGCATTGCAATGAGTTCATCGCTAGTTTCTATTGTTCAGCAAGTTCCCCTAGACTTATAAAGAGCATATTCTCTTTCCATGTTCGATTCTTATCGCCAGCCAAGTCATATAATTTCAATTAGTGTTTGTTGTTTCTATTGGCTCTCCTGATCGGGGCTTTTGAAAGATTTCGAAATGTATAATTGCTGCTGACAGAGACTTGTTGCGTAATAAAAAGCCAGAATTTGATGATGCACAAAGGAACAAGTTTAAAAAGTAAACAATGGAATATTATTTGGATTCTTGGTTTTTTGGCATTTTATTTTGTGTGTTTTTATGAGTATATAACATATGTTTTAAAATACTCTATACATCCTCAATCATTTAGGCATATCTTCCACACAAATTTCTCATAAAAAAAGCCAAAAGATACTTTTCTAAAAGTGAGTCTCTTCCAGAACTAAATCAATATAGCCCAATCAATATAGTCTTCCATTTCCAATCATTGACCAATACCCTAATCAGTTCAACCCTAATTTGATCATCTTGTAGGCACTTCCCTAGAGACACATTATCTTATCTTAAGACTCCAAACAAAATTTAGTGCGCTTGAAAGCCTTAGCAGCAAAGTGTGAGAGATACAGTTTTACAGCGGCGTAAATTGGCCAAGTTTATTGACGGACCTCTCACAGGAGGGACATTGGATTAACCGCCTACATTTTCGTCGGCCTTTCTTTTGGCCACGCATCGCATTTTCACCTTTGCGCCTTCAGCAAGGTCAACACTCGCATTCACACACATTTTATCTACTTACTAATAAAATATTTATATTGAGATCGCGGCGATCGGCCGACGCTCGATAGGTTGGAATTTCCTCTGGCCGGCGCTGCGAAAGAAACGGATCCGTGCCTTGGACTTTTAAATATAGAAGGAAGGCCCGCCGAAAAAAAAAAACAATTGCCCACAATTTTCGGCCCGACGTCATCCTATACACCGACTGAGTAATGCCTCAGGTGTGGAGGGAAACTGATTTGCTATGCACAGACCTGGAACGAAAGCAAGTTTTCTTCTTTTTTAGCCTTTCTTTTGGCAACGTCTTGCGGAAATCTCTCGTCGTAATTTCAATTAATTTCCCCATTTTCCCTAGTTCAGCCCTCTCTCCCTTCATTAGACGACCGAAACGTCGCCTTTGATTTGCTAAAAGTGCTGTTTTTCTTCTTTTTTTTCGCCGGTCCGATATTTTTAGTTGGCGATCATGGTGTTGACGTAATTTGGCAACCTTGATTCCCCTTCCCTCCCACCGGCTTCAGTATTTTTGGCTTGGCTTGCTTTGTTTTTAGTTTGTGAATTTATGTTTATTATTTTTTACCTTTTTTCAATGTGTCGTTATGTGTTTAAAACAAATGTGAAATGTGGCCTGCATGTTCATTTTGGTATTTTTATGATTCCATAAATCTGTCTTCCCAGATCGTTTGGATCAACTTGATCTGGTCTACTATATCTGCAGGCCATCGTAAATTTTGTTAGTTTCATAGATCATCCATTGAAATTCACCTACACATTTTGGATTAGGAGGGAGTCAGCGGAGTGAATGTTTCTCGGGCATCTCTGTTTTGGTTTTCTCTTTCGGTGGCCTCCGAGCTAATTTATCGATCGTGTTGCTGCCTTTTTGATCTTTAGATCACATAGATTATAAAGACTTCTTGTCGAGCTTCTTTATAGAGATCTACCTTGGATGCAGCCAAGATCTAACAATCAAAGCCAACAAGATTCCATTTGATTAGTGATTTGTCGGTGATTTATTGTCCGTGTCATGTTTAGGATAGTAATACTTATGATTGTTAAACGTAATTTTCGAGCTTCTGGTGTTATGAAGTGGCTACATGTAAAGCCTCCTCCCTCTGTTTCACATACCATCAGCGATCATAAGCAAATCCCCATCATCCAATTCCGTATTTTATCAGTCCCAGTCAATTAATAGAATATTTCGAATGCACAAAGCACTCCCTGGGCAACAATTTTCTACATTAAATCACTTGGACTTCCACTGGGGGCAGGAAACTAGTTTTTTTTTTTTTTTTTGTATTATTTTCTTTCTGGGTACTGGGGCAAAGCTCTGATAGACAAGCAAAGACAACGACGACATCGACAACGACAACTACAACGACTCCTCTGACAGGCTAACTCAACGCAAACAAAAACGAACAAATCCGTCGTCGAGCCCCGAAATGCCAAAAATAAAAATGCGCTTATAAATAATTCAAATGAAACTGCTTTTTGTCAATCGCAGCAAAATAACAAAAACCAAAATCTGAAGACTTACAAAATATATATTAAAATGTCACTAAACAGTTCCTAGATTAATCATTAGTATTTTAAATAAAATCCGTGAGCATTGAAAGTGAATCTCGACCGGCATCATGGATAGAACAATGTACGGCAAAATTGATCCGGGTGCGCGTCAACCTTATCGCACGGCCCGCACTAAAGGCATCCTACCAGGCTGTAAGTATTCGCATTGAAGATGTTACCAACAGAACGCAAATTATACGCAAAAGTTAATAATTTGAATAATTAATTGAAGTGAATGCACGCGAGGCTTTCATTTTATTTTCGACTGACAATAAAGTATATAGTACATATTTTTTTAGATGTTGAAATATAGTTACATACCCGGTAAGCAAAGCTCTGTAGCTTAAAAATGCAAGCTTGTTCTGCTTGTTCTAGGTCGTTTACGATATATATTAAAATTTATTGAAGGTCTTTATTTCCATACAAGAATAGAAATAGTTTCCTGTTTGGGAGCTTCGCAAACATATTTAAATAGGCTGTTACCATCGTTACTGCAAGGACGATCGTTGAGCTGAATGTCCGTTGAATCCTTGTAGATGTAACCCAAATGTATGCAATGTTCTTTTCCTCCAGCATTATCTGGTTGCCTTGGAGCCCATTTTTTGATATCTATCGGCTGAGCATTGGAAAACCAATTGTGTTTTCCAGTTTTGCCTAGGTCGTTGCCGGAGGTCCAGTGCTCTGTGCGTTCTCCCTTGCCTTTCAAATACCCAGAAATGGCGTCAAACTCTTCGGCGGTCTCAAAAGTCACCAGTTCGGCTCCCAATTTCCGGCAATTCTCATATCCAATGTACCAATTCACTCTCTCCGCTCCAAAATAATAGTAACCATCATTGATCTTGACAAAAGGAGTCGAATCAATGGCCAATTTTAATGGATTTCCTTGAAATATATGAATTTAGAATAGGGTTTCATTCCTGGTTTTGTCTTTCAAGTACAATATGAAGTACAATATGAATAGTTAAACGGAATATGTAATTGTAATTACTTTGGATTTATCCTAAATAAAAATTCCCTGCAAATACTTACCAGGACTCACAACGACCGAGTGTTTCTCACTTGTCCATCCAAGGCTCAAATGAACCAGGAGGAAAATTAGTTTAACTGCCACCTTCTGCATTGTGTTGCAAACTGATGCGTTTGAAAAGTACTGTCAGCTTATTTATACTCTCTGTATTATCTGGCTGCTAATTACTTGCTGTAGGAGTAAATTGACTGTGTGGACTGTTCTTATGATAAGAAAAGAAGACTTGATAAAATGTGATTAAACTTTCTTCCAGGTATTTGGAATTGCGGCGGGTGTAATTGACTAAACCAACATTTAATTAGTAACCGTATTTACTATCTCATCCAGGATAGTGTATTTATTTTTAAATATAGATTAGGTAAATATTTGCAATTTACTTCCACACCACAATTGATAGGGTTTCTAGTTTAGGTGCCTCACATATATACTTGAACAAACTGTTGTTGTCCTGGGCGCAAGGCCGATCGTTCAGCTCGAATTTCTTGGAATTTTGATATATGTAGCCCATGTGGATGCAGTGCTCCCTCTGGCCAGCATTATCAGGCTGATTGACTGCCCACCTAAGAGTGCTGATGATTTGGCCACTGGTGAACCACTTGTGGGTGCCCGTCTTTCCCAGATCGTTACCCGAAGTCCAATAGTTCTCACGGGAATCGTTGGCCATCAAGTAACTGGCAACGAAATCGAACTCCGCGTCTGTCTCGAAAGTAACTAGTTCGGAATCCAGCACCCGGCACTTCTCATAGGCCTCATACCAGTTCAGAGACTCCCTTCCAAAAAAATAGTATCCATCGTTGATTTTGATAAAGGGTTCTGACTTGAGGACAGCATTAATGGCATTGCCTAAAAATAAAAACCATTTTTAAAATAAATTCACATTGTATTAGGTATTTGAAGTAGATATTTACCTTCATTTATTTGAATGGTGAACTTTTCATGACCCCAACTAACTTTTGTACTGGCCAGCAATACAATAAATATAACAGCAGACTTTATCATTTCTGTGGAAACTGAACCAAACCCAAAGAGCGAGCACGCTTATATACAGCAAGTAGAAGCACTCAGTTTTCAATTAACATTGCTAATTTGTAGCTTATTCCACTTGTTTTGTATGTTTTTTTTAACGTTGAAAATGTTTAATTTGAGCTGACTGAATGTTATTGATAAGGTCGTTTTTATTTAGTATATACATAGTTAAATACAAATGTATGAATTCTTAAGAGAATATGATTAAATTGGTTTAAACTCGAAAAAGAAACTGGGAATTATATTTGTTAAAATTAACTAAAGACATTCTTATTTTGTTACAAAGATGATATTAATCTATTGAAACTCTGGTAATATTAAATATTATTGTTGGACACATTTAATATTTATTTTTGGAAACAAATTGAAATTCGTTTAGCTCAAATAATAAAGCCTACTTTTAGGCAGAAAATAACATTTTTATAATTTATTAAAAGTAGCTCTCTTTGCGGCTGTTATTTGGTTATTGAATATTCAACAAGTCTCTCCTCAGAAATAGGTATAAAGCTTAACAGCAACAAAAAGTAATGTAAACAATTGTAGTATCTCAATCGCAACGGATGACGTAATCGTTACATTATAAACTTACAAGATGCTTAGCTGTTCCTGTCTGCCTTTTCCGTTTTTATTTCACACCTTTTATTCACTCAAAAAAAAAAAAAAAAATAAGAACAAGTTTATAATCTTTAGAGCTTTACTAAAATGTAATCCCTTAAAGCTACATAAATTAATAAAGTAATAATAGCATACAACATTATTTTCTTTAAAATTTAAAATTGTATTATTTAATAATATTTTTTATATTTACATTTAGAAAAAGTTAGAATTTAAAAAAAAATCTATTATAAATATTTACTTAAAGTGTAGTTGCTTAGTTGCTTTGTTTACATCTGGCCGGAGTAATGTTAATTGCACACAGACAAACACCTCGCTTGCATTAGCATCGGATTCTCCAGTTGTCAGCACTCGATTTGAATATTCCCAATTCAGTTTGCATTGCGCCGTCGAGCGGTATTCATCGTATTCAATTTAATAAGTAAATCACACAACCGGCCAAGTGACATGAAAATCGGTAAGCGGCAATCTGTCGAGTGTTGTGGCGTGGGACTCGCATTACAATCGTTGGTAGTCGCTGACCTTACTACGCGCTTCATTCATTAGATCATTAGATCATTGTTCCCATTGAGATCCGAGTATCGGCAGTGGGCGTCAGTGGTTTCCATTCGATTCGTGTTCTATTTATTGCCAGACACGACACTTTGCCATCGAATATGTATAATCTGTGTGGATAAAGTGCGTTTCGCAATGATAAGATTAGCAAATACCTCGCAAGAATAATACATGTGTGTTTTCTTTCGGAATTATGTGTATTCATGTATAAAAAAAGTTCTATAAATAAATACAGTCTTTAGTTTTTGTGATAGCATTTTCCAAAATGTTATCTCAAAATCAGCATAAATACAAATATATTTCTTTTACAAAGATTGTAATAATACTTTTCACCCTTGGATCACAAATGAATAATGTCGTTAAGGTTTTCATACTCTACATTTTTAAAATAACGCAAATTTTGATTTAGTTTCTAATTATTTTGAAACTGAGGGTTTATTTGATCAAAAATATTACCTTAAAAACTTATACTTCTACTTTAAGGGAAGCGGTTCTACGCGAATTTCTTTCTTTCCACAAAAATTATAAAAAGATTTTGATTTTGTTTTAAATCTATAATTAATATGTAGGCTTTATGATAAATTTTTAAAACTTTTCTGCCTTGTTAGCCAGACATATCATAAACTTAAAGTTTCGTCTTGTAGGTCACCTTTGGCTATATACACCTGTTTGGGTTGGCATTACGCAAGTTATTCTAATTGCCGAGGTGATCGCCTCAGGGCATCTAAAACCCGATTGAGATTGATTGCTCTGGTGGTTGATCTCATAGGTCGGCCTGGGCGGATACTACGGAAATTGGAAGCCTGAAGTTGGGCGGGATCCATGGCAACCACGGCGATAAGGTAGAACCCGTTATGCGGCTTTTCAGTTGACACAGGTCGTGGCCATCGGTTTGTTTTGACCGATAATCTCTTGTATTTGCTCAAAGATCAATTGAGTCAAAGCAACGACGCAAACCGAAAAAGATCAAAAAAATACAATACGACTAATTTCCAACAAAAGCTTTAACAATTTGCTGCCATTTGTTGCTTTTGTTGTTCTACTACTAATTTTAGTTTTCGTTTCAAAGTCAAGTGATTCATTCACCCACCGAAAAAAAACAAAAACACAAACAAAAACATAAAACAAGAAACAAAAGCAACGCACTCAAAAGTAGAGAGTGAAAAGCGTGTTGCTAAAGGCGGACGCCAGGTGGCGTCGCAGAGAATGGGACCCAAACGCCTACACAACAACAAATGGCAATAATTACCCAACACCTCCTGTTTGCTCCTCTGTTTCTGCTGAGCTCCAACTGTAAATGTTTTGTAACTGAGCGTTAGAGTTTCACTCAAGTGGCGTCGCACAGTGGCTCTTTTGCTCAAATCATTTGAGTAGAAATACTATGCAAAATCAATCACTTTTGATTATTTATTTTGAAAAGTAAACTCCAATTATTATGAATTATTTATTAACATTTATAAATACAAGTTATAAATATTATATAAAAATCTATAAAAACTTAAAATATTAGTTTTTAATAGCCTGAATACTTCCCCATGAAAGGATAGCATGAAATCCCTTTGTTGCAACGAGTGTTCAACAAAACAAGCAGCCACTGTGCGTCGTCGAGTGAGTATGCTTTGAGTGAAATTAGCGAGGGAGTGGAATCGAGCGCGCGCAGCTTCAGCGGCGTTTGTTGTCGAGCGTCTTGTTCAGTTGCTTTTAAGATTTTGCCGAGCGAAAATAATTCCTGTGCCGCTGCTGCTCGTGTGTGAGAAATTCGTGCGAATGTGTGTGTGTGTGTGAAGAATTTAATTAAGGCAACCGCAATCGATCAGCAGCATCGCAACAAAAACAGCAGCAGCAATAAACCGCAAACAAGCCGCCAAAATGAAAATCGAAAGTGCTCCCCAAAACGAGTCAAAACAGAAAGAGGCGAAGCAGCAGAGAAATATGTAACAATGTCAACAACAATTGCGAAAGGGAGAGCGTCGGCCAATAACAACAATTCGCGAGTGACTTGACCTGCTCTCCCACCCACGCTCTTCGCTCCCACTCTCTCAATCTCTCCTTCGCTGCAGTTGTCATTGCCATTTCAACAGCTGTCACGAGCTGCAACTATTCCTGCCCCTGTCCCTCTCCTCGCCTTCAACTCAAAACTGAGTCCGAGTTGCAGTTTTCCTAAGTGCAACTCCGGCATTGACAAACAGTTTGAGTTGTCCAGCTGCCAGCATTTCTGTGGTGGCTCTTAATTGATTTTAATTGCATTTTAATCAAGCCAGCCAGCTGCCTCTGCCATTGCACTCTATGAATCTAATGTGTGAAATGGCTTTTTAATGAAAAGTTCCCTTGTTAAGGTCTTGAACAACCCAAACAATTTATAGATATTTTATTAGAGAAGTATTTTTTAGATTCCGAAACCGAATCTAAATTCTCTATACTCACATGTTCTTTATAAGATTTTTTCTGAGGACCCTTTAAAATATTTGTATGACAAATATAATTTATAATCGAATCAATATTTTAATCAATTAAAATTCTCAGAATATTTGGTGTTCAAACCAGGGTCTAAAAAACAGTTTAAAACAAACCACAAGCGATTTAAAAGAAAACGTTATTGGATTTGGGATAACATTAACATTAATATTAATAACCTTTAGTAATGCTTTCATCTTTGAAGACTAATAGTCCCTTATTATCTTATTTTGAATTGATTTTGATGATTAAGACAGTTCCATATTGCATCTTTAATATTCTTTAGTAAATCGTTTCTATATAGCTTTGACATTTAATTGCTCTAAAAATGATAAACCAAGATGATTAATGGGAATTCTACCAATTTGGGATTATGAATTTAAAAATCTAGCTCTGCTTCTTTGTCGGTCTTTCCCCTGTGTAGACGTTGACCCACTGAGGCGTGACGTTCTGATAACCCTGCCCTGTCCTATTTATAGACGCTCCCCTTCATTTGCCGCGAGGAAACTCATGGGGAATGGGCGTACAGACCTCACATATGATGAATTGAACGCCTTTCTCGTCAACCACATGTTCGATCTTTCAATTTTGGACTATTTTTAAATTTATTGCGAAATAATTTGGCTGATTTTCTTGCCCAATAATGCAAAATGTTTTCGAATATAAAATCGAGCATCGCCGCCTCTGGTGCCTTCTTGATGTTTTCTTACATACTTGTTATGAATTCGCTTGCCAAAATGTATAAATCGCGTCACACCTTATTTTGCTTTATATAACTCATATACATATTATTGAGTTTAATGTTGAGTGTTTTTTTTTCTTCTCACCGTTCTATTTTCTCGTTCTCTTTTGGCATTGGCCCAGTTACAGGTGTGCCTTTTCCGCACTTCCCTTCCCGCAGAACTTATGAACTCTTGGGTGAAATGTTCAAGTTTGTTTGATTTATTTTCCGGCCTTATGGCTTAATCGCCGGCTGTCATGTCTTTCTAGTGTTTTAGCGATTGTTGTTGTTCCTATTTCATGGGCAGGTCAAATGAATGGCGTTAAGTGCGATTATATGACAGCAGAAACGGCGCGACATCCGAAAGATACTTTCGGCTAGCCTCAAAGCAAGTTGGAGCCTTAGGCTTAGTGCACAGAGAGAAATGAACCTTACTAGAAATCTAATTAAATTTTAATTTAATATTTGACACAAAATTGAAAACTGTTAGCCCAAATGGTCAGCCATCTGGAGCACGATAATCTAAAGACTATTTAAATCGAAAGCTTATTTAAAGCTTCCAAATATTTATGTATGCTAATATACATATATGCGCAAATGAACTTAAGAAAATCAGAAATTCTCAGCAGGTTGTTATGCGTCTTTTTTATTTCTTATAAAAAACCATAATTTATTTTAAATAATTCAGAATTCATCTAATAGACGTATGTTAAGTACTCTTTTAGAATTTTTTGACATTTTTCCCACTCTATTCCAAGGCGCCATTATCATATTTAAGATACATACTTCCCCATTCCCGCTTGACTTTAGCTGATTTAAATATAATGCAAACAACATTAATTTGATCAAATATTTTGTCTAAAAAAAATACTCACACACCGGCAGTTATTATGGCATCGAGTGGATGCGATATTTCATGACTTGGTGCGATTTTTGGCCCGTTCGACAAGTTCGTCCCACCTAAACTGAATCAAAAAACTGTGTGTAGACGTCCCTGTCTCTTGTATATACTTAGATTTCTATGTGTATGTTATGATCAGTCTGTGTTTGGCTAGTTTTGACTGCAGTGTGGGTGTATCTTTGGTCTGACTTTGCTTGGTCCCGGAGCTGATTGAGTTTTTAGTGCTTTAATTTGGTCAGTTGGCAACTGAACTTTCGGGTTCGTTACCTGTAACCAGCTGATGTTTGTTGCTGTTGCCGTATGCTGGATGCTGTATGCCGTATCGGTCAAATTATTTAACTAAACTACCGTTTATAGTGGTCTTTAAAAAGTCGAATTTCGCATACCACAAAGGCAATCGAGTGACAGACAAAAACGAACCATATCGATCCCATCGATTCTGGCCAAATTTAGTGCGTGAAAATGTCTTCAAAACTGATATCATCGTCGTTCCACAGTTCGCCCCTCAGCGACTGCTTCAAAGTGGGCGAGTTCGAGAGACGTTTGGGTAAGTTTGGACGCGTGACGCTATGTTCGATGGGAGCAAGTGCAGCGTGGGCGTTATAGGGTTAATGATGGAGTCTCTGCAGATCGAGTGATATGTACTATTCAAACTGTGCGGGGGATCAAGGTCAAGGGCAAGGTAGCTTTCACTGGGGATGCTGCAGCGGCAGTTATTAATGGGAAAAAGTTTTTATCATCCAAAAATGTATTAATAAGATTTTCGTTAACATTCAACCTGTCCCTAAATTATCGGAAATTTATTTATTTAATGTGACAGAAAGATAAAGAAACTAAAAGTCTCTAACTATAACCTTCAAGAACATTAAACTGTATTTTCTTCCGCCTTGGATAACAAATTATACATCCAATGTGCTGAGCTTATTATCGCCTCCGAAACAAGCTTTCAATTCTTCCCCAGTGACAATTAGCCGGGACACGAACCGAAGACTAAACCTATGAAATCATTTCCAGTATTATTGGGCGATATCTTGCGAGACAAAAGAAAACAAATAAAGTGTTATCAGAAACTTTGGCTGTGAGATATGTGCCAGCTAGCGAAGGTAAATGGCAACGGAACGGGATCTCCGTTCAGTTAACAACGGGCTATGCGTCACAATTGCAGTGACAGGTGCTACTAGCTAGGAATTTATAAGAGAGAATAACCGGAAAAACAATAGCCATGGCCAACTACGGGGATTACGACAATTTGGGTAGCTATAAAAATCTGCAATGAACTTAATAGGTTAACAAAAGTGATGTTTTAAACATAAATGCATAAATAAATGCAATATACCTTGAGTAAAGTGAATAAAAAACGATCTAATAACCAACAATGCATATATAAAATATAGAATATACAAAAATAATTAACATTAAGACAGTACATTACATCATTAACATTATTTTTGTTATCTTCTTTATAGATGCTCTCCTAGCTGATCTGCAAAACAGTGTGCCAGGTCAACCCCAGCAACCTCAGTCGCAATATGGTACTGTGCAGCCCAAGCAGACGCCACTGCATCAACAACAACAGCAGCAGTTTGTGGACAACACTCCAGGCTATGGCAGTCTCAGGGGCAAGGCCCAGCCTCAGGTGGTAAGTACTTACTACCAAAAATGTTACGAAATCAAAACCAACTAAATTAACGTAATCTTTTGCAGTTCCAAGAGCACTACAGCGTAGAAACACGCTCCCCAACGGCCACAGGCGACTTTAATGGCTCCTCTGCTGCACCCGGCTATGCCAACCAGGGATCCTTGCCACGCCAGGCGGCACCTGGGGGCTCTGGACTTTCCGAGCTGGACTCACTGCTGCAGGATCTACAAAATGCTCGCTACAATGGGGCTGAAAAGAAGGGTGAGCACAGAAAAACAAAACTAAAATATTTTAAAAGTTTAAAAAAGCTTTTAAATCCCTTATACCCTCCTCTCGTATCCCTCTTTATTATTTTTAAAAGAAATATCTAGTTGATATTAATTAAATGTGTCTTTTATTATTATCCGTAGATATCGATGTGCCGGTTAACTATAGCACTCCAGTCTCGAAATATAATACATACAACAGCTATGCCACCGTGGAGGAGCGTCCCACCATGGACAGCCTGCTTAACGAATTGGACAATGCTCACATTTATGCCGTGCCCAATGGGTAAACACTATACAATGATAATCCCCACCTGCGGACGCAAAGATTAACTGTGTGACTTTTTTATTATTTCAACAGATCTGCACACAAATCACCAACGCCCGGGCGCCATGTCACCATCACTGTATGCGAAACAAAGACGGAGAAGCTGACGGGTCCCGATGGACCAGGTATATATTTACCATTTCCCCCTTATTTCCCTGGTTCAATTTTAACCGATGTGCTCTTCTCTTTGCGTTTGCAGTTGGAACGGTGGAGGAGCAGATTGTGCAGCAGAAAGATTCGTATACACCCAACCATGCGTTGCCCGGTCAACAGGTTGTGCATCAGGCATACACGTCACAGGCCACCAAGGAACTCGATGACCTCATGGCTTCACTGTCTGATTTTAAGGTGAGTCATAAAAAGTTACTGAGAAAAGAGGATTGCAGCACTTAAATTGTTTACTATTATTGAATTTAAAATAGTGCTGAATATTTGTGCCTAATAAGCTTAACTAGCGTTCTTTCTTTATAAAAAAATACTGCAGAAAAGAGGATAAGGAAATTAGAATAGGAAGACTAGGAAAAGAACTAAGTATATTTTTTTTATGAATTCTTTATATACTAGGAAAAAGTATAAATTGAAACCGCTAGTTAGGAGATTCATTTATATAGAAATTCTATATCAATGCTACATTCACATAAGAATGTCTCTTGATATTGATATTAGGATTATATTTTGACTAGACAGGGTGTATTGTATTGTATTGATAAATTTATATTAAGCTAACGTACCAAAATAATCGGAAGGGCTAAAAATTAAATAATCTAACGTTTTTCGAACATATCGATATAAATCGTTTTTTTTTTCGATAGATGAATGTTAACTATATACTGTTGTTTAGGTTGATATATCATCTTAAACTTTTCCCCTCAATATGAATACCTATTTGACGATATAGATATATTTAGAACTCTTTTGTTTAATTTTAAATATTGTACATACAAATTTTAATTCAAAAACCAAACTATTCTGCGTGTTATTCTGAAATCTTTTCTCTTGTCTATTGTGAAATACAATATTTGTCAATGATTTGCTGCGAGCATCACAAATCATTTACCTTTTCCACCTGTCGGAGTGTTACGCTCACTTTGAACAGCGTCAGAACGAATTGCATGTGGCCAAAAGGCTTTGTACTTTTTCTTGGGCATCGCCTACCTTATTCTGCTCATTTTGCTATCTATGCGGATGATATTTTTAGCAGACGACACCCCAGTGTGCTCGGTTAGATTGGGCTTGTTCTTGGTAATAAAAACCATAAAATGGACAGATTTATCATCGCAAATCGTGTGACGCCAGGCAATGGTGCGAATCTAATGACACGGCCGATCCATAGGTACACCGTTCCCCATGCCCATGAGGCCCACTAAAGATCCCTTAGAGCAAAAGTCGCTGAGGATGCGAGAAAGATCTTGACTTTGACATCTTCCAACGCAATTTGAAGGTGGATGAATATCGGGTATAGTTTAATGGGCAACATAAATTGACTCTGCTAATGAAGTCTGATTATGGTGGCAAGCATTTATGTGAGCCATAGTGATTGTCACATTTCAGCGATTTATTGCACACGGCGCCAAAATATTTAAAGACACCAGATTTCCCCATCCCGCCCCTTATTTACATACATATACCCCAATATTTCTTTATTCTATCCGGATCTCATTAAGCCATCGATCAATTTTGGTGGCAATCGAGTAAACAAAATATTCATTGCACATCTCCTTTAAATGTATACATATGTACATATAAAAAAAAAACATTGTTTCCGTTGATTTGGATTAGCCTGTTGTCGGCGTTCGGCCCTGCCTCGTTTTCTCACATGTCTGACATTTGTTTTTAGAACTTTCGGACATCTTAAAGAGAACGCCTATGGGGATGATGTATCTTAGCAGATGTCTTTTGCATTTCATTCCGTATTTTTTTATGCCTTTTTTTAGCTTGCCTTTTATGAGCTCGTTTAATATACTGCAGTCCTCCGGATGCCCGGTTCTTTCATTGTATTCATAAATTTGTGCCAAGGCTGGGGGAAAGTTTCCTTTTATTGAAAATGTCCTTGGCTCAGTTTGTTAATGGAAGACATCAATCACTGGGTTGAAAAATGCATTATATTTAAATGGGAAACCAATTTAAAAGGAAGAAAAAATAAAAACACATTTAATTTAGAGCTGCTAGTAAAATAGTATAAAAATAGTAAATAGTTTAGTATATAATAGCGAAATTCAAGTTCAATTTTTGTCAACTTTTTTCAAGCCCAATGCTAAGCATTGTTTTTTTTTTATTATTAAATTGAATCTGAAATCTACATTTTACCTTAATATATATATTTAGATTTTAAATACTTTGTGCCAGATGTATTTAAATACATTTTTGCCGTCTTAGTCCAAAAGATTTATTGGCAATATTTTTAATTTGATTATACGTTTTGACGTGACGTTTAGCATCGTTTTTATTTAAGGGAACATTTTTGTTTAAGTTTTAAACTTGCTAATTTATTAAACGATTTGGATTTAACGAAAACGATTCAACTCGATATTATTGATATTTTCAAGTACTTTTGTCATCACCATATAGCTAGAAACAAAAGACCTTATCCGAAAAATGTCAAGATGTCAGCAGGGAATGCGGCAAATTGTCAGTTTGTCGCCAAGTTATTTGACTCGCATTAATTAATAATTAATTACTAAGTGAGGAATATTTTCTGCACACTGTTGGCAATCGATTTGATGGTCATCGTTGCAACAAAATTAGCTCGCAGACACTTAATGGCCAAGCAGAGAAACAGAAACAAGGGGAAGTCCCCCCGCCGAGTCTAGAATCTTTTGAGTAAATTGCAATTCAATGTCATTGACGAATGGCAGCCGTGCATATTTATACGGAGTACGAGTTCGCGAGTATATATTCGGTGGGGCCTGTTAATTATTTAATATCATTTTCAATTTTCTGCCAGCCGTCAGAACGGGTAAAGGCGTGTCCGTGACTTTTTGTTGATATGATAAATACGAAAATTAAATAGGAAATCCTCACACTCTCTCTCAGCCCCTCTCGTCGCTGTTCTTTTTGAAAGTGTATGTATGAAAAGCAAAATATAAATATATTTCAGATATAAACAATATTGCACACGGCACGTCGGATTTTCCCCGGCGCTCAGACAGTTACCCGCCCCCCTCCATTTTCCGCCCTCCTCGCCCCCTGCTTGTCAACGCTTTTTTTTCCACAACGTTCCGCTTTTGCTATAGTTTTTCATTGCAAATCATTTGCATATCTATTTTAGAAAGCGTTTTTTATTCTATTTTTCCCTCGTTTCTATAACCATAACGATCCATTTGGCATTCGTGTGCGTTTTGTGATCTCTATATTTCTGTTTGCGCTTTCATTGCCATCATGTGCTGCTGCTTAAAACCGCACTCGCACTCGCGTTTTCCCCGTTTTCATTGATCGAGATTTCCTTCGGTGCCCCGCTTCCTGTCTCCTCCCCCTTTGGGCTGTTTTTCCTCTCCTCTTGACCGCGACTGGATGGCAGCGTGTGCCGAACGCGCTCATGCGCTTTTTATGGGGAAATCCTGTTGGCCAGCCGCTCGACGTTTGGTTTTATACTCCACGCCAAGCGACGATATCAGCGGTTCCATTCTATGGTCTATTGTCTGCATTGTGTACGATTTGGCTCTTAAAATAGCCAACAAAAATATTGAATAAGAAGCTGGCCCGCCAACGCCAAAGCAATTGGTTTTTTTTTGGGAAAAGCAGGAGCGGATTTCTGATGATACGGGTTAGGTAATGGTCATTTGGTTTTGATTATAGAAAGAAACAGGAATGGTTTTTGTTTTCTATTTTATTTCTTATTTTAAGATATTAGAATGTATAATAGAGATAAATTAGAAAATATTTATAACACCAGATAAATACATATATAATACACAAAAGGACCCCGAACTTATGACTAAACTCGAGACCTCCAGCTCGTAGATCTAGAGTTTTTCCTTTGCATCACAGCTTTTCTTGAATTAAGGGAACATTGGGATAGTGCATAGTAGAAGAATAACAAATTCTTTTTTAAAATGTATCTTTGACCGAAAATGAAGCTTATCAAGTGGCTGAAGCCAACGATATCTGCAGGACGATCTAGACTTTAGAAGTCTGTTAAATAAGGAATGCGACTATGGCTTGAATTTTGGTACATAGATCGATAATTGTCAATAATAATTGACTCGGGGATTATACCCTTTTTCGGCCTGATCCTGCACCTTACAAAAAGCCTAAGCAGCGGTCGCTCAATTAGGCGTCTACTCAGTAAGGCTAAAGCCGGCAGGCGGGCGGGCATAACCCAAGCACGCCCAATGAAAACGCAAAGTTTATGAAAGAAAAATTGAATATTGAAATGGAGACTCGACAGACAAGACCCACATATACACCGAGGCGGTGGCCAGAACAGAGAATCCCCGCCGCCCACTCCTCCTTCCACTTTCCCCGCTTTTCTCCCGGCCAGTTGTTCGCTGGCTCGTTCGTTTGTATTTTTGGCAATGAACGAAAACTACGTCAACGTTGAAGAAAAATGCTTTGCATATGAGGAGAGCGTCGTGCGCAAACACATATAGTTCGGCCAGGAGAATCTGTGCGAAGTGGAAGAGGAAGAGCAGCATTATTTTTGATATTTTGATTTTGATTTTTTTTTGGTAGCGGCGGCTAAAAGCAAAAGTTTTTGTGCTAGCGCTCGCACAACTTTTGATTCAGTCGAGGCAGACACATCGACGTAGGGACCAGCACAGCAGAGCGACGCAAAGGATAATTTCCACTAATCCGCCTCCATTCTACCCCTACCATTCGCAGGTCAGCAACGGAACCAACGGAGTAGGAGTCGGAAACGGAAGCCACCCGCAGCAACACTCGTCGACGTTGCAGCACCAGACGGTCACCGACTACGCCAGACCGAACAAGGGCAGCCAGCAGGCCCATTTAACCCAGACGATCGAGGAGACGACCATCGTCGAGGACAGTCGCGAGGATCAGTTGGATTCTATGCTAGGAAACCTACAAGCAAATATGAGTCGCCAAGGAGTCAATACCGTACAGAAGGGCTGCTGCAATGCCTGCGAGAAGCCGATCGTTGGCCAGGTGATCACCGCCCTGGGCAAGACCTGGCATCCGGAGCACTTTACGTGCAATCACTGCAGCCAGGAGCTGGGCACCCGCAACTTCTTTGAACGCGACGGCTTCCCGTACTGCGAGCCGGATTATCACAATCTCTTCAGCCCGCGTTGCGCCTACTGCAACGGCGCCATTCTGGACAAGTGCGTCACCGCCCTGGACAAGACCTGGCACACGGAGCACTTCTTCTGCGCCCAGTGCGGCCAGCAGTTCGGCGAGGATGGCTTCCATGAGCGCGACGGCAAGCCATACTGCCGCAACGACTACTTTGAGATGTTTGCCCCGAAGTGCAACGGTTGCAACAGGGCCATCATGGAGAACTACATCTCTGCGCTGAACTCGCAGTGGCATCCGGACTGCTTCGTCTGCAGGGTAGGTTTATTCCACACTTTACACCTTGCTCTTTCAAAATAATATCCTTTACTTTTGCGAAAAGATATATTTATTTCAAAAGGATGTTCCACCGACACAAGCTCATAAAAGTGGTCAACATTTCTGTTGGATTTTTGCAGTTTAAATAAGTTGGTGGAACAACTTTTCAAAGCTCAGTCCTTTGCTAGGATATCTTAGCTTTACAAAACTTGAATCCCCCCAAATCATACATCAGCTGACTTTATTTTGCAACACACATGTACCCCTTTTAATCGGTCATCCCGATAACGTTTGTCATTTAGGACTGCAAGAAGGCCGTTCGGGGCAAATCCTTCTACGCCATGGAGGGCAAGCCGGTCTGTCCACAGTGCGTGGGCGTTGATGAGGAGGAATAGAAGAGGAGGAGTCCCAACCATAGCAGCAGCAGCACCAAAACTTGTTGCTGAAGTTCATCAGCAAGCAAAACGAAAATAGACCCGGTGGCAGCGGCTTCGGATACATTTTTGTATCTAGCTGCGTGCCACTTTTCTACTATCAGCGTCACGAGGAGAACCGGCAACCAGCTGCCCGCCGTCCGTCTCGTTCTATTTTCGTTGTGGGTCTAGGAGCAACACAGCAACAGCAACATCAAAAGCAACAGCAACATCGGCAGCGGCCCAGCAAACCCTTGTCTTACCTTCTCTGTTTCCGCCCGGCTGGCCCGCTCCTTGGGGCAGGTGCCGCTGGGCGGTGACTGGAGTTCTTAGTCCTTGAACCAGCCCTCTATGATGGTCTTTTGCCCCTGAGCCCCTGCCCCTTAGCCCTGGCCCCCTCTGACTTGTTGAACTATTCTATGCACCTTTTTGTAGGATTAAGTTTGTAGGTACTTTTTAAATTTAAAATCATTTATGAAAATGACCAACAATATTGTAATTTGTTTTTGTAAATAAAATTTTAATAATTACATATACAAAAGAACAAAAAAAAAATCTAAAAAAAAAAAACAACCAAAAAAACAAACAAGAAGAACACAAAAGGGGAGAAGAAACGTTGAATAGTGTTTTCATCGTTTCAAGGTGGCTGCTGTGACCCTGAGGCACCTCAGAGTCACGCAGCCACCCACTCCCACCCCCCACGCAGGGCCACCTATGTTAGTGTCAAGGTCAGTGTCAGTCCACTGGCCTTGACACATGCGTGGGCGTCGCTGTGCTTGTTCTTCTTGTTGCTCTGTGCTGTTGGTTGATAAACAAATTACAATATTGTGGATTAGATTTTCGATTAGCGAGGGTTATAATTTCCTCAGCCGAGACTATTTTCGTTGCTGACGCTCTAGTCAGCGTCTATCTATATGTTTTGTCTGTGATCGTACAAGTACTTGGGCCATATATCTGACTAGAATGTTTATTGCTTTAGATTTAGTGAAAGCCCCCGCGGTGTTAATTGAATTGATTAGTCTAAATGAATTTATAGATATTCGTCAATTTCCCTAAACTAAACTGTGGATATATGCAATATATTTGTGGCTAAAAATAGCTGGAAAATAATTCCAAAATGCAGTTGCCTTCCAAGTACTTATTAAATAATTGAAATTCCCTATTGATTGGTGAAAATATATTCGTGTCGTGGGATATTTTTAGTCCATATCGATATTGATTATTTCGGTTCGCCTGTTCTTGTTGCTGGGCTGCCCCACTTTCGAGTTTCCTTTACATATACATTAAATCAACAAAGAAAATGTTATGAATCGGGGGAAATCGTTGCACCTGTTGTTTATGGAATGATTGATTTGCGTGGGCTGGGAGGGAGGTTGAAAACTGAAAATAGTTCTCCCCCGCAGCAGATATCACGTTCGCAATGATCCTTTGCTTGGATGATACCGTCCTCCGCCCCCTCCATCCGCCCCTCTGTCTTATCCATTTTCCCCTTGGATGCTGGCCAAAAGCGTGCGCAAAATGTTATTGTCTTCGTGGGACAATTGTTGCTGTCTTGCTTCTTGCGAAATGTTTTTCCAAAAGCTCGAATAAATTAAAACAAATGCCCCTTGCCTTGTATTTATCATATTTAAATTTCGTTCGCTTGTCTTTTTTGACAATGTTGAATTTTCGTTTCCAATTAGCCAGCCATTGTGTATTGTGCCAGGGTATCTGCGCCGTCCATTCGACACTTTTGGTCGTTCTAATTGGGTTTCTCAGGCCAGGCGTAAAATCTCGCACAGCAAATATGATGTTGTCGAGGATTCTCGATCGGTTTTGCTGGTCCGGTCACGCTATATGGCAACTAATTTATAGTCGTAATTAGCCTCAGACGGAGGCTGCACAAACATTTGGCCCACAATACATCATCTAAGCACCTCTCATATATTTCCGAATCTCGTATTCATACCTCTATCTAGTGCCAAGATTTTGTAGTTTCGCTTTTATGGCGCAGTAATTATTTTAAGTAGGTTTATACTGTGGTATAAAATGATCTTTCTAAGGAGTATTTTAGCCATTGGATGAGGATTCTTGCTTTGCTGAATTTATATTTATATTCCTTAAATAGAAACCCAATTAATATATTTTCTATTTCTTTTCCAGGACTGCCGACAGCCCTTCCAGGGCGGCTCCTTCTTCGATCACGAGGGATTGCCGTACTGTGAGACGCACTACCACGCCAAGCGCGGATCGCTGTGCGCCGGTTGCTCTAAGCCAATCACTGGGCGCTGCATTACGGCCATGTTTAAGAAATTCCACCCGGAACACTTTGTCTGCGCCTTCTGCCTCAAGCAGCTGAACAAGGGAACCTTCAAGGAGCAGAAGGACAAGCCATACTGCCACGTCTGCTTCGACAAGATATTCGGTTGAAGATAATTCGCAGCTGCCAAACTTCTAGTTACGGATATAAATATTGTTTTTTATACGATTTACGAACCCTATCCCCCCCTCCAAGCAAGCACAAGCCCCAAACACCACACGTACACCTACTTACCGTGCATCTGTGCTTTTGTATAACCGAGTCAAATTAGTACTTTAATTAACGCTTATCGACAGGATACGATAATAAATGCAATCGTAATCAATTAGCGGACACTAATCCTAATCAATTATGTTGGTCACTTTGATATTGCTACTCGTTCGACAAGGAAAAGACCACAGAATGATAAATAAACATGAGAAAATAAACAAAAACACTTTATATTATGAGGATAATTGGTTTTTTATACGTGGGAAATATGATTAACGGGGCTGGTTTTTCATTAAAGTACTTGTCACCTCGCAACTTTAGAGCTTGTTAACACACATGACAAGTTTTATACATTTATTTTCGTTTTATATTCTCTTTTTAACGATCTTGTAGTATATCTTATTGTATGAAATGTTCTATATTTGTAAAGGTTATACAAATCTTACAACACTTTCGTAGCGATCGTCTTCAAGATCTATAAATACTTTGTTCATTTCTTTTTTTTGTTTAAAAATGATTGAAGTTCTTAATAGAATAATGTACTGTTTCCTTAATTTTGGTTAACTTAATCTAATATTTGGATTTGTAAATAAACCTTTTAAATAATCTGGAATGTGTTGCATACTTTTAGGCATGAACGTGATAGAAAGTTGGTTTTTGCACAAAGAACTTTTCCAATTTTATAATTAAATTAGAAACTGTACACTAATTATAAAAGCGTTTATAATATTTTTAGATTATATTTCGGCGATATTTTTCAAAAATTTTAATTAATTCTCTTCTCGCCAAATAGGCGATTTTTTTAAGAGGCAGTGTGATTCAACCAGCAGCCTCGAATTGTACCGTTTTACTTAGTCCAGCACGCTCTCTCTCCCTCTGGCTTTCCAGGTCCAGAGCCACTCTCCCCCAACTTATGTTTAAGTTATACGTACGTAGTTAGTACTAATTTACACACAATCGATGCACATCGCGCAAAGCTTCGAATGGTTATTATTTATCTTGTGTTATTGTGTATTTTATTCGGAAGAAACACCACCTGAAGATTGCTGACATTTAGTGAACACTTTTTAGTGCATTCAGTAGAGTATTGAAACCGCGTAAGGCAGAGTTTCTTTTAAGACAGTGAAAATTCGACGGAGTGGGGTGAACCTACCTGTAAACTGGACCAGTGATATTTGCAAAAGCGTAGTGGATGAAGGAAGATCCGCAAAAACCAGTGAGTTTGTCGAGAAATGGGCAAGTTGTTGTTTATAAATGCAGGTTGCTTGAAGTTTCCATAGGATCATAACATCGAATTAAAAATGGATCATAACTAAGGAAAAAAGCATTAATTTCAAGTCGGAATATTTTACTGTATTTGTTATTATTAGGTTACCAAATCAGCACCCTGAATTTTACATTTTTTAGACATCCTTGGCCAATTTTTGACAATTTAAACTATATAACGCCTTTATTTTGAAAAAAATTTGAAAAAATTTGTTTTCCTTCAAACATGGCTAGAAAGAAGCGCCTTTTGATGCTAGTGATAGTTTCCAATAAAGCTTGAGGTACCACGGCAGGGAGTGTAATGAATATAAAAAAATATATGCAATGAGTATCTAGTGAACTTCAAAGCCCTATATTTGCTATATTAGCTCTGTTAACTCGTTAGCCGTGACTCGAACCCACACGCTGGCCTCGCTCTTGGGGTTATGTATCTGTATCTTGTTTGCAGAATATTTCACCAACATCTTTGTATCTTCGCACTTGCTCTCTCTGCTCTCTCGCTCACCTTGGACGCTATACTCACCCATGCAGCTGAACAACGATGCCGGCCGGTGCCGACTGCCTTCTCGCTCCCGCAACAGCCACTTGACATTGGGGCAGCAACAGAAGAAGAGGAAGAACCGTGGTGGCCTGCATGCTCTCATCGACCGGTATCCACCAGCCGCACCCCCTCTGGCCATATAAATTCCATCCCCACGAGAGATGGGCGTGTGCGTGTGTGTGTGAATTTGGGCACGTGTGCGTACGAGGTTCGCTTCGCCCCTATATAACGCCGTAGGGTTCCGATACAGCTATGAATCAGGCGGCGTTATTCTCGCTCAGCTCCGCTCATTCATTTCCCATCCGTTGGCCGGTTCGGTTCGCAATTCCGGGTTCTCCGTTTCTCCGATTCTCTATATACTCGCTTTCGGTTCGTCTCGCGGTCGTGTGCCGGTTGTTGTTTTTGGTGCTCGTCCGATTCCGCGTGGGTGTGTATATCATAATATGTATTATATTATTGGTTTAATTGCCATTATTCTATGAGCTCAGCCGGCAAAGAGTTTTTGAATAAAAAATTGTGGAGCTCTGGATAGCGAAATTGTGTGGGGAGAAAAGAGAAAAGGGCGGGCCAAAAAGAAGCGCTACAGGTTGGTGGTGCAAACACACACACAAATACAGATACATAAACTGCGAGAGCATCTCTCACGTGCCTAACTCCGATTCTGACTTTCCGCTCTCTCCTGCCTTCCTCTGAGCCCAAAACATAGCCTTAGCTATCGCCTCTCTCCGAGGTGATGTAATATAAGCCAGGGTAAACCGAGTCCTTAGCCAAACAAAACGCCTACAGGGTGTGCCGGCTAACAGTTATAGTTAAAACTAATTATAGGAGAAGAATCCTAAGATATCAAAAATATATATCTAGATCTGAGGATGCTTAAAGATTTAATTCTATAAATTATATCTTAATATTTATTGAGTCACCTCACCCTAAAGTTCACCGGTAAGACGGTTTACTGTCCCATGATATCAGCCCCAATTGGGCTTATTGTGGCCACAATTGAGGGCCCTATGTGCGGGAGTGTTGATTGTGCGCTAATTTGTCCCGGGTGCGAGTGCGGTGTGTAAATAAAAGTGAAATTAGCCATCGCAAATTGCATTGTAATTCATTTAAAGAGAGTCCCCCGCCTGGCCATTCAGCTCCAATTGATCGAAAGGGAAGGGTATATAAATAGCCGACCGGCTATTTTCAGGTTCAAGGTTTGGGCCTGTCCCCAAACACAACACACCACAACAACAACAACAGTGGAGCCCACACCCTTATGGAGTGCCTGGCCAACAAATTGGGACAATTTCCAGCAACACGCAAAGGCGATTGGGTGGGAGTAATGGCTTTTTTGCTTATTACAGCTCACCTGGCCACAATTTTTGAGGCAGCTTATCACGTAAGCCAAGGGTTTGGCAGCCACTTGGCCAGCTGCTCAGTGCTGCTCCAACCTCTCGGTGGCCACTTATCAGTTTTTGGGTTTTTTTTTTCTGCAATTTTTATGTGTTTACTCGCCGGTTTGTTCAGATTTCTGCCGTATAGTACAATTATTTGCCTTTTCCGGCTGTTGACAGGCACGCCTCTTGCTATTCATGTTTTGTTTATTATTTATATCTAAAAGTATATCCCCCTTTTCAAATGCAAACACTTATTTTTAGAGCATTTTTAATATATATAATAAAATCTTTTCTTAATGGCTTAAAAATCCTTTAAAAATCTTAATTTGTCCCAGTATTCGCTCACATTTTCCATATAAAAAATAAACAAATTTAATGGTATGACTATCACCGCCGAGGGTAAGCAAATATCGTTTCGAGTGGAGCACAGTTCCCTCGTGATTACGGGAATGTACTGATTGTGGGCACTCTTGGGTGCGAGTACATATCTGAGATTGCGAATCGAGTTGCTAATTAGCTGAAGCAGTTAACGTTCTGAGAAATCCATGCAAAAAATAAATAAAAACAGTTTATGGGTGCTTACTCGACCGAAATATTCCCGAACCTAGACAATACGAACTTATCGCTGTGACTGTTTTGCGCGTTGGTATAATTAATGCTAATTGTTATAATTGGCCGATAATTGTCACCGAATCGGCCATTCGCTGTTGGCCTTATCTGCGAATCATGTTTTGTCGCAAGGGGTTTCATAACACGTTTCTTTGCTGTTTCTTTATCAAAGATAATTATCATATTATTTTAGACTTTAGATATAGGCTCCATAGAGAAGATCGTAGCAAATTGACGTAGCTAAAATATCTTTTATAAAAGCGATTGGGTTGTATTAGTAAACTAATCTATTGTGGTGGAACTGACAGGCTGGATAAACATAAAACTGCTGATGTTAGTTTCTTTAAAGAAAGCGTAGATATAGTCTCTTAGCAACTGAATCATATCCACAGCATTCCTTAGACTTCTTAAAGTAACAAAACTGAAGAGCCCAAAAACTAGATAGTATAGAATCGATCACAGAAAAGATTGCTGAAAATTGGCACTGAAATGAAACTGAAAGTTAAATTATTTAGAGATTATCTTCATCGATCATTATACCGCTTTGATGTTGATGTTGTTTTCAGAATGAGAAATAACCAAACACTATTTTTCTGACAAAACATCGCATGATCGATCCGTGCTCGGCACTTCTATATATATTTTCAAGATAGGCTTGCCTTGCAGGGTGGATGCGTAATCGAATTCCTAAGATATTGAGGGCTCAATAAATTCATGCATTCCACGCAAACTTGATAATCTTCGATATATTTAGACATGCATGAGTCGCATTTACGACTCCACTTCAACGAGGGGATTTCAGAGCCCAGACGAGTGCCAGACACTTACTGGGGGCGTGCATAACCGCAAAACTTGGCTATTTCTTAGAATGCAACGGCTAAGTTAACGGTTGCTTATATCTTGCAGATTTCTAAATACATTTAATTAACGATTTTGAGTAACAAGTCAAATTTTCACAACTGAGAACGCAGAAGAACCAAATCATATATCTGTCTCCTCCAGCTTGAATGTCTTGAGATCGATGTGGGGGTAAGGAGCGTCGTCGTGGCCAGGATCTTCCTTCTCCTCGTCCAGCAGGCAGTAGATGCTGTCTGTCTCCTGCTTGATGATCTCACTGCCCAGACGCTTCCAGAAGGGACGACAGCGGTTCTTCCACTGTCGCAGGTTGAAGAAGGCGCAATAACGGCTGGAGGAGGCCTTCAGCATGGCCATATAGAGCGGAGTGATCTCGTCGGCCATTAGCTTGGCCTGCAGATAGTTAGCCATCTTGCGGCTGTGCTGGTCGTTGAAGTCCACGTAGATGCGTTTGGCGTGCTCGTAGCACTTCTTTGCAATGCTCGTCATCTGTGGGTTCTTGGCAAAGATTTTGCCCAGATGCAAAAGGATTTTTGCCTCGAGGTCCCGATGTGAATAAATGCGGGCCAAGCGAAGGGCACGCTTGTAGCAGGAAATGGCTTTTTCCGTCTGATCAAAACTGTTTAAAAATATAAGCTTTTGGGTTAGCTAATCAAGGCATTTGATAAAGTCGAATAGGAATTAACTGAAAGTTATCTTTAGTTGAGAAAACGCTCTTACTTACATCTGTGAGCACTCGCCTTGATATAGATAGTACTTTATGTTCAGTTTCACGAAGCAGTACTCCTTGAGGGCCAGTATTTGTGTTCGGATCTGATCTAGGCACTGCTGGGCCGAATCGTAGTCGCCGGCCTCCATCAGGAAGAAAGCGCTCTGAAGGAAGGTATCACAAAAGATTTCCAGGTTTTTTTCCCTGCCAACTGCAGTGAGCAAAATATTAGTTTACAAATTTAAAGTTTAATACTCAACGCAAAAAACCATTTCCAAGAGTTCTACAAGAGCTCTCGGGACTGCATTGGCTTATAAAATAACTTACTTTCCGCTACGAGAACCGTAGCCTGTCGTGCCAAGGCAATGGCCTCCTCCGGCTCCTGGCGCACGATGGTTTCGCCGTGGATGAGCAGCTGGCGGGCGAGATCCTGGGCCACCAGTTCGTGGAGCGTGAGGCTACCGGCAGGCATACCTATCTGAGCGGTCCAGACATGACCTCGCACTATATTCATGGCGAACTGCAGGTACTTAAGGGTCCCAGCCCGCTGGTTAGTTTTCATGAGATAGATGGCGTACAAGTAGTAGATGCGCGAGATGGACTCCGCGGCCTCCCGAGCCCGTTCCTGGCCCTCGACCTTGTGGCACAGCGCGATGATGTGCTCGTAGAGAGATCCCAAAGCGTAGGCATACTTCTGGCGGTAGGGCTTCATCAGGTCCATCGTCTCGTAAAACAAAGCGAAGGGCTTCTTGAGACCTCGATGCTTGTTCACCTTATAGGCCAGCTCCGCTTCCTTGAGTCGATCCACCATTTTACAGAGCACCTCAGTATCGTCGGAGATCCGCTCTCGGATGTTAAGGCTTTCGAAGAGTGCCTGCTCCTTGGTGGCCAGGCAAACGAGAAACTCCGGCAGCAATGTGCATCCCGCCCGGCGCACCTCATCCTCCAGGGCCTTGTACACGGGACCCTTGATCCGAAGGGCTTGGTCGCTGGTCAGCGGAGGAATGCTCTCCCGGATAATGTCGCGATCGAAGCAGATCTCGCGAAAGCTTCGGTGCGGTAGATTCCTCTTAACCTGGCGCGCAATGCGCACCATTTCGTTATGCCTCTGGGTATCCATGATTGGGATTAAAGATCCTGGGTCAGGACCGAGTAAAAGTGTTTACTTCGATCACTGTGGAAAATATTTTCTGTTTGAAACGTCAACGGTTACTTGATTTAGACTCTTGTTTGCCTGGCTTTTTCAACAGTTTAACTTTGAATTAGTAGCTATTTTTTAAATTGGTTCTTCGTTAAATATTTTATTAGTGTATTAGGATTCAAAAATATCCCAAGTTGGAATTCATTACAATTTGATTCATGTCTTCTGACGTAAAATGCAAATATTAGTAATTTTTTAAACTTTGTCATAAGTATATGTTATATTATTTTACGGTCTCTAATGCGACATACAATTTCATTATTTTAAGTGGTTGTATATAGAAAATATTATTATAGGTTAAAATTTATAAAAAAAAACAATCATATTTGTATTTCTTGGCTTTCACTTCAGATTATTCCACTTGCGCTCTTTTTATAATATTTGGTTTCCGCCCCTTGATAGCTCTAAAAGTTCAAAGTATTAATTTTGCCTCGAAAAAAACACAATTTTCTATCTTTACTGCCAAGCTCAAATGACAGTTTTCATTTGTCTTGCAGTTAAAAGATTTAGTATATGGCTGCCATAAAATTTGTGCAAAGATAAGATGATTTCTGTCACTTACATACATTATTTTATTGGAATTTTTTCTTAAACTGCATTTATTACAGTTTAAGAAGCTATGCAAAGATACTTAGATACATTGTATCCGTTCCCAGCTGTGCTTAGCAAATACTCGAACCAACGCCTGAAACTCTTCCCAGATGTACTTCACAGTAACAGTAAATACACAAACCCTGGACTCACTGACTCTCAAACCACCCACTCTTGAGGTTTTCGCCTACTATGGCTTCAGTTCAGTGCACGCTTGCAGATAATGCAGTTAGAGTGCTCCACTTGGTGGGTGCGTCTTCGTCATCACCTGTCCAGTCGGTCTGGTACCTTCTTTTTCGTTAATTGTATTTGTAGTTTGGGTATGCTTCTTATGGCTCATTGATCGCAAATCTCACGCTTTTGCTTCTGTTTACAGTAATCGATTCAAACAATGGCCAACGAGGACACGAGCTTCATTCCCGATCTACCCACCGGCGGACCTCTGGCCGCATATCGCAAGAGGGCCAACTTTGACTGGAAGCGATTGCGACTCATATTCGAAAAGGAGCAGGGACTGCGCATTAAGGTGAGTGCAACGCGATCAATTAAGGGAACTTGAGTGCCATCGAGCATTTGGAATTCCAGTGAAGCTAATTACCGCGCTTTGACTTCTTGATTGACCCCGAATGTCAATTTAATTGAAGTAATTGTCGAGATCAAAGCATTTTTTAAGTAAACTCCCAGCATTAGACTGTGGGAAACTGATTTCCAGTGAGCTATAATTTGTTTTAAATACTTTAAAAAAGTTTAAATTAAATTCTCCTATTTGCAGTACAAAGTATGGCGTCGCCTGGAGAACGATCCCCTCTTTGCCCATCCCTCCCGCACACTGCCCATGGATGAGCAAAAGCGACTTTGCGCCATGCAGGTGAACCGCATGAAGCACCTGGATCTGGTGCCCAAGGAGATTGAAAGCCTGAGCTTCTCGGCCAAGACCAAGTACCTGATGTACATCAACGAGGCCCTGGCCTGCTACTCGCCCAGTCTCTCTGTTAAGATCGCCTTGGGCGTTGGCCTGTTCAATAATGCCATCCGGGCCATGGGCACTGAGAAGCACCAGAAGTACATCGAGGCGGCATGGAACCGTGAGGTGATCACATGCCTGGCCATCACGGAATTGTCGCATGGCAGCAACACGAAAAGCATTCGCACCACGGCCACCTATGATCCGAGCACCCAGGAGTTTGTGATCAACACGCCGGACTTTGAGGCCGCCAAGTGCTGGGTTGGAAATCTGGGCAAGATGGCCACCGTGGCCATGACCTTTGCCAATCTGTACACGGCCGATGGTGAGAACCATGGACTGCACGGCTTCTTGATTCCCATACGTGACCCCAAGACCCTGATCTCCTACCCGGGCGTTCTCGTGGGCGACATCGGTGAGAAGTGCGGCCTGAATGGCATCGACAATGGCTTTGTGGTCTTTACCAACTATCGCATTCCGCGCGACAATCTCCTTAATCGCACCAGCGATGTGTCGCCCGAGGGGGTCTATGAAAGCGTGTTCACGGAGCCCGGCAAGGTCCTGGGAGCCGCTCTTGAGAGCTTCTCGGCCGGACGCATTGGCATCATGCAGGAGTCGGCCAATACCTTGTGCAGTGCCGCTGTCATTGCTGTGCGTTATGCGGCGGTTCGCAAGCAATTCGGACCGGAGCGACAGGGCGAGGAGATGGCCATCTTGGAGTACCAATTGCATGTAAATTCAATGTAAATTCATTTATTTATTAATTTATTAGCAACATTTTTGTTATATCCCTCCAGCAATATCGTATATTCCCCTATCTGGCTGCTGCCTGCGTCCAGAAAATAGCTGTTGAAGAGCTGACCATCACGTATATGGAAATCATAGCCCGTTCCCAGGCCGACTCCAATGGCTTCGACATCTTGGTGAGTCTTGTCTTAATTATTAAACGTTCTGTTAATTAATTACTCAATTTTAAGACCCAAAATGCAGCTGAGATCCATGCCTTGATCTCCTCCTCGAAGCCGCTCATTACTTGGGCCGCCCGGGATGCCATTCAGGAGGCCCGAGAGGCTTGTGGCGGTCATGGCTACTTGGCAGCTGCCAAGCTGGGTCAGATGCGCACCGACCACGATCCGCTGTGCACCTACGAGGGCGACAACAATGTGCTGGGACAGCAGGCCTCCAACTGGCTGCTGCGCCAATGGAGCGCCAAGGAGCTAGAGACGCCCATTGGCAGCGTGAAGTTCCTGGAGCGACGTCATGATTTGCTGGCTCTGAAGTATGCTACGCTGGTCCAGCAGACTCCGATTTCCAGCTGGGAATGTGAGTGAATATAAGGTTCCACTTACTTCAAGATCAAACCTTATTAATGCCTCAATTTATTTGCAGTTTCTCTCCGTTGCTACGAGTGGCTGCTGTGCCATCTGATGGCTCACACCACGGCTCACATTGAGGGCGAGTTGGCGGCCGGTGGAAGCAGATTCGATGCGAGAAACAACTCCCAGGTGGCCGGAGCCCGGGAACTGTCCTTGGCCTACGCCGAGTACTATGCTCTGAGCCGCTATGCCGATCATGTCCGCAAGCTTAGTGTGGAGCCGCCATATGCTTCTGTGCTGCGTCTGCTGTTCGATGTGTATTCTATGTGGTTGCTGGAGAAGCACATGACCACCTTCTATGTGGGTGGATTCGCAGCCGGCAAGGATTTCGCGGCGGCAGTGCGACGGCTGCTACTCGACAGCTGCCTGAAGCTAAAGGATGTGGCCGTGAGCGTGGCCGATGCCATTTCACCGCCCGACTTCGCTCTGAACTCGGTGATCGCTCGAGCGGATGGGCTGCTCTATGAGAATTTGCAAAATGAATTTATGACCAACGAGGGTGCGTTCCAGCGTCCCACCTGGTGGCGGGATGTCATCATACCGCAGGCCCAGTCCAAACTGTGAGGATTCCCACCGATTTTCATTGAGACGACAAGTGCCTGGGACTTGGTAACGGGAAGGGAGTCGGCCAAGTTGTAATTGTAATTGTGATTGCCCCATTTGTTATCAGGTATTACGGCAAATTGCATTCGCATTGATCCTACATAGTAAACATTTTCCATCATAAATTGTAACGTTCACTCGAGTATTTTAAGATCAAATCTGTTACTAGCATACGGGTTAACAAGTTATGTAAAAATTAAATGATGTCAGTTGATTACAAGATTTATTGATGCGTTTGATTTATATTTATAAGAGAAGAAAGAGCTTCAGAATCAATGAAATTGATGGAACCATATTATAATATAGATATAGAATCTTTTGAATTTTTGATTAATAATTATAATCCTCGAAAACTCTTAACTGCTGGACTCGCATATTTCAGTTAAAAAACCTTATTTATAGAAGGCTTTTTACAAAGGTTATACAAAGGTGAACAAAGCAATTAGCTAGAACAATGATTGTAAATATAAAATCTTTAAAAATATCTTATCTAGGCAAGCAGGTACTTACTTTATTCCTTTACAGAATTAAGTCAGCAAGTCAGCCCAGTCAGGAATTATAGACAGGATCGAAGAAATGGATTTGCCAGAAACTCGGAATAATTTAAAATTCAATAACCCTCATTAAAAATTCGGGAAATTCTCGTGCTCTACATGAACTTAATTACTTTCATTAAATTTGCATTTTATGAACCGTAAATCATAAATGCCCCTCAACTGTTGTCTTCAAAATCGCCCACAAACAAGCTTCAAAAACAGCTAAACGCTTTCATCGATCGAGAAGTAGAAACCCAAACTATTTTTTATTATAATTAGTCAGCGAGACAGCGAGCCTCCTCTTACATTGAATCCCCGAGGCAAGAGAATCAGCCAGCGTGCCGTCATCGCCGCAGGTGCCAGATCGTTTATAAGAGGACCTGGCCTCACCTGACCGGACCCAGACGTTGCCCAGTTGCCGCACAGTGAAGAAGACCGCGGAGCATACGAATCCGAAGCCGAGCTCGAAACAAAACAAATATACCTAAACTGGTCGGGAATCGATTCATAAACAAATCAAGTGAGTGGTGCTCGCAGTGTTTCTGTATCTGTGAAACTGAGAACCCTCCGCCGAGAGGCACCTCTCACTCTCTGCTGCCCAGCAATATAACTTTGATAGTTTTGCCAATTTGTGGCGCAGTTTTGGTTCCGTATTTGGCAGTGTATGTGGTAAAAAGTGCTCCGCCTTATCAGCAAATGTGATTATAACGATGCTCCATGAGAAACAGTTCACTGATCATCATCAAAGTCACGGCATTGTGATCAGGGAATAAATATATCAGAATGCGTGTGCTACTCAGTCGAGTTCCTTTGTCTCAGCGGAGCAACGTGCAAAAAGTTGTTAATTATTAAAAATGTATATGAGAAAACACAAAAAAACCAAAATGAAAATTGTAAATCATGCTCGTTGGACCGGTTGCTCATTCAATTAGAACATCACAATTGCCGAAAACAAAAAATCCCCCGTTCGATTGGCAAACTTGATAAGATCTTTTTTGTAAAAAAGTGACAAGCAAAACCGTAAACAAATCGGAATATAAATGGCGCACCAAAAAATATATAGAATAAAGTGGCAGCCGTTGAAGAAGACTAAAGGGAAAAAGCTAACAAAAAATAATATAACGAAACCATAATAATATATATATATATATAATTTCTAAACGCCGAACAAATTAGTAAAAACCGGTTTGTTCTTCCTCTCCGCCCCTCTCCCTGGGCAGCCGAACAAAACAAATTGAGTCAATAATATACAGAGTCATATGGATATATCTATCCATTAATTTACATTTCGGGGATTTCCGCTTTCGATTCGGCGGTAGGCCGGGCGGCGATTTCTTTTCGCCAATTCATTATTAAAAAATCGTGTAAGGGCAATTAGCCGAGCTTGGAGTTGCACATTTTATGAAATGCCTGTAATTGCAGGCTTTGAATATATGCACACACATCGTGGCCCTTTCAGCGGGGGGATGCAGTGAAGCCAATGACCCAGGAATCGATTACAGGCAGTGTGCCGCCCCGCACAGATTACCGGCTTATGCAAGCGGATTTATGGATTCTGGCCCGGGGCTTCTAATGACAATGGGTGCGAACACTGGGGAAACAAAGGGCCCCAGTCATTAGCAGACGCTACTGGACTCTCTACAGACTCCCCAGTAGATGATCTTATATAAGAAGAATTCATCTCGGATTCTAAATTTCGAGTATATCTATTTCCGCTTGGCTGATCTGCCACTTACACCCCGAATTTGTGTATCTAAAATATGCATCGCTGGATGCCAACCAGTTATTTTTACACTAATTTTCCAACCAGTTCTTAATGACTCCTTTGTTTTATGTTTTTTTAGAACCTCAAAACAATACAGCAAGCGAATTTTGCGTGCGCCGATGCGAGTGAAATAAAATGTGGAAGTTTCTGCTGATTTGTGTGGTGATGAGTGTTTTGAATGGAGAGTCATCTGGCGGTAAGACTTACCTTTAAAAAGATTATTTCCTTATTTGAAGAAACAAAATGAGTTTAATTTTAAAAGCAAACATAATTTACAACTGTTTTGTTTGCCTTTCAGCCAATAATAGGCAGCGTTCCCGTCCACGTCGCGCCTATGCCGGAGGCTACGCAGGAGGATATGCCAGCAGCGGCGGAGGAACTGGTGGTTATACGGGCACCTACAACAGCGGCGGTGGCGGTGGCTACTACGACTATGATGACTATGATGGCAACTCACCCAACTTTGGCATCATCGATCCGTACCTCTTCCATCAGCAGCTGACCAACCATATTCTGGCCCAGAATTACGCCAACCAACAGTGAGCATCGATCTTGTCCGTGGGATCTTGACTGGGATCTTGGGCTGGTTACGGGTGGCTTTGGGTTTACTTAACGCTTGACTCTGTCTATTCTTGTAGAGCTGTAACGGGTCTGGCCACGGCTGGCAATGCTTTTGCATCGGCAGATGCTTCTCTAGTCGACGACAACGACATGTAATTACGACTAACCAAAACAGAGTTGCTCACACAGGTGTCCTCGAGGGCTTTGAGCTGAATGGCTCGTGGTCCACGGAGACTCTAAAGGAGCATATCTGGAACCTAACTTGGAACTAATGATCATTCTGACCATCTTTTCGATATACTAATTTGGGTTTTTGTCCTTGGCAGTCGCATCCAGCAGCAGATTGCCGCCCAGCAGGCCTATCATGATAATCTAGTGCGCCAGAATCGGTATCGCGGAGGCTCAGGTGGATCATCCTACAACTCCCATCGCTATGCTCCCAGCTATGCCGTTGCTTCCGGATCCATCGGACCCAATGGACACCGCCAGACGGCCTATATTAACCCAGCCAATCCGGTAAGTGCATACAAGTAGTATCACATCTGGTTTTAGATTTTAATAATTTTTTTACAAATAAAAATACAGAATAAAGATTTTAAATGAATGAATTTTCCGTTTTGATTGATCAGTAGAATTAAAGTAAAATCCCTATAAAGGATTATCACTATGGAATGTGCAATAAATTTTGTTTAGTTTTGCTTTAAATAAAAAATCTTGTAGTCAAAGGATTACTTTGATTTAAGTTTAATAAAATTAATTAAAAGACATAATCAAATAACTAAAATTAATTTTATTAAACAGAAATAATTTAATAATCTAACAATATATTTGTTAATTTAAGAATTCCATTAGATAATACAATTTTAAGATGATTTCGCAAGTAAATACATAATATAAGATACTGCAGCTCCCTGTTTTGTACTTGATTATTCCAAACTTATGATTACTCTTAAAAATATATATTTTACATACTTTTTTAAAACCAATCCTTCATTTACAGGCCTCTCCCAATATTGTAAACCGCTTTGGCGGCGGCAGCAGCGGTGGCGGCGGCTCCTCGTACTCCAGCTCCAGTAGCTCTGGAGGCGGCAGCGGAGGTGGCGGCGGCTACAAGGGCGTCTCGGTCTCATCCTACAGCCACAGCAACGGGGACGGAACCAGCCGACGTGGCGCCCAGACCACGGTCAACGACAACGGAAAGGTTACCTCGTATTCGGTGCACTCCTAGGTGAATCGCTGGATACACTGATACTTTTATTTCGGAATGGCAAAAGGCTGACCGAGCCCATTTAATTTTGTATAAAATAAATATATAAACATATGTGTATTTTATTATAAGTGTGGCGACTTTCTTATCGGTGGGATTTCCAGCGCGGCAAAGCTTTCTTTTATTAGAAAGTTTCCTCTCCCTTTCTCGCACAAAATATGCAACTTTTTTGTATATTGACCTTGATTTTGATAATGGCACACAAATCATTGTATTTGATTTTGTATTTATATACATAATTTCGTGATAAAGTGTTATATACTTGGGGTTTATTTCTTGAATATATAGCAATATAATTAAATGATTATTTTTATTTGTTTGTTTTGCTTGGACATTTCCTTTTCATAATGGATGGAAGAGCTTATCAAAGGTGACAGGAAGTGATTGATCTCATTTGGCTTGGTTTAATATAAAATGGCTAAATTTTGGTAAAATAAGTCTTTATTCAACGTTAAGGTAAACGAGAAGAAGTTCTGAAGAATTTTGTATCTGAAAATTTTAAAAGGGAAAGATGTTATCATCTTGAGAAACTTGAAATACATTCCAAAGCATTTGGCTTACAATTTTCGTAAGATGTCTTTGTGTTATTAAATATTATTGTAAATTTTCATTTCATTTTCATTTCTATAAATAGAAACTAAGTATCATACTTAAATATCCCTTTGATATAACCATAATTTAAGATGCATTTATCCGAGCTAGTCATAAAATCAGATTACATCTGACAGATCTTGATCTCAAAGTTAATACCAGGAAAATTCTAAAACGTAATTCCTGCCAAGTTTGTTTACAAAACGAACAGTATCCGCAAATAGTACGTACATCGGAAAGCGAAATGTGTATTTCCTGAAACATAATTCGCGCTCCAAGGTCTTCTATATATTCCTTCACCTTGGTCAACGCTTTTTCTAAGTTCAAAGTGAGCTCATTACAATCGTCTTCCACCTATAAACATGGTCCTCATATAAAATAAAGCAATCGCTGATGTGTTAATGCTCGCAATCCGAACATGGCAACTATATACTATACAGTCTTTGGGCAAGGTTCCGAGGCAATATAAACCACAATCTATATACAGAGATGATGTCGCAATTAACTTTCATCACTCGGCTTTCTGCACCAATTGCGAGCTCCAATTCGTAGTGTATATAGTACACATTATCAGTGCCGCGGCCCAGAGTGGCATCCTCTCTAGGTCAAGAATCAATCAGTTCAAGTCTGGCCTTATCATCCCCCATGTCTGGGCTTTAAAGCTCGGTCCGACTCGCCGTGTTCCTTAGTTCAATTTCAATCGCGAGCGTCGAACGTTTTTCCGGAGGAGAATAAATCAATACCCAAAATGAATAAGCTGCTGATTTTGGCCCTCTGCCTGGGTGTGGTCTGTGCAGGTAGTGAGCGATTCTAAAATTTCTTAAAACAATTCAAATCCTGCCTAAGCCGAATCGATTCCGAATCGCCTTGGTGGTGGCCTTATCAGCTCAGTCGGATCTGTGGTGTCGTCATTGCCATTGGTGGATTTTACCCTCAATGAAATATTTACACAACACCTTGGAAAATTGTGTAATCGTGGCGCGTGTTGTGATTAGAGATTGTGAATTTTTCAAGTAGTAATTTTGATATTCAAAGCTATAAAAGTGATTTAAATTATATCACTTAAAGTCTTGACTAAAAGAAAGTGTGTGTGATTTTTTAAAGAGGCCTCTCAACATTATTAGAAATATTTTTTAAGCAACTAAATATTAATCACTAATTTTCCTTTCTCATTTACAGATTTCCAGAACAGGTAAGTTTTTTATGGAAAATTTCGTTTGTTCCACCTCATAATCTCGTATGTATTTTGCAATTTTGGTAAAATGGTTAGACAAAAACGGAACGATTTCCATTCTCGGTAAGTGCAGTGTGGCAAATGTTGAAGATTTTTCTTTTTGTATTGGCAAAAATTGAAAATTCCCCCATTGGCTGGCATGGCACTTCAAAATTTAAATCGAAATTACTAAAATTCTTTAAAAAATTGTGTATGAAAGTATAAAAACTCTTTCATATTTCAAGAATGATTTCAAAGGAAAACCAAATATTGAATATAATATAAAAAACCTTTAAATTAAATTTTAGAATTGATTACTATAATAATTTTCAATGTATAGTAAAGAATGCATTCTTGAGATTTTGAATATTGTTTTTTTGTTTAATTAAATTTTTCCTTTTTAATAAAAAACCCCAAATTCCGCTCTCAGCCACTACGCAAACCATAATCAGGCTGTGGAGACGGCCCGCAGGAATGCCTACGGATCGAGTGGCGGCTACGGAGGAGGAGTCTCTGGCCAGGCCGATGGCTCCGCTAGTTTGGGAAAGCTGGAGAGCACCTACGACTCTGTGGGCGTGACGGAGTCCGCCGAGGGTGCCAGCGCTGGCGGCGCTGAGGTGGCCGGTGGTGCTAACGTGGGCCTGGGTGCTGGAGTTGGCTCCTCCTTTGGCTCCCACAATGCTGCCTCCTTTGGATCCCAGAATGCTGCCTCCTTTGGATCCCAGAATGCTGCCTCCTTTGGATCCCAGAATGCTGCCTCCTTTGGATCCCAGAATGCTGCCTCCTTCGGAGCCCAGAACGCTGCCGCCTTCGGAGCCCAGAACGCTGCCGCCTTCGGAGCCCAGAACGCCGCCTCTTTTGGATCCCAGAACGCCGCCTCCTTCGGCTCCCAATTCTCTAGCAACGCCGCCTTTACATCCAACCACGCTGCCAACTTCGGCCAAAACGTGGGCAGCAATGTGGAATTCGCCGATTCCTCCAATGCCGGCACCAAGGTCAACTTCGGTGGCTCCAACGCTGTGGACGCCGAGTACGTGAGGGGTGTCCAGACCGTCCAATCCGTTCCCGCCGCCACGGGCAACGTGGAGTACTACCGCGAGGAGAAGGTGAGCTCCGCTGCCCCCGTGACCTACACCCTCCCCGCCTCCTCGGAGAAATACGTGCGCCATGAGGAGCGCACCGTCCAGCAGCAGCCCTCGGTCCAATACGTCCAAGCCCCCACTCAGACTGCACACTACTACCAGCGCAAGGTGACCACCACCGCCTCAGCTCCCCAGGTGGTGCAGCCTTCCGCCCGCATTACCTACGGCTCCAGCTCAAACCTCGCCTCCAATTTCGGCAGCAATGCCGCCTTCTCCTCGCAGCTCGGCAGCTCCTTTGGCCAGAACTTGGCTTCCAGCAGCGGACTCTTTGCGGGCCAGAACAGCGCCCTTACGGCTGGACAGAACAGTGGATTCAACAGCGGATTCAGCAACACACTGTCGGCGGGACAGACCGGTTTTAACGCGCATAGCAACTCTCACCTGTCGCAGCTGCTCAACCAGGTTCACCAGACCGCTCGCCAGCAGATTGGCTCCAACTCAGTTTCCGCCAACCAGGCTCAGGCCGGCGGCTACAACTCTGGAGTTAACGCGGGCTTGCAGTCTGGCTTCAACACCGGCTTCGGCTTTAACTCGGCCAGCTCCCTGAACTCTGCCAGCTCCCTCAACTCGGCCAGCTCCCTGAACTCCGCCAACTCTCTGAACGCTGGAACCACCAGTGGATCCTTGCTGGCCGGCAGCCAGGGTAGTCTTTTCGGTGGGCAGTCCCTGCTCAACAGCGGCATATTTGGCCAGCAGAGCAGCCAGCTGGGACAGAACAGCGGCCTGCAGGCTGGCTTTGGAGCCGGAGTTGGTGCCGGCCAAGGTGGCAGCAACTACCAGACCAAGCAGTGGGAGAAGCAGTCCAAATGGTCCTCCCAGTCTGAGGTAAATCTGCATGAAATATCCCTATTTTTATAATTTACTACTATGAGCTTATTTAATTAGTTAATTGGATTTAATTTTATTATTAGAAACTATTAGATTTTCATCTAAAAAAATTAATTTCATTTCTTTCAGTTTGACTCCAACGGTCAGGTGAAGAACTACAGAGATTTAGCCACCGGAGAAAGCGAGAAAGTCAATGTCAATGGCAAGGAGACCGGCTACCATGCAGCCACCGCCACCGTTGACGACAATGGCAAGATCGGCTCCCACAGTGTCCACTCGTAAGCGGTGTAGCTGTTAAATCCTTATCTAAATCAAATTTTAGAAGCCTTTCGTGTTCTTAGAGAGTGAGTCATCCAACTGAATGTTATTGTAAAATAATGTGAAAATAAATAATACAAAACAAACATTAATAAAAGTATGTTTTTAAGACTAGGGTTGATCTGGGTACTTTTGGTTGAAGAAGATCAATAAATCGGTTGAATTAAACTTGGTTCAAGCTCAAAAAAGCCTCAAAAAGTGTTAAAAAGCATGTGTTTTATATTGAAATTCTCTCGAAATTTGTAATCTCTTTCCTGAATTTTACAAATATTCCAAAAATTAAAATGTCGAAATGTCTTTATTAAGAAACGAATAAAGTATAGCTTGGGCTTGATCTCAATTCCCGGTGCAAAGTATAAATGAGACTCTTTCTCAGGAAAAGGGCTTCTCCAGCTTACCATCCACCACCTGAACAACGCCACTGTTGATTACGCCTTTATGCTGATCCCAGGTCCTACTGTCCCGACGACGCCTGAAATCGGCGGATGACATACAATAGCAAGGCTTCCAGCTGGGCCGACGATAAGTCTGTCCCTGCTCGTGCGGTGCCCGCTCCGTGGTCCAAACTGGAACATAGTGTGTCCAGGTCTCGCCATTTCGGTAGACACTGCCGGCGTCTGAACTTCCGTCGGTGTAAACGTTTTGGGGATAGTACTGCGGGTAGTAGTTGCTGCCTCCACCTCGACTAGATCCCTGGTAGCCCCGTTGCTCCCCGGAGAAATTGGGATTCCACTGGGACTTGGGATCATATGGCTTGCGAGTTTTGTGCTTGGAGTCACTGCCGCCGCGGCCCTTGTAGATGGGGACACTGGCGTCCTCTGGTTAAAAGTTTTAAACAGAAGATAAAACAATTAAAGTTTTATTTTATTATTTAAGCAATTCAAGTTTTAATATTAAAAAAAAAACTTGGCCTAAGCTTTCTCAAAGTGAGAGTGAAATTGAAAAGCGCCTTCTGGCCCTGGGACTCACCCTTGTCGCCCTGCTGCTGGGCGGAACTGGTCTCGTTTCCGTCCGCCTCCGAGGTTATCTCAAACGTGATGTCCGTGTGGATGCCCACACGCTTCTTGTGCTTGCCCAAATCCGTAATTTCCACGCTCTCCTTGGACTCTTTATTTGTTTTATATTTTTTGGTTCAGCCCAAAGGGAATCGGAGTCGTTAGTTCTTGTGCTGAGGTGGTGTGAGCACATTTTAATTACCTTTCGTTTGCTGCTGTCCATCGCCTGTATCGACAGTCACCCGGACGCCATGGATCTTGGGTCGATTTCCCCCGCCACCGGAGGATGTGGTGCCTCCTCCACCACCGAAGCTGCGGCCCATGCCCTGGTCGTAGCTCCCGTTGCCAAAGGCCCCCACCTGCCCTTGCCCCGACTGGCCGGGTAAGCCCGTCTGATTGTTGCTCCCGTTGCTCTCATCGAAATCCAGCTTGGAGGACACTTTATTCGCCTGACCTGGTTGCGTCCGAGCGTTGTTTGTTTTCGGTTTAGCATGGAAATTAGATTTAGCAGAAATTTAATTAAAGTTATGTAAGCACTACGGAGCTGCCCCACCCTCCCCGTTCCCATTTCCATTTCCATCTCCCGCTTGGACCTCAATCGGAGGAACTGGAGCGTGGCCGGGTTCGTGGCGTATAAGTGATGCAATTAGCGCACACTGACTTATTTATGGATATGCACCGCTCGCAAGTGATTCAGCTGACTGAACTAATCCGCAACTTGAGCTGCGGCTGTCCGGTTTGAGGTCGCACTCGAATATGCCGGGCATGGCCACAATTATGGGATTAGAAGCAATCAGAATCGGCTTTAACCCGAGAAGGGAGTGACTACCCTAGGGGGTTCGAGGCTTCAGTAAGATGTGGATTGCAATTAGAGGGTTTTGCTCACTTAATTCTGAGAATGTTTTGTTCTGTTCTGGATTAAATATTATTTCAATGTTTAACATAAAGAAAAGATATCACCACCACGCTGCTGCTGCCCACAGTTCTCCAATTGGCCGACGATCCCGTTGCCAACGTTCGCTTCAATGTGGCCAAAACCCTGCAGAAGATCTGTCATTTTGTGGAGGCCAGTGTCATCGAAGCTCAAGTGAAGCCCACTCTCGACAAGCTGAACGCGGATACGGATACCATCGCCGGTATGACAGCAGCTTAATTAATATCCTTGCTTCTTTTTATATATATTGTTTTTACTGGAAAATCATATGTAGCAACAAGTAGGTATGGATATTTGGAGTGTATTTTGGTGCCACTCACTTGTCCAGAAGTCGAGAGCTGAGGAGTTGATACCATCGTATGAAAGCGAGAGCCTTTAAAAACAACACATTAAAACATTATGGACAACTTTTTATACCCTTGCAGGGTATTATAATTTCAGTCAGAAGTTTGCAACGCAGTGAAGGACGTTTCCGACCCTATAAAGTATATATATTCTTAATCAGCATCAACAGGGGAATCTTTCTAGATATGTCAGGAAGAAATAGATTTTTTGGCCATTTTTGCAAAATTTTATAAGGGGTTACATCATTAAAATTTTTGATTTTGACAAAAAATTGAATTTTCAAAATTTTTGCAGATTTATTAACTGTAGAAAATCTTGCACAGAACAGTTTTCCGATTTAAAATTAATGCTCTTTTGGCCGAGTTATGATATTTTTAATTTTAAAAAAATTCAAGAAATTTTTTAATATAAAAAATCCGATTTTATAATACAAAATAATATTTTTCTAAGTCAAGGAATCATTTCCGACCCCATAAACCATATATATTCATGATCAGCATTAACATGCGAATCTTTCTAGACATGTCCGGAAGAAATCGATTTTTTGGCCATTTTTGCGAAATTTGATAAGGGGTTACATCATTAAAATTTGCAAAAATGGCCAAAAATTTTGATTTCTTAAAATTTTAAATTTGGTATGCAGTTTTTTAAAATTAATAAAAACTAACACAAAACTGCTTTCCGAATCGAAATTAATGCCTTTTTGGCTTAGTTATGATATATTTTAATTGTTACCTGCAAGGGCATACAAACTTTGGCTGGCCAAAGTTAGCTTTCTTTCTTGTTATATAATAAAAATTATCACATAAACACAAAGACCATTAAAATATTTAGCCACAAAATGACAATCAGACATTTCTATTCTGGTCGAGCAGAGAAATGAGATGACAACAAACCACAGTTCTAATGTTATGAAAATATTTGGGCATTTCTTAAGTTCTCCCGGAACTTTATTCTGGGTTTTTTATCTTCCTACGACGTTAAATTAAATTTTTTAAAACAATACCAAAACACCATCAGAACATCATTTAAGAATATCTTGAAACAATAAAGCGCTATAAATATATTTTTCCACTTTAAATTTCACCCAAATATCGTAGTTCCCCCGCTAAGGGAATTTCCCCCGAAATTGTGCGGAACGAAAGCAAGGCTAGCTCCAGAGAAATTAGCTTAGTCATGGAGGAGCTCCTGCCACCCGCCGCGTGATTGATTGTCGATCAATTACTCTGAACAACCTTGGACACCGTGATGAGTGAGCAGCAGGCCACAGAATATTAACAAGAGGTAGGCGGTGAAAGATCGCGCTGTTGACAGCATCTTGGGTTTTTGCTCTTCCCGATAATGGGCTTTTCCCAAGGAGTTTCGCGAACAGTTCTCGAGTTTGGAGCGCGTCTTGTGTGCGCACTTGAAAGCCACCGACAAACAACTAAGCGATGCAAAACAACCAAGCTGACTTCGAATATCTACGGCGATTCATTAAAATTAACTGGCAAAGCTGGAGAGCAGAAAAAAGCTGCTTTTGTTTATAATTCTATTTCAGTTTCACTTGCTGTTGAAGTTTTTGCACCCAGAGAAACGCAGATGGGTCTTTCTTACTTTACAAATTATTAATTTACAATCTAAGTTGTGTAAGGGCTTAATATTTGTATGTATTTAAGAAAATGTAAAATTATTAAATCAACTTTTAAGGGGAATGAATTCAAAATTCTTTATGAAGTAAGTTTTATAATTTCTACTTAAGAGTAAATTCCATTAGTAAATTCCCTTAAATTTTTTCTCTACGTGTGCTTCTGTTGTTGACGGCTCGTTAGGGCTTTGCGGATAACATCTTGACTCGACCCGGAGTGAGTTGTTGCAGTTGCCTCTGGTGCACTCGTGGGTGGGGCCAGCTGCACCTGAGTGGGTAACGTAATGCGTAAGTCGGAACCCTTGCCTCCCCCCCTCCCCAGTAATTGGCTTTAATCGGTGGGCTAGCATCTCTTGCGATTGTTCCGATGCCGTTTCCGCTGTATCTGTATCTTGGAGATTCCATTGTATCGAGCGGTCGCCTGTTGTTGATGCTGTTGTTGTTCGCCATTCTGGGGCTTGTTTTGGGCCTTTTCATAATGCTCTCATCGTTAATCATGGGACGCCGAGCGCTTCTCTATGGCTATCTGGCAATTATATTCTGCGGCAATTTTGACAGCCGCCAAGCGATTATCGTCATTAGCCCCCCCGGAGAAACGAATATACGAAATACGAAGTTCATCGCGTCTCAAGTTCAAGCTGACTCTGAAATAAATTGCGTTCTATTCGAAGGTTCTATTTATTTATCGGATGTATTTTGGGGAATTTCTTATCCGCCTCTTGGCCTGCATTGTGTGGTCATCCCCTTGGAGTGGTGGTGGTGCACTAATGAAGCATTTTCCCATTGCCGCAGCAACGCCCCCGAATCAACCACTTCCTCAAGGAGAAATAGATGGATCTAGATCTCCCCATAACCGCACATGTTGGAATAATAATGTTTTGTAAGCCAAGAGAGCCCCATTCAACCCCCCTGGTCCAAGGCAATTAATTAGCAATTGCATTTGCCGCTGTCATTACGTGTGATAATTAAAAGGACTCTCGGGTCACCCAAGTTTTCGTATGCGAAGGAAGCAAAAGAACTCCTGGCAAATGTATGGCCATAAATCGTATGCCCTTTTGGGCCTGGCTAACAGATCCTGGCCCGGCTGCAAATGCACTTTAATCTGGAATTTATCAAGCGTAATAGTTTTGCCCCCTTAGCCAGGCAGGGCTTTTGTAATCTCAGGGATTAGACTGCCGGGCAGGAGGGCCAGTATGGGTGGGTCTCGAGCGAGACCATTAAACAGATGGATTTCGTTGTCAACCTTTTTATTACAAGGCATGAGTGGTCGAGAGTCGTCCTGACGTGTTCAGGGGTATATTGCTTTTGCAAGAAAATGTTTGGTTTTTTTTCTCAGCAAAGATTGCTGAGTCTATGGCTGTAATTACAAGATGGTTTCAGTGAAGACACGTGTGGAAATACATTTATATTTTTTACATAATTGAGATTGTATAGGACATATAATAATGTGGTAGCACTCTTCTACTCTTGCTTAACTCAAGTAAATTCTTTAACAAGAAATTTTTAGTAATGGAAACAATTTGTTAAAACTTATAAGCGAACTATTTTATAATATAGACTTACAAATACTAATCTGCAAATCAAACTTAAAAATACTTTTTTGATAAACAATCTGAAATTTTAAGAATTTATTTAACAAGTTTCACATATTATCCAAAATCGCTTAATCCTCTTCATAATACTTCATCATTTTGTTCATCCAAAGCAAAAATCTGGTAAATAAATCTGTAGAGTTATTCCCTCATTCCCCTGGGCGCTCCAACTTGTTTAATATAGTTTTTGCTGACTCCACCAGAATCAGTTCCCCATTTGGTCTCTGCTCTCGACTGACTGACAGCTTCTTGTTGCCGCTGCTGCTGATGCTGTGCGTTGTTGTGTGGTGGCCGGCGATTTGCATAAAGTTTTGCATTTGCTTACATCAACTTACTATAATTCTCATTGTTCCTATGCATTTGTGCTGCACTCGCCGGACGGCAGGCCGTTCGACGGACGGCGGAGAAGTTCAAGTGCGTTTCCAGCGAGTTGCTTGCATAATTCTATGGGCCCTTCAAGACCAGAAAAACTCAGCTCTCTGCGGGGCGAGGGAGCTCTCGGCATCCGTTCGGACAAAGGCATACTTTTGGGCTGCTCGGTGAATGGAAATAGGATTTTTGAAATACTTTGGGAGGGAAAGAGCTGCTGCTGCTGCTGCTGCTGCTGTTGACTTGGCCACAGATTCTATTCTGGCCATAAATGTTAATTACACAGAATTTTGCATACCAAATAATGGAGCGACGGACGCCTGAACACCTATCTAACAGATGCAGATACAAAGATACAACATGTCTGGCGGGCCAAGAACAATCACTATTGTCGGACAGGGGCCAGCGCAAACAATTAAACTGGCAAAATCAAAATCGAAATTTACTAATTTATGCGTCTAGCTGCCATTTACAGTTTATCCAACATTACTGGCCAGTAACCACCTCTTCTTCTTTTCCAGCCCCGAATAAATTGCACAATTTTCGGGGGGCCATCCTTGAACTAATGAAATAATGGGACGACCGAATTAAATTATGGCCGGGGCAATCCCAAAGGACCGCAGGAACAGGACTCGGGACAATAACTAAATTTGCACCCAGCCAAGGTACCGACATTTTTTGATTGCATTGTTGCCGTTTGATTTGCAACCACTCGAGGAACAGCCACCCACCACCGCCGCCCGAAGGGCAATTCGACACCTTGCAGGAACCCAGGAACGGCGCCCATCCACTTCCACTTCCGACCCTCATTGACTATTCACACTCATGTATTTCTCTACAGCATCGTATTATTATTATTTTTTCTCCTTTTGCTGTATATAAAATTTTTATTATTTGCTCGTTTACGACTCTAGCGTTTTCTCTTTCTATAGCTCTTATTTTCCCTTTCTGCGCCGCCCGGGTTTATCGTTTCTCGTGTAGTGCAAAATTATCACAAAACGCATTGAATTTGCTTTTATTGTTGTCGGGTGTCGGCTGCTTTTGCTCGCCGGGCATCCCCCGCAGTGCAAAATCATTTTTCCACCCCCTCTTCATAGGTCGCCCTCCCCCTAAGTCACCATACTTGACTGCACTTGAAAAAATCGTATCTAAGTTAATTAATTTATTAATTTATTAATGTTTTAAAGTAGGTTCAGAAGAAGTCTTTTTAAAAAAATATCCTTTTTAAAGAACAAATATATATTTTTTCTATTATTTTATATATTTCGCCAAGTGTAGCTGATGCAGTGCAGCGGAAGCAGCAAGAGCCGGCTGCTTTTGCCGCCATCGTCGTCTTATCGTCTATGTCTCCTTTGTTGTGTCGCCATCGCCACCGCTGCTCCTGATGCCACTGACGCGGTAGTGCCCTGTAAAACCACAGTTGTTAGTACTGGTTGTACAGGCTTCAACTAAAACCGTGGAAATTAATATCTATTTGATATATATTTTAAGCCAAGGAATTTTTCAGTTTTAGAAAAACCACTAACCAAGAAACTCTCTCCCAATAAACAAACCCATCTTTTAGGGTTTCTTAAATTCAACCAGCAATAAAAAAACCCTTTAAATTGACTTGGGCTCTTCGCCTTTCTGGACCCACTGTGCATGTAAGGATTCTTTATGGCCACCTTCCCACATCTACGTAATCTGGCAGGTTGCTTGAGTGCAAAAAAGTTGGTTTAAGGCCCTTGAAAATGAAAATGTTCTCTGCTGTTTCGAGGGCTTTTGCGGCGGCTTGTTGACCCACCCTGCCCCGCCACTCCCACTCCCCGACACTTAGCTGACAATGAGCAGTGACAGCTTCGAAGGGGGGTTTTCCACAAACGGCAGGGGGTTGGCTCTGTATAAGAGCCGCTTGCGGTCGCACCGCAAAACCCCCCCGGAATCCAGGATCTCAGATCCCACATCCTAAAACCCCGCACCCTGGACGTCTGCACGTCGGCTGCATCTGTCGCATGCCGGAACTAAGCGAAAAACGAAACGGGGTCGGGGCGATCCGGGGTCGACCCCCGGGGACAGTGCCGCCGATAATGATGCGTACTCGCACAGGCGATTATGATGAGTTTGATAGAGAGATGCAAACGGGACAACTACTCGACTTGACATGCATGATTTAGTGTCCCGTCTGGCGGGTTGCACTTGTCCAACACCCTAAAACCCGCCCCAGCCAGTGACCTTCATTCTCTTCGGGCCTCGTTTCCATTTCGCAAATTGCAAATAAGTCAGTACAAAGTGCCCGTGGCCGTGTCGTGTGACAATTCTCGCAAATTATGATTTTTCCATTCTGTTGTTTCCCTCCAGCAGGCTAGGGAACTGCAGCCTAATCCGATTACACTGAGCAACAAGACTTTGGGCTGTATTTGAAATAATGATAAGAAGTTTTTGCTAGATTAATAATGAATTATTATATAGATAGACCAACCTCTAGATATAATAGTTCATGTTTTATTTATTAATCGTACTATTGATTATATTTCAACTTAGTCAAAGGTTCAAACTAAATTTTCTTTGTATATCATACAATATAATTTACTCTTGAAGTACCTTTCATATTTTGTGATATTTTATTAAGCTTTAGCTAGTGAAAAGTTTGCATTAACTTGTAGTTCAGTGTATCAATTCGTCCTGCACTTTGGATATCTCGCTGGCAGCATATGGCTCTTAGGACCAGGATGTAGAGGCTTCGAGGAGAGCAACACTCGGGTTACCCTGACCAATGCCAAGCGGATCTGGACTCTGGTCTCACACACGGACCATAATTGGATTTCGATGACTGCAAATTGGTGATAATTCCGATTCGCTTCCGGGCAGCTTCCACGGGGTGCACGTGATTCGTGAAAATGCGAACATCTGCGCCCGATAGTGCAGACTCTTTATGTCTGGTCGTGACCGGCTAAATACGGATTGTGCAAATGGACAAACGGATTGGCACCGCCGGGAATGGAGAGGGGGGGACCCGTGTCCGGTGGCTAAAGTCCACAATGGGCTCTTTGTGTCTGGTCAAACAGCCTCGATCACACATTGTCCACAATCGCGGACAAAAACCGATTCCCGAAATGGGGCAAGTGGAACATGCAAGGTAAACATCTTGCCACAGCGATTACTCGATAAGAACTATAATATAAGCGCCTGTCAGTTGGCATTGGGAGGCACTAGGCATTCGACATGAAGGGCTTAGGAATAGTGGTGGGCCTTCTGGGCATCCTGGAGCTCGTCCTGGCCCAGGATGGCACTTGCGGTGTGAAGTTTGTCAAGTTGGGCAACAGCGCCTATCATTTGGAGCGCGGAAAGGTAAGGAATAAATTTGAGAAGATGTAATGAAGAATGTTTAAAATTATTCAATCTAATTGCAGTTCAACTGGTGGGACTCTGCTCGCCGCTGCATGGCTTTGGGCTCTCAATTGGCCCACATTGACAGCGAGGAGGAGCTGAATGCCATCTCCACATACCTCAACCAGTTGGGATTTGCCACCACTGAGGCCGTGTGGTTCTCCGGCTTTGGCATAAAGTCCGGAGCCTGGATCTCACTGGCCAACTCACAGATCCTCTCCTACCTCAAGTGGGGTCCTTCAGAGCCTAATGACTATGGCTCTGCCGAGAACTGCCTGGGCATTAAGGTCAACAGTGGCAACTGGTTCATGTACGACCTGAATTGCTTTACAGAGTACTCTTACCTGTGCGAGGGCGTTTCGAGGGAGAGTGCAATTAATTTAATATAAATTAAATATGCTTTTACATGGTTTAAAATATAACATGAAATATTATAGTATTGTGACTTTAATTCTACAATAAATAAAGTATTTCGGTTCATCCAGGATTTTCCCTTAAATTTACTAATCAAGCTATAGAATTAAGTCGTTCCATTAAGAATTCATATTCAATAAACACTTATCTATACCTTATTTGTATTATTTCCCTAATATTTCTGATCGTATTCTTATTATATAGTCTTTCGATCTAGCACGTAATGGCAGAAGACTTTAGAAAGACAGCTGAACATGGCTGGATCTTTTCGGTTTTTGATACTGATTAAGAATAATTTTGTAAAAAAAGGATATTGAAATGTAAAATATAAAAACAACTTAAATTTAGAGTATAAAAACCAAGAGGTAAAGCTTTGTCTTGATTTAACCTTGTAGTTAGAACTTATACAAATCATGAATCGTTAATTCAAATCGATTTTATTAAACTTAAGGTATTTTTTATTTTAATTTATATTTTTAATATCTTAATATTTACAAAACATTTTTTAATTCGTGTAGATCCTGGTACTGTCGTACTCGCAGATGTAGGACAACTTGGTGCGGCAAGAATAGTCGTTCATGTACCAAGGCTCTGCTATGCGGTAGAGGTTCATGCAGTTCTCGCTGTTCAAGTTGTCCGGCTGGCTGATATACCACTTGGCGTACGGCAGAGGACGGGCGGGTCCGAACTGCAACCAGCTGCCTTGGCGCCCAATGCCTCCTATCCAAATCCAGTCCGACCGATAGCCCATGGTGCTTAGGAAGTCGGCCAGCTCGTTGAACTTGTACTCGGAGTCGACGGTGGCCAGCTGCAGGCCGGCGCGTATGCAGCGCTCGTTGGCATCGTACCAGTTTTGCTATATGAACAAATATTAATATTTACTAAATTAAATCATTTTCTCAAGTTACCTTCTCCTTGCTCTCCACATAGTACGCCTTCTCGCCGACTCGACTCAACGGCAGGGTGCAGTTGGTGATGGCCTGTATCCTGGCTATTCCGAGCGCCAAAAGCAAAAGTTTCAAGGCAAAGCGCGCCATTTTCGACTCACTGCTGGAGTGATGATCTGCTGAGATTCACTACTGACTTATATAGAAGCTTCTCGCCTTTGTTATGAATATTTGAACTAAAATCTTGGGCCCACCTCAATCGATAAGGGAGCTCCCGGAATGGGGCAACACTTTCGATGTCTGAAATGCTCATTACTTTGGATTGGATGCGATTGAGCCCACGGGGCGTTGCGTGTCAATTTATGCAACTCTCCTGCAATTTCCGGGGTATTAAGGCAATTTCCAGCCCACTGGCCACAGCATACATACCCGTGGACAGGGGCAGGACTTAATGGGGAAGTCCTGCATATGACTGCTCCCTCTACGGCAGTTTGGGTGTGACGGAAAAGCCCTTCTGGGCATTGGAACGCCCAAGTGTGGGCGAATCGACGGCATTGAGGAGACTTTTTTGGTAGCTCACCAAAAATTGATATAGCATTTGGAGAAGGGAGAGTCATGACAGGTTGAATGAAGGCCTCTTTTTAAAGAGCGAACCAGAAAATGCGTTAAAAGCTATAAACTTTAAATATTTGACTTATGTATACCAAAATATGGTTCAAATTGTCCAAAGATATAACTTTAATTAATGCTTTATTTATATTTTAGTTACTATTCTCTTACTTCTAAGCACTTCCATAAATTTTTAAGGTATTTAAAGTATTTCCTTACATAAAACTTATTAAAAATAATATATTTAGTTACACATTCACTGCGTTAAAAACTTATGACTTAAATTATGACACCCCGCAAGGATATAAAAATGCAATAAATTTGTGTACAATAAAAACAAAAGCACTTCCAGACATCTATCTTAGAGTTCCCTTAAATAAACAAAGTTCAAAAACTCAATTCACTTCTCGGCTAAACATCTCATTATATTCCAATTTCGATTTTAATCTTTTGAGAGGATTTAGCATCTAAATCAAAGTTTTGGCGCCCCACGGCGAACCCTTTTTCCCGCCAGCATCCCCTGTCATTAAAATGACAAGTCCGGACTCCTTCTTCGACGCAATAAAAAATACTCTTAGAGAGAGCAGTGCGTATAAAATGTCAAAACGTTTTACCAGCATTCGGAACGTGAAGCTGAAGTCGATTCGGGAGCATCACAATAAAATGGGAAATTCGCAGCAAGTAAATGCAATTTAGCCGAACGGGAGGGTCGTCAAGTGGCGCTGCACCCAGGGGGACTGTTTGATTTACCGTCAACAGGAGATTGAAAAAAATACAGAAATAGAATCAAGCGGGCAAAAAACACGCGCCACCAAAAAGTGAATTAAGAACGAGTGTGCTGGAACGGAGGAAGCCCATCGGTGGAGGGTGTTTTTTTTTCAGATGGGGTGTGGCCTTGCTGTGGGGGGAATTGAGTTGCAACACTTGGCAGGTTTTTATCTACGCACCACAATCAACCAGCCAACGGCCAACGAGCCGGGCCAGGATCAGGACGGGGGCCCCCAGACCCTGTCAGCAGGTCACAGACCATCCCAGCCGCCATCCATCCCATCCTTGAATACACTCGACGAATTTTGATCTTTATAGAGTCTTGTCATATGACATTATGGGGTTGCAAAAATGTATCTTTTCGGGTTTGGAATCTTTTAAAATTTGGAAATATAATATAGGAATATTTTAAATTATTTTAGATATTATTTTAAGCAAATATTTTTTGAGATTAACAACCTCTACTAAAGAGTTTTTTCAAAGTAATTATGAATGCATATTAGTTAGTCTTTATTTACCCGCTCCATAAATTTTCTTCCACTGTAAACCCATTTTCAAGGGTGCTTTGAGGCAATTAAATTCTCCAAGTGTAGGCGAAGTGACCATCAGCCAGGCCAGAAACCAAACAGGAGCAACTGTTTCGTGTTGGCTTGCGTTGATAACAAGATTTGTTTTTCAAAATTTGTGGAGGGTCGCCCTTAATTACGCCGAAAAGCGCTATGAGCAATTTGGAAATGGCAAGTGCGCGGGCAATGCCAGGAGAGGTCTAAAAACCGCATCCACCCCCTCTGGCAATTTAAGTAAATTAAATTTAGAGTGCGCCCATCCTTCGATTTTCCCCTGCCCCCCCGCTCAAAAAAGTCAAAAGTGTATGGCCCGTTTGGTTGATTTAAGCCAGAGATAAGGGGATCGGAACCGGAGCGAGGGCGGACGCAGGCCCAGACAGGATACAGGAGGAGCGGCCCGAGCTCGCATCCTTAGACAAATGCGTTTTACCAGACACTCGACATTCGCTACACGGATATTCCATTAAAAGAGCCAACGCGAATTGAACAATTTTCACTTTATGATTTATTGTAATGAGCTTTTTATTTATGGCACGACTTCTTCTATTGGCCCGAAGCAGAGGACATAAAAAATATATTGCAGCGTCTGCTCTTGTTGGTACTTCCCCGAGTGTTTTGTGTTTTCGAAAATTAAAAATTAATTAGGCATTTATCACTTGACTGTCTAACAGATGGCGGCTTTCCTAGTGGCGTGGTGGTGACACAAGTACGAGGTAAGTGCAACTGAACATGAATATTCTTTCAGGGAAAAAGTCCTACACGAAAGTCTGTCCTGGTTCGTAAGGGACGAGGTTTGAGGGATTCATTGAAAACTGAACAGGATATGGACTTGATTATGTAAAAATCGTGCACTATTGGCTTTAAATAAATTGAAATACTAAAAATAAATTCATTAAACTGGGAGTAAAGCTTCTAGGGAAAATTAAAGAAGACACATTTGTACTTTGATTTGCCGGAGGCTGATTATGAATATATGTTTCTTCTTCTAAGAAAAAGATGAGCCGTTGAATCTTTCAATAAAAAAGTGAAATATATATTAAAAGCAGACTCGTTTTAAAAACATATTTTCTTTTGAATCAAACGAATCGAATTGAACCTATATGCAAGAAAATATATTTTTTGCTAGTATTTAAAAATAAACTTAATTAAAAATAATTATTAAACAGAACGCTGTCAACAGTTTGAGCTGATAACACAGACGGTGGGCCAAGATTTCTCAGAATTTGCATTGATAAGGCACCAGGCTTCTTCAGAAAAATATCAATTATTCTGAACTCTGAAGGAGCCCCCTGATTGTACAGATCTTGGGACCATTGCGGCTATATAAACCCGGCACAGTTGGAAAACATTTCGAGTCAGCATCGAACACTTAAGAAAATCAAACACTTCAAAAATGCGAGCCATTCTCGTAATCGTACTTTTTGGACTAGCTTCCCAAAATAGCTTGGCACTTCCGGTGAGTTTTTTGTTTTGCCTCAGCCAGACATTATAATTACTCCTCCTTAAATAATTTCAGAGCACAATATTGGAGCCACCACTAATGTACGACAATATAGATTCTGCTCTAGATCCTGTTTTAACAAAGCTGGAAGCTTTGGAAAATCGTGAAGCGGAGCAGACAATCATGGTTTCGACACTTCAATCTTCGTATGACAATATTTTGGAAAAACTGACAAGGATAGAACAGCAAATCACTGGACTCCAAAAAGATGCCCAACTGGCCGTAGATATGAGGGAATGGCTCGAGCCAACAGAAGGACCGGTGATCGAGAAAAGGAAAGAGCGGTTGGTGGAAAATTATGAGAGAATTGGATCAAAATATTACCACATTGAGAGCAATGAACAACTTGACTGGCACGAGGCCCTGGCCAAATGTAAAAGCTTGAATGGCAGCCTTCTTAGCCTCAAAAGTGAAGCCGAGTGGAAGGCCATTACAGCCCGGCTGGACAAAACCCTAAGCTATTGGGTGGACATCAACGATCGTGAAACAGAGGGAGAGTTCATGTCTGAAACTAGCGGAAAGGCAGCTCCATTCCTTAAGTGGGATATCCACGAGCCAAATAATATTGCTTTTACGATAAACAACGAAAACTGCGTCGAGCTGCGGTCACAATATAATCATTACATGAACGACATCAACTGCTTCAACAAAAACCACTATATCTGTGAAGAGAACGTGACGGTTGTGTTTATTTAGATCCAGCATTAATGGATTGAAAAATACACATTGTGGAACATACAACTTTCCATTAGTAACTAATAAAATTTGAGGACAATTTGATGATTTTAATATCGCAAGGAAAGTTATCATTCAGACATAAAGCAAGCAATTCAGTTTCTAAAATAATTTCCGTAAGCCCAGTTAATAGATAATCCGAATATTGTCGACTCGTTGTCTGGTCAACCGAATGCAAGAATTTGGTTAACTCTACTCCAATTTGTAGGCTAACATTTCGATATGATTTAAAATAAACTTAAATCTTTCAAACTGAAACCTATTCGAAGGGCAAACTTGGGAACTCAGTACAGGCGGGGCTTAGGGGCCTCGCACTTGGGAAACACGCTGCTCTCGTAGGTGGGTACCATGTACTTGATGTTGATGAAGGCATTGGGACCACCGCAATACTCCAGCAGCTTCAGGGTGTCCTCGATGACGTCGCCAATCCGGCGGTTGCGATCGGGATCAATGCCCTCGCCCAGGTTCACATTGATGTTCTTGTACAGGTTGCACACGGCCAGCAACTGGCGATAGAAGGGCACCAGGGCCTGGCCCACGCAAGGACCTGTGTGTGGGATTGGAGTTTAATTAAAAAGATGTTAAAATAATTCATAAATAAACCCCAAGGTAACCAAGGCCTTTGGTCTTATTTTAATCCCCTAATCGTAGTCAGCTTACCCAGACGAACCATCAGTTGGATGACCTGCAGGGCGGAGATAATGATCCGCTTGTCACGCGTCTGGAAAGCTCGCTTCAAAGGAAGGATCAGCTTGGGTAGCACTGGAAGCACCTTCTTGGGCGATCTGATGATCAGGTCGATGGCTCCGTTAACGGCCAGAAGCCGCGTGTCAGAGTCCATGTCCGCCAACCCGTCTACAAAGATGGGCAAATAATAGCAGTAATCGAGCTGCTCCGGCACACAATGCCACTTCACCGGACGCTCCTTGGTGGGATCCTGCTTGCTGCTGCGACCGGACATTACGCAGGGAATGTCGCCGCGATTGAAGTAGATCTTGAACACAGTTTCCTTCACGGGCTTCCGCTTGAAAATATCGATTCTATGCATCAAAGGATGAGATAGGGATTTATTATTTTATACTTCTTTGTAAGTTACTAAAATTTTTACTTTGGAGGAGGCTTCACCACCGTGTTGGGCTGCAGTGCCTGATAGGTAAAGGCTGGCACTTCCCGTTTTGGCTAAAAAAAGAGACATTTTCAGATGCAGCTCTACGAATCTAATTTCCCAGCTTTCCTTACCAACTTCATTCTGCGGTACAGCAGCTCTCGACAAACCCTTCCGGGCTCGTGGAGTCGCGTGACTCGTTCGTTGGTCGTGGAGCACATCGTGGCTAGTACTACTTCAACCAGTTACTAGCTTCAAAAATTAGTTACATAAGAAAATGCTTCGTGTGGAGGGAGTTTGACTCGGTTATTTTAAGGTTTTGTTGTAGAAAAAATTATCGGATGTTTCTGGACTGGGCTACCGGGTCAAGAAGCCAAAAAGACTATTAGGAAATGTGGAAAAATAAAAACTGGGTTGACAGTTCCGAAGCAGATTACTTAGTAGCAAATGATGGAGGCAGATGTAGGGCGAACCCACACTTGAAATGTAAATAAAATGTTTGTAGTGTTGGGAAAATATATGTAAAAGCGAACAGCTTCTTATCAAGACGTCAACACTCTCCCCCGCCCGCAAAACCAAATATTTTTTGGGGTGCCATTGCCATCCCCCCCTCGCACATTCACACCTCAAACTGTTTTGGCGTCTCCAAAGAGTCATAAAGGGAAAGTGCAAACATTTGCGCACTTTATCATCTTTTTCCATTTCCCGCCTCGGTAGATGTTACGGTAAATATTTTGTAACGCCCGCCAATTAAGGCGTCTGCCAGGAACTCCCCAACTCCCCCGACTTCCGACCCTGCCACCTCCTCCCAGGCGGCATTAACCTACTTAGAGCGGCGGGGAAAATGAGAGGCAGGTATTATCGCCATCGCGCTCCTTGTTACTGGTGCCCTGAATTAATTAAAATCCGACATGCGAATTACTCGACTGTCCTTATCCTACTCTGTTTTCCAGCTTCTCTCTGGCTCTGGCTTTTCCAGCTTCTGTTTTTAATTACCCACGCACAGCTTTTCACTTTCACCCAACACATCGTGGCACGTCGCGATTTATCCGTTTTAATAATGTCGAGTGGCCCACCCAGATCGGGACCCTTTCCCTCACTTAACTTGGCTTAGCTTCTGTCACTTTCTGGCATGTAAATTAAGTTAGAAGCATTTAGGATTAGGGAGCATACGGAATTACTGAGGGGGCAGGTAACCTCCAACTTTCTCGGTAATTGCTTGGCAATATGATGAGACTAAGGGGAAAATATATATGAATTAACTGAATAGAATATAAGATTTTAGAAAATATTCTCAATAAATTAAATAATATCACAATCAGAACAAGTTTTACTAAAATTCTCCTACTTCTATTTAGTTTAATTTGACTTTAGACTTTAGCCCCAAAGTAGGCAATATATCAAATGAGTAATAATTATTAAATATTCGCCATTAGGGAGCCCAACCACTGGAAAATCGGAACAAAAGACTCGACCAGTAGACGACAGTGGACCAGCTTTTACAATGGCCACAACGCAAATCAGCCGGATCATAATTTATTGGGCCGAAAATGGGAGGCATCTCCCACGGAGAGCTGGCCGGGCTTTGAGGTGAGCTGTGCTATCAGTGAGGTGAGGAGAGTCCCCGGGTTTGGGGTGCGTTTGTCTAGCTGACACTTTCATTAACAAAAAGTCAGAGCGATGACAGGGGCCAGTGTGTGGGTCTGTCTGGTTGTTTTTGCATTGTTACAAAGTGCAATTCGGGCTGAAGTTGGGCGGTATTGCTGATGGCTTGTGGGCTTGTGGACCTCGGACCAGCGGACCTGCGGACATTTGGGGGTGTTGGCCATTTAGCTGACAGGGCTGCAGTGCGGCACGTAAATCTAAACAGCCACTGACAGCTTTCAACTGGCACTCACTCCCGCTCTTTTTATGTGCGGCTCAAAGTGGACAGTCGGGTTGGGACAGACGGACGGACGGACGGGTGGCAGGAGAGCCCGAGCCCATCTTGAATGTCATATGGGCCAGGCACACACATACTACACACTCTATACTATATATATATATCAATATCCTGGCCATATATCAATATGTGCGCGCTCGCATATATCTACTTTCGTTGGGTTGTTTGTCTGAAATTGACATCGTCTGTATGCTGTATTCAGTGCAACCTCCTCCTGCCTGCCGGAACATGGCCAAACAGGGTTTTGGCCTTTTGTTTTAGCCCGGTCTACTACTCCTACAGTCTGGCCGAGATTTTATGTTCGCATACATTTTGAGCGCTTTATTGTTTGTCCAATTTCGTGCAACATCGCCCGGGCCGAGCGACAGGGAGAGTAATCGAGTATCCGTTGTTGTATGTCCACCAGTCGTGCCCGGAATAGAGAGGAGGACTCCATACGAAGTCCTCCAACCCAATAGTCGTTAGGTGTTAATCTAATAACTGTCAAATGCAGGATGATGGCACTTCAAATTGGTAGGGAAATTGCTGCTAACTAGCACTGAATGACGAATATGTCAGTGGGGAAAACTAAGTGGATTGACACCATAATTAAAGTGGGTTTACTGCTATTGTTGTTTATTTTTTAGATCACATTTTTAGTCATTTTATTTCTGGATAGAAAGAATACATTTTACAATATAAAAATTATTTATTTTGTATATTTAACATGCGAGTTAATAATGTCTAGTCTTTTCTCTCTCCTTACTGGGATTGATTACCCATATAATAGGTCTTTCATCATCGAATTTGGTACTGCAAATTGCCAGATTATCTGTCAGAGTCAGTTGAAAGTAGTAAAAGGTCACTTCTGCTGTTAAAACCATTCAGAGTTCAGACTTCAATTCAAACTTATAATGGCTTTTTCTCTGTTTATTTGGTTCAATTGCGCTGGCGGCAGCATAAGAATAATTTCTGCATCGCTAAAATCCCATAAAAATCAACAACGCTGGGACGCGGCACATACGAAAGTCCAACTGCTAACTGCAGGCCCGGTCACAGGAGCAGTCGAGCATTAAATGGCCCCAACCGAGGGGATCTTCGGTGGGTTGGGGCGTGGACTCGCTTCCCATGCAGACAAATAAAGTCCCGCTCTGTACTCTAACATTTTATGAGTCGTAAATCGAAGCGATAAAATCACAAGAAATGGAGATACAAAAACAAAATAGCCTGGGCAACGAGAAAAAGAGAGAGGTCAGTCCGGAGACCAGACTGGGTTAGGCTGGGCACTCATCCTACATATCTCTCATAAGTCACACGATAAATTCTGCAACATTGCGCTAATGACGACAAGAGCACTTTGAAAAGTCGTAAAACTTTTTTCAGTTAGTAAATATTGCCTGAAAAATGTATTCAAAAAGGATTTTTACGAGGTAGTCCAGATCAAGAGAAGATCACACAGATTGTTTATACTTTCTATAATAATTAAATATTTCGAAATTATAACTACTTTTTACGAGTGCATTTTAGATCAAGAGATGTCGCCCCAGTATCCTGCAAATGGCGGAAGTTCATTATTGTCAGTGATTAATGTCAAGAGCCGCGGACGGATCCTGGTCCGGCAATGTAAAGCCTGGGCCTGGGCCACATAAGTTAGCTGTTGCTGTCAGTTGGCACAAAACCGAACCGCCGGGCTTCAGAAAGCAGAAAAATTCGGAAACCAAAGCTTGCAGGGCCCGAGGCCGGGACAAAAACCAGAGACCAGAGAACTGTGGGACAGACTGGCTGTTGACATCCTGGAATGTCACTCCGTCCGTCAGTTAGCAGGAAAATGCATTGCTGCCAGCTGCCAACGTGATTAGCGCGTTGATTTGGCAACCGATTGCCGGGCGCAATGCATCCGAGCCAGCATTTCAGCCATCCTCAACAGAGTTTGACTTGGCAAACGCCAGCTTCGAGGCATTTACTTCTGCCGGATATGGCCTTAAACTTATGCAACGCTAAGCGGCATTGACAACGGCACGCACACATCGCTCATCCAGGGTTCGGGGGTTTCAGGGGAACGGAACCCCAACCCCTCTGACGGTTCAATGTACGACGAGTGAAATTAATTTCAAACAATGCAGCAAACTGCGAAGACAACAGAACAGGAGAAGCTAAAACCCCACGACAGCAGAAGCAAATTAAATAAAAATTCCAGCATGAACGCTGCCATTGGGGGTTGAGTTGAACTTCACTGGAAATAAATTAGTTAGACAAGTTATAAGTTTAAAATATTTATTAAGTTGAATAGATTAATGATTTCGCTTTTGAAGTAATTAAATGTATTTAGTTATATTTATTTACTAATGCATCCAAATTTAATAAAGTAAATTAGCGGATTAAGATCACAAATTATTAGTTTTATATTATAATTTATCTTTACTTTGATCATAAATACAATGTGATTAAATGAATCTCTTTTTATTTATATCTATTTCTTTCTTTCAAACTTGTCGCAGTGTAAAGACATCATCTAGCTAAGGACCCGCAGGAGCTGAGTAGATTGCCAGCCATATGACAGACTCAATCTACGTGCCTCGAGTCGATGAGTAAGCCAAGTTAAGGGCAAGCAAAAAAGCCAAGCCCAAGCCAAACCGAACTTGTCGAAAATTATTTCGTTTTAATTATGCCAAAGGGCTCGGGCTCTATCGAAGGACGTGTCGGAATGTGTCGCCATTTTGCATGCACTCTAAATGAAATCACGTCACCGATTTTACCCACCTCCCTTAACCAGCGCTCGGCACTTCAGGTTGCCTACAACTTTCCGTTGTCATTATCAATTTGAGTTAATTGCCGCAGCCGTCGTCGTGGCCAGAAAGTTGCCATTTTGTGTCGGCTGCTGCCGCCATTGCTGTTGTGTTGCGCCATCACTTCCGGTCTGGGGATCCCCTTACTTTGTCCCGTCGCCCGTCGCCCGCCGCCCGCCAGACGACGCGACAACGCATTGTCTGCGACTGTTTGAAAGCGTTTAGTCGAAATTTATTTGTATTACATGCCAAAAACTGCAGACACTCTTATGACAGGACGGGGCGGGGGGAGGTAAAGTGTTGAATTATTAAATTAAGTACTTGTTTGATTATGGCATAAATTCCCTTGTACAACGGCGACAGGTGTAAGCAAGGAGTTGAGTGCCTGAGGCGATTTTGTGAAGCAGGTGCCAAACTACAGCGAAATTACAGGATGCCGAGTTGCAAGTACTGAAAATTAAAAGTGACTTGAATTTATGGAGTTAGAGTCACTAGGAAAATATTTAATTAATATTCATTAAAAAATAGTTATAAAATAATATAAGTAAAGCAAGATAAATGAATATTTTTAGGGAATAATCTAAACAAAAGAAGATCAAGTTATGACTTCTCTTACATATTGAATTACTTTACTTTTTCCTTTTTAAAGAAATACATTTGTATTCCAAGTAATGGGCATCTTTTCGTCGAGAGTCTCTGGGTTTAATTTTAAGCTTTTTAAGCTTAACTACATAAATATGAGGGCTTTGCGTTTTGTGATTTCGTATTTGGTGATAATAATTTATCAATGGAACTCAAGTGACAAAAGGAAATAATGTCCAAAAACCGGAAGGAGTGAAGAGATACGTCTTTAATCTTTTATTAATAAAAAAATACTTATAAATTATAAGTTATATAATAAAACAAAATTAAAGTAAAAGTAAAATCCCAATAGTTAGTTTTAGTTTTTTATTTAACTTTTTAAAACTCTTTTTTTTTTATTAATTTTCCCAATTATTTTCTGCGTTAGCAATCATTGATCATATATAAAAGCAAACCCTCTGTATTTTTTTATTGAACACTTGTAACAAAGAAGACTTTTATCAACTTTTGTTTATTACAAAGCCTTGTCTATATATAGTTACTAGAGTTCAATTCCTCATAAAGTCTCACAACAGATTACATTTATTGTACCCTAGGGCACTGCACAGTCTATACAAAGAAACTCTATAGCACTGCTTGTTTACACTTCAGAAACCACCTTTTATGGATTAGAACTTGTAAATGAATCCACACTTTTTCATAATTACCTGAAATACCTTAACCGATTTTTATTACATTAATTTGTTTGTTAATTATAACCCATTGGGATTCAGTTCACATACAAAAGCTATTTTTTTATCGCATTGGGCAACGCCCATCACTAGCTCCTCACCGGTAAACTCCAGGTAGACACAGAAGCCATCCTGGAACTTGCGTTTCGGTGGCTTGCTGGCCACAAAATTAGTAAAGTTCATGGGATGGGGATCCTGATGCCAGTAAAACTGCACCAGAGTCTTGTGATCAACATCATCCACGGCGGACAGTCTTCCGCGATGGCCCCCGCTCCAGAATACGGCGTGTGTCTGGGCATGGGCGCCATATCGCATATAGTTGGAAATCAGGCGCATTTCCTCGGAGTTCCGAATGGTCACCAGTCGAGCCTGAGGGTCGATGGTCTCACATCCAAAGTTGGCATGAAGCCAATCCATCTAAAATCAATAATAAATAAATATAAACAAAACAAATGAATTGTATTTTTATCTAAAAGTTTACTCACTATGACGGGTACACTGAAAACTCGATTCTTGTAGCCCACTCTGTAGTATTCATATGTGGGCTGGAAATAAGATCATTTAGCTATGAGGAGAACTTCTGTCCTCAGTTCACACTTACGGGCTTGTTTGAGGAGAAGAAAAAGCAACGTTCACCAATGTTTACAAAGGGCTTTGAACATAAAGCTGGCTTAGGAATAGCACCATAAACAATTTGAATATTACAACTATTACAACTCACGCTTGGAAAATTCCTTGAAAATGTATATATAACTAAACAACAGGAGCAGTAAGCCAGTCAGGCCCACAAAGGACTTGCCCAGTGCCGACATTTTGATCAGTGACTCCAGTGCAACTGAAGGTGCACGGGAACACCAACAGCTTTTTATAGACTGCCCTTCAAAGTTTCCAATAAAATCTAGTAAATTGAGAACCCACATGTGGCAGCCACAGAGAGTTTATGTATTTACAAAACACAATTCATTTACAACGAATAAGTGCTTAATAATAACAATAATAATGATGAAATGAATATCTTTACTTTTATAACAATAATATCAGGAAGATTGATTTTAATCATAATTGTAATAATCAATAATTATTATTGACTTTATTTTTCTTATATTAGACTTTCTTTGTCATCCGGGCTTTGGACTGGTTTCCTTCTTGGCATCCATCTATGCAAAAGGATCAGGAGACCAAGAGATGCTAAGCATCCGATGACAAGCACAATCCCTATCCTGGTCGTGGGATCCAGGTACAGCCAAAGCTGATTCGCCGAGAGCCTATACTCGCAGATGAAGTAGTCATCCAGGCCATAGGATCGCCGCATGTACAGCGAGCTGTTGATGAGTTCCAGGGAGAGATAGCTCTTCTCCACGAAAACCTTGGAATTGGGAGCCCAGCGGGCGAAGTTTACAGGCTTATTAGAGCCCTCCCAAGAGAAGGGCGGTTGGCTGTAGAAGTTGTGGCCCGAGGTGGCGAAGGTGCTGCCATCAGGATAGCCCCTGGATACGATGTAATCTTCAAGAGCTGTCAGCTCCTCCGACGTCTCCACAGAGACTAGGTTACTTACGTTTCGCCAGCAAGCTCGCCTCGCAATAAACCAGTCAAAGTAATGATCCGCCTGGAAATAATCAGACGTCGAGTCATATTTCTTATAGAGTCCAATCAGAACGGAAATTGCTCTTTAGTATTTTATAAATCACTTTCCGTGATATAACATTTTAAATTTTGTCACAAATTTCCATTTTTTAAAACCAGTTTCAGAGTAAGCTTACTGTCTTTTCACTGCCTATAAAGTAATAGCCATCACCAATCTTCTCAAAAACCGAATGACTCTGACAGCCAGCTATCAGCAGAAATAAGAAATAATACTCCGCTCGCATTGCTCAACGTTGTTATTCCGATTTGTGTGCAATTCCAACTGAAATTGCTTTTTAAAAAACAACTGATTATCAAGTTGTATGGCATTACCCATGTGAATTGCTTGATAGTGGTTCATTTTCAAGATGGGGATGTACCCTCGTAAGTGTAACTGTCGCAAAACTTAACTAACTAAGAGCTGTGGAGGAAAGGGACAAAACTTATACAAGAAACTCACGTAAACATAAAGTACCGAATATATATATACGATTATCACTCTCAGTATATAAAATGATTTCTTTGTTTATAAATAAAATTCATTTGAATGATTAACTGTACACCGCTCTTCATCTCGACAGGCTTTTGTTTTCAAATAGAAAATTACCAATAATTAAGTCCAACAGGAATAACGCCTCTGATTGGTCCCTTACCTTCTTAAGTATTTGAATTCAAGTATAAAGATATTTTTTAATAACCAAGGTGCAATCGAACGATAAGGTTTATTTATTATTTGTAAGAGAGTACTTTACACCATGAGTGTGATATTTATGAGATATACATATGTATATATATGTACATACATATAACAGGAAACCGCAATCGACTACGATTCAGCATTTTCTTGTTCCTCGATAAACAAACCAGAACAATTTTTAAGCTCAAGCTAATTTAACATTTTTGTGTTTTTTAAATCAAGAGCATACAGTCTTAAACAGACATTAAGTATACAATTATATTTCTAGGATTAAGACAAAACTTTCGGAATAATTAAATATACCATAGGTACATTATAAAAAATGTATCTAGATAATAGGGAAATATAATAGAAACATAAATTTTTTTATATTCGCATAACATTTTTATTTTTTTAACGATTTCATCATCTTTTGTCATCCCTGATTTGGATTATATAAAAACTTTTTATATACTGAATACTTTGTGATTCCTACAAATTTATAAACAAAGTGTGATTGATCGATAAGGTTTGCAAACTTTATGAAACTATGAGATATAAAACAGATTCAAGATATTCCACATTATATTCTAATTATTATTATCTATTATTATTCAAATTAATAGTTAATTATTAAGTATTTTAGCAGCCCTAAATGTGTGCGAAATAAGTAGGTACACATGTAGTTATATTGGCTTAAATCCGCCGATTAGTGGATTACGGATCGCGAGTCGCTGTCCGCCAATGATTGCTCACAAATGTCGACAGCCCGCGTGTAGCAGGACTCGCTGCTCATCACCAGCTCGTCCCCGCTAAGCGTCAGGATCAGGCAATTGCGACCCATTTGGGGCGTGGGCTCCTCTTCAGCCCAGTTCGAGTAGTTCATGGGCCGAGCTCGCCCAAAGTAGTTCCAATAGAAGCGATTGTCCAACGGCCAACGGTGGCCGGCGCTCCAGAACTTGGTGCCATCCGGATAGCCCATTTCGTGCAGGTGCTGAGCCAGGAATCGCATTTCCTCCTCGCTGTCCACGCAAACGCGGGACGTCCTCTTGTCCTGGTAGCAGAAATTGTGGAACGATGTGTGCTGTGGGGGGGGGTTTGATAGTTAATATATTTAAATACTCTTACTATTAAAAATATGGAATAACAATACAATAGAAGCCGAAGATGCATGCCCTTGCCACAGCAGATATCTGTATCTGAGAGATACGGACTTTGAACACTGAATATTGAAAATTAATAATTAATTATTAATAATTAATTATTTTTGAATATTGAAAAGTATTGTAAAAATACAACATGGACTTTAGCTTAAATTTATCTACTTACATAAACTAAAATGTGACTCAGTGTTGACTCACCAGCGGTTCCTCATCCGCCACAAAGTAGCAGTAATTTTCCTGGACCCTCTCGTAGGGAATCTTGCATCGCATGGCATCGACAATGTGCCGGTGTGCCAGGAAGATCAGCCAGAAGGTCAGGAAGTGGCGCAGGAGAGTGCTTGGCTCTATCTTCCGCGTCGGGCGATTCGGCATTGTGCTGAAATAAAACTGCCGGCGGATCGGAATCGGGCGTTATCGCCATGCGCTATCTCGCTGTGAGCTCAATCCATAAAGCGCCGACTTTGTTTTGGTTTTTCGCTCTCCAGATAAGGCAACTGATGAACTAGTTCAAGATCGCACACAATAAAAGCGTTTCAATATTGTACAAATTAAAATTCTTTACCATAAAATCATTTTTTTAAATTTGAAAAAATTAACTTAGTGGCTTTTTTTTTCTTGGAGCTTGGGGAGTTGTAAATAACATTACTATGTCTTACCTTTGTTTGCTTTTTATTTACAAAATTCTAGCTTCAACTTCTTCTTTCTATTTTTGTATTAATAAAAGAAGAACTTTTTCTAAATAAAAAAAATAATAAAATAATAATTGAAAGTAATAATCATTTTAATGATTATTCATCTTAAATATCCCAAACTGCATAGCGGGAATCCCCTTTAATTTGGGATCCACATCGAACCCATCCACACGAATTTTTCTCTTCACACTTCGTTCCGACTTCGCTAACTGTAATACAATACTTTCCCCTTATCGAACTGTTATATTCCGCTCTCTTCAAGCGCAGTTTGTCCCTCCTTGGGCTAGCCGAGTCGGCTAGCTATGCCAATTTTGCTATTTTCCCACTAAAATCAGCTTTTTTCTTAGATTTTTTCCAATGGAATTAGGATTTTGCTAGATGCCAAAAAATTCGAATCAAAAATTTGTATCTGTTCATTTTGTATCTGAATCTCCCTGTTTTTTATTAGTATCGGAATTTGAAGTTTCCTGTTCACTGTTGTCGAAGTCTGATCCTGTTTCAAAATCCTTGCTTAATTTTACACTTTTATTTAAGAAGATTCTTGCTTAAACCAGCTACTAATATCTAAACTTTATTATTTTATTGTTTATTTGATTCTTTTAATCTTGTTCAAGAATGAGTCTCAGTTTTCTAATAAATTTTCTTAATCTAAAATGTCCATGTTCTGAAATAATTAGAATTTTGTTGCTTTAATCTCCTGATTTGTTTTCCTAAATCCGGTCTTTTTCCTTAACAGCGATCTGGCCAAGGCCTGTAAAACAATATTGTTCATCGAAAGGGGTAAGAGAGCCTAAGAGAGCCCAAGTCATCCGAGAGCGCATTTTGCCTGAACAGCTGTTAATATGTATCTGTATCTAGCAAAGAGACTCGACCCGAAGTGCGTTCGGGTCTCTCAGCCGAACGCGAATCGGCCTGTATCTCAAAGTTTGTTTTACTCTGCCTGTATCTCGAAATTTTTTTTACTCTTGTCGCACATTCACTCGGTCGAAGATGTTGAGAAATTTCAGCGCGTCGGCAATGAAAACGGTCGGGCATAAGTGAAAATCGTAAGGAAAAACGTGAAAACATAGTTGACAAATAGTAGAGTGTGATTTTCTAAACAATGTGCTAAATTTAAACGAATTTGTGATGGTTTTTCCCGCTTAAATCATGTTTTTGCTGCCACTTTGGTGCTAACGACGCCGTCGCACTCGCACTCGCGCTCTCTCGTTCTCTCTCTGACCGCTCTCTCCCTGTGTCTTGTTTGCCGTTTGCTTTTGTGCTGGTCGTCCGCAGATATTGTTTACGAATTGCGGTGTGTGATAGAAAGCAAAGAAAGCGCGAAAATTGCATCAATCCAGATGGAATCCGCTGGAAAAACAGCGAATATGAGCCGCAAAACACTGTTGCTGTCTCTGCTGACGCTGGCAGCGCTGCTGCTGCGCTCGGGCAGCGGCGTCGCGGGACACCTGAATGTTTTCCTGAATCCCGTGGAAGTGATGCGATTATTGGGTGAGTCTCCCCCCTTTTCACCTACTTTGTGTTCCTTCATCGTTTTTCGTTTTGTTTATCTTCCCCATATTCGGGTCGCGCCCTTTGTTATTGATTTCTCCCCTACACCTATCTCTCTCTTTTGCCGTCTCCGTCACCCACGCACTTCGCAGGCAAAAACAACAGTTGAACGAAATTAGTGTGTCAACCAATTTTGGAGATACATAACTTGAAGTTTTCCATTCATATCTTTCAGTTAAAAAGCGCACTGTAAAAATATTGGCTTCCCTTAAAAATTATGTTTATTTGTTTGCTTTTGGCTTAATTTAGATGCCCCCGCCAACGCCTCGCCATGCCGCAGGTGTTGTTAAACAGTAAAACAAATAAACAAACATCCCGCAACGGCAAAAACAACGAAAACAACAAAAACAGCAACCGGGAACTAACTTTCGTTTGCTTCGTTAGGGAATTTTACGCTTCGTAAAACGAGGATGAAATTAAAGAAGAGGAGGCACAGAGAAGAGCAAAAGACACAAGAAATGCAGCAAATACACACATACAACAGCACATTAAATTTATTTCACTGTTTGGGGGAATATTTTTGAATATTTCTTGGAACCCAAATTCCTTGGCACCCAAAAACAACAACGAAAACCAAAACAGAAACAACAAAAAAGCTTGAGAACATGCTGCGCGAAGCGAGACAGATAGCGAGGTGGGTGGGGGTGGCTGAGACAGAGATAGACATGCAAACGAGATGACAACGCGAAGGCGACAACAACACCAGAAACAGAAAAACAAAAACAACAAAAGGCGCAGCCAAAACGTGACTGCGAGAATACGAAGGAGCAGGAAGAGGAAGACGTCGAAGGAGCAGAAGAATATGATGGGGTGGTGGGGAGGCATACAGAAGCTGCACAGTGGGGTGGAATACATTTTGTTGGCAAAAGTAAACTTTAAATTGATAATACAAGTTCACTTACGCAGAAACATTAGATTTCAGACTAAGAATCTACTACCAAACATGCCCACTGTTCATGCTTTCCATCATCGCCACCTCTTCTGACAGAGCCCACTGTCTTCGTATTTGGCAGTCTTTTGCATGACAAGTCTGCTAGTCTCTGCCCCCACAATGCAGTTTCTTTTTTTTTTGCTGCAAATCGAAGTTTTCCCACTTTTCCTAACCATGTGTGTGGGAGCAGATCCGCCAACGACGACAATGACGATGCGCATAATTTTGCGTATGCATTCCGGATTGGAGATTTGCGAATTTCGGGGGCGTGAAATCAAGTATGCAGAATGTGCGGCAGATTGAAAGCGACCGTGGGCCGCAGAATGTTGCAACTTGCAAGCAATTTTAACATCTGAGGGGTAATTAAGACAAAGCTGAAAAGTTTTGCAGACTGGCGTAGGATAAAGACTGCAGCCATGAGGAATGGCGCAAGGGCTTTGTACTTCTCCAGTCATAAATCAATTAAGCTGCATAATTTGCATTTGATTTGTGTGCGGAAAAATGGGGTTACGGTACAGGGTGGCTAGGAGTCTGTTCCATTGCGCCCCGGCTTTATGAAATTCATTTGCATTTACGCTTAATTTATAGCCCCGCCGATGATCACACAAGTTTGGTTTTTCTCCTTTTGTTTCTTCTTGTTATCATCGCCACAAGGGGTCCCGGCAAAAGTTCAATGCTAAAAAACTTTGAGTCATATAGAGAGTCATAAAGAGTTCGTGGCATCTCTGACAGCCACATGAAATACGATCCGGGGGACCGTTGGGTTGGGCTCGCGATCCACAAGTGATCGGATCATAATAATATCGTACAGCTCCCCCACCTTATTCCCCATTTCAATTCCAATCATATTCCTCGGAAAGAAAACCGGCACCCAGAAGACTTTTAACGACCTTTTTGCTGCTGTGACACGCGCTACATTTTAAATAGCCGAAAAGTGCATTATTTAAATTTAATTTTATTGCCCCATGCTACAGTTTTCTTATTTTTTCCCTCATTCTGGTACGTTTTATGGCCCTTTATTGACGCTTGGGAATTTTCTTTTTCTCTACTTTTTATTGCCAGCAGTTTTAGGGTGCTTTGATTTAATTTTACTGTTTGTCGCCGTCTAATGAAGCTGCAATTAAGGCCCCAACAGGGGAAGAGGTCAGATTAGGAGCTTCGGCACGATTTTCACACTCTCGAGCCGAAAAAGAATGTGCTAAAATCGCTAAAAACGCCCCCCTTTCAAATGATCGATTGGCTCACAACGCTTTGGGCCATAAATTAGCCACAGATACCCTCGGTATGCGGGGAAAACGTTAGCGTTTGGATGTGTTAGAATTACCACCAACTGTGTTAAATGAATTGAGAGCTCGCGGGCCGCTTTTGTTTAGGCCAATTTAAATATTTTCATATTTGCATAGGTATCGGGAAACATATTGATGGCTTTTGTTATTTGAAGTGAGCCGCGGCTAAGCGGCTTACACCGCAAACAAGCTGCCAAAGTACGAGTATCTCGAAGATACACACGACACGCCGCTACTGTGGCAACTTTTAGCACCTAACCGTCGAAGCTGTTGTATCTGTCGGATGCCCGTAACAAGCCGCCGGCCTGTATCTCGTTTATCCCCCGCTCCACGTTCTCCGTTCAGCTTGTTTTTATATTTTCCTCTCGCATCTGTATCTCTCGTGTTTTGTTAGCCGTCGAGACATTTGCGCGCTTCTCCGGTTTATGGCTTGTTCTTGGCTGCCTTTCCGAGATCTGGCCATCCGATAATTGCGAGCGAACAACAGCAAAGTCAGGGAAGGCATCTCCTCCTGGTCGTGCTAAAAGCCTTCCGAGAAACGCCACCGATCCTCCGACATTAGCCTGAGCTTCTCTTAACGGTTTGCGTACGCCTGCTACATAGATACATGTGGCATATGATATGATCAGCGGGCATGATCTATATTTTAATTGGTGTTGCCAATTTATGGTCCAGCTTCGCCTTTCGCCTGGCTCTCTATGCCGCACATAATGAAGTGGCCATTAGCTAATGAAGCTGTCCCCCACGAACGACGAAAGAAAAACGAGGGAAACCAAGACCAAGACCGGCTGCGACAAGAGTTTATGGACCTGATCGTGGCACTTTTTGCTATACGACGTGCTAGTGTTAACAGCTCACCTGACAGATCGTAAAAAGTGCTATCCGAAGGAGTTGACACAGCTGCCTCGTCGCCAGATCTTATCTGTTCAATTAGTGATCGCGAAAGGGGACAGGAAACTTTGTTCACTTGGCTAGATCTAGAT